GAAACAAATCTCATTATCTGTCACTGAGAGAAAGGTGTTAAGGTCATAAAATTACCTCCAGTATCAGTAGATCCATCCAGCTTTTGAGCAGGAAGTGGGGCAGAGGAGAGACACCTGGTCGCTACATAGGAAACACGCCATGGTGCTAAAGAAGGAAGATATGAATAAAAAAACACCCTTTCTCTATCCTTCCCTAAAAATATTACAACCGTTTACATAAAATAAAACTCACTTCCAGTTGATAATTTGCTGAAGCTAAGTGCACTAGTAACTCAGTTTTTTTTTTTTTTTTTTTTTTTTTTTTTTTTAATTATGAGCATCTATGCACATATATACATATATGAGCCAAAATACATGTTCTGGGGTATGAGCTTCTGATAATCCCGGTGATACTTTGATGTGACACACTCATTAATTCCCATTTTCGACTGATTGGCTATAATTTAGCATTGTTATATTAACTTGTAGAAAATTAGAAACTGATTCTTTCTTCTGATTATGCCTTTAAGACTTGTTTGCTTCCCCTTCGAATGATAGTATAATCGGTCAGTCAGTCGCCAGCACAGGGGTTAGGATGCCAAAATAATGGGAACAAATACTGCAGAAAACACATTTTAGACACTGACATGTGTTTCAGCATATGAAAATACAAATCAGCTTTCAAAAGATTCTGAAAAGGTGTAATTACCGTCCATTTTTGTACTCTCCTTCGTAACTGCTGCCAGTGTACTCCATATTGTTTACGTTGTCAAGGTGTTCTCGCGTAATTTTGCGAGATCAATATGTGTCATTGTGATTGTTGTGCATCGATATACTTGTCTCAACTATCGCAATTAATTCTAGCAAGACAAAAAAAAAATGGGAGGTAGGCCACTATTAATTGAACATAAAGGACATAAAACGAAATGAAATGAAAAATGTAATAAATGAAACGCAGTTACGATAATAATAGTCATGATTGGTGTTTTGAAACAGCACCATGTTGTTTTGAAACAGCACCATCACGTAATTAGCCAGAGATTGTTTGTTTCTCCGGTTTTAGGAATATCTTCTTCTGCCACTGGACACTACCAGTAACCAGCTATAAGGTCGATGACACTAAATTGGGTCATGTCACTTACCGAGTATAGAACGTCTTGTATCAGTGGCAAAGGATACCTGTCACAGGTGACTTCAGTCCATAGTAGTCACAGAAACGTTCTCCCATCTTTCTTGGGTACCCTTCATAATAGGCATATGCATCATAAAAGACAATGAAAAACGACTCGGGCAGTTTGTTGTATATCAAATTAGGCGTTAATCTTATGTCTTAATCTTATGTCTTAACTTATTTTTAATTCATTATATACTAAGTAATGTGTATTCTATACTGTGACCGTTGTTGCACAGACAATGGGTGGTAGGCCTTATAAAACATATTTAAGTAAATTATATTATTGTCAACATTGTTTTTTAACAGTATTAAACGCCGTTAAAAGACAAATGGTATATTATTTCGAACACCGGGCGTTTAAGTGCATGCACACCCAATATGAGGACAAATGCTTCCATAGTGACAGTTCACGAGATTCGCAGTTATAATGGACTGTTTTCAAGTTGCTGTCAACATAAGCTATTTATAGTAGTTTATCGCGGATTCAGAGAACAACAGGCAACATTTACCCGAAAATATAATGGGATAAAAGGAAGATGTCGCGTTTCTTATCCACGGCCAGTGTATGATAGCCCTAACCTCAAATGACCTTGCATTTAAATAAAAAAAAACTTGAATCTTGACGCACATTGTGATGATTTAGTCAGTGTACTACCAGTACACACTGGACAATATAAGTGTCAACCCTACTGAACCGATACTTTAGGGGAGATAAATGACTGTGGAATGATATGCTCCTGGTATCATTTTATTAACATCAAATTTCACAAAAGGAACGGTTCTGACTGAACAATTCAACTGTGTCGATATTCTGACATTGCTTATATTCCGCCTCTTCAGGTTAATAACTTTGATTACTCTGAATTAGGGGGTGTTTACGTAGGCCTACTGCTAGGCACGTCATGCTGCATAATGTAGTGCAAACATCTTGCTTTGAGAATGAGGCCATTGACAGATATTTTATGTCGCAAGAGTCACAAGACAACCTCCAGCGACAGATCTGCAGCCACGACGTTATCGCGAGTTTGATCTTTGATAACGGGTCACCTGTCCCTGAAGTTCGACTCTTTTCTGACACTCAAAGCACGACCGGGGCCTATACGAAACGAAGCGGTATTGTGGGCGATTTTGTTTAAATACACGAGCGTCGGAAGATTTGGTGAGTGTTATTTATTTATTTATTTATTTATTTATTTATTTATTTATTTATTTATCAAAAAAGCGAGGTTTGAAAATACAATCATACTGAATATAGGCACTGATTATAGATTTCTACGATATACCCATATAAGTGTTTACTTTTTTAATTGAATTTGATATCTCTCTTATATATTTATTCCAAAATGTAAAAACCACACGATCTGCGTTTGCCTGGATTAATAGTTGATTTAGATACATAAGTACATAGATACGTACTACAGAGTGGTGCGTTTTTGCTCAATGTTCCGCAATGTTATGAAAAATCAGACAAGTTTGTTTGTAAAACAGTTTGTTTACGCAGTGGCTTATATGATATATGTGAATGTGTTGTACACCACATATAATGATTAGGTTATATAACTGGTTAATAGTCAACCGTGTCATGCCAAAGTGACGGCCCGATAACAATATCAGTCGTTAACGGCTACTAGATACGACAGTGAGAATCGCCAGCAGAAATTTCTGCAACCCCGTTTGCATTTGTTCCTTAAAAGTTCGAATTCCGGAAAAAAATCATACGGTAATATTTTGTCGTGGGCGCGAACTTATATTCTGGCTTCGTATGTGTCGTACATGTATTGAGATTTTCTCTTCAGTAATATTTTCTACCCTGTTCACTTTATTCAACTGGTCTGTATTTTCTTCTGATGTGCTATAACTATCGATTTTATATGCAATTTCATTCAAATGTTCATTTGAATATTTAGTATACTTTCCGGTTATTTTCTGCTTAGTACAGTACTTTGTCATTATCCAACAATATCCAGACTGGGTCTCATTTTGTGATTGCGATAAGCGGTCATAACATGGGTTTGGGGAGTCATCAACTTCAGAGAATTTATCAGCGCAGCGTGGTCCGAATATCCCTAAATATCACCATACCATGAATTAGTTAACGAATGACCACATGTCCCAGGGTGACATGTCCCTGTGCATGATGCAACAGTCGATTACCCTCAAGTTCCTGCTGCAATAAAATATCTCGGCGTTCATGATTTGTGTAAGCTACCGGTAAATGTACTGTACATGTATACACGGTATCTTCATTGTGCAACACTACAATGTAGCAGGGAATTTTGCTTATTTCTGTAGAAATTGGCGTTTTTCATTTTTATTAGATATATTGTCGCACTTCATCTGTTTAAAGGTATGTCGTAATCAAAGGGATATCTGGTTAAAATTATAATTAATGTGCCCAAAAGTCATTATAGACTATTTTCTAAAAAAAACTTTAATTACAATTTATTGATTTTTGCATGTTTCTTAAGGCACTGTCACACCTAGCGTATAGCACCAACGTATGAATAAGTTGCACATACGCAGAAAAACACAAGGTATTCTTACACACACTGGACAATAGAAGTGTCACCCCCTGAATCAGAGTAATCAAAGTTATTAGCCTGAAGAGGCGGAATATAAGCAATGTCAGAATATCAATACAGTTGAATTGTTCAGTCAGAACCGTGTCTTTTGTAAAATTTGAGGTTAATAAAATGATACCAGGAGCATATCATTCCACAGTCATTTACCTCCCCCAATGTATTGGTTCAGTTGGGGTGACACTTCTATTGTCCAGTGTGTGTACGTCGTATATATGCCTCGAGTACGCAAGTAAATGTTGGGTGTGTTCGCATACCGGAGGGAGATTAAATGTTTTGAACACGTTCAGAAATGATTTCATGCGCTGGTTGTATGTTCATTTTAACACGCTGGAGACAGGGTGATTTCGTGCGCTCAAGGTTGTGCGTCTAATCGATGTTACGTACGATGCTTCTTGGTGCCAGGTGTGACAGATCCTTCATACAGGTGCAAATGTAGTTTGAGATACACACGCTTGGTGGCGATGAAATCGAGTGACGCAAGGACTCGTTTGAGGACATTCAAGTCATGGTGTGCCAGGTTTTTCGGCTCTGCTCACTTTGGAAATTTTAACTACAATACTGTCTGCATATAGAAAAAGCTTTGAAGCATTTCACATCGTTTTTTTTTTTTTTTTTTTACACCTGTCCAACCTGTTCATGCACCAGCGTAGCTTACGCCTCACACCTCTGTCGATTTAAATAACCCAAGATATGGGGCCTATCAGTATAATACAGATATATGTTGTTTTCACACCTGTGCATCTTGTAAATCCAGCTACTTTTGCCTCGAGCTGATTTGTGTCCCGAATTGAACCTTTCGATGCACACTACCTGTAGAATCGAGGCACACATGTTAGCACCTGGGCTATATGTGTATTCCACATTTGGGGTGGACAAGAAGTCTGCAACTTCTTAGGTACGAAGAAAACCAAAACATGTAGGCCTACATGTAGGTACTGGCAGTGTAAAATTTATTGAAGTGTACTGTGTGAAAAAGAGACAAAATTATCAATATACGCGTACTAAAAGTAATTCCCTCTTTGGAGATCATCTCTCTTGATTTTGTATAACTCGTAAGAATGATTGCATGAGTGACATCATATTTAATTGAATTAAAAAGGAAGATAATCTGTGAACGATAATGCAGACAACTAGCAGAGGAGCACAACGTCGTGCCGAGAACGAGGTCACGCAGACGATTTTGGCGTGTTTTAGACAGTAACATAATATCTACAAAAAAATCAATTTTAGCCTATGGCATGTGATTAATAGGTCAAGTATGATGGTTTTCTGCATAGCAAGTCAGTGCGTTTTATATTAATTGTTGTTGATGATTCCAATAATAACCAAAAACTCCAGCTGTGATGATTGCCAACTAAAATTTAAAAAGTCAATCTTTTACGAGATTACAAATTGATTCCTATCGGGCATCCGCGGACCCCCTCTTCAAATAATCCTGGATCCGTCCCTGGAAAGCAAATTAAATCAAATCAACCAAACAGTGAACACTGGCAGGCTCTGTCAAGTTCATTTTTAGTTTATTTCCAAAAAGTGTGCTTTTCGCGCATGTGCAGACGCTTGACAGCTGTTCATAGATAACAAGTTTCTCCTCTACTCGACACACATGTCCAGAGAAATGGGTGATGGTAGTGTTGCAATGGCGGGTCAGCTTAGGCGCGTGGACCAGGTGAACTGATAGGAGTACATTTGTGCAATAGTAGTAGGGAAGATCTCGAGGCATCGCTGCAACTTTTTATGGAGCCACTGATTTTAGGTGGCGCATTAGCCTACCCGTAGGCCTACAGTACACTGCCGTGGCTGAAGTACATGTAAGGATTATACGTCCACATACGTACACTGTATGTATATGTCGTGACCAGCACTGTGACCTGTCAGCTGTAACCATATTAGCTGTGTCAGGCCTGCCTGTGAGTAAGCCATATAGCCATATAGCATAATATAAAATCTCAAAAGGCCTGCGCCTGGAAGCACTTTGGTTTCAACGTCAAAGGCTTCAAAGCACATATACTGAACAGACTGCAGTTGTAGATTATATGTCCAAAGCTTGGTACTTGATATGACTTAAAAACGTAATGTGTATCAGCTCAAACCAGCATAATAACTAAAAGCCCTGTATCAGCTCACAAGCTGCAATATTTTTTCTATTCCAGTCACTAAACCACTATGATAATGGCCCTGAAACATGCAGTCATTTTTCTTTGCTGTCTTACCTGTCCCAGCTGGGTATTCAGTGGAAAAGTAATATTCAAAGAAAACGGGAGCAAGGATTTAAGTTATGCACAAGAATCATCTACTTGGCCTACTCCCCCATCATGGAGAAATAGGACTTTAACAGGTGGGTGTTTTAGTTTAATTTTTTTATGTACAGTTTAATGTTCTTCTGATTTATGTTCATTTTATTGTTTTTTCATTTTGGCTTTCTCTTGTTCTTGGTTAAAGAAGGACTTAAACATATGTCTGTGGAGTCATAGTTATTATGTTCAACCTAAGACTGATTAAATCTCTTGCCACTGCAAATTCAACTTTCCATCTTCATTTGTGCTATAATTATTCAAATTTGACAAGAAATAAATATTGCATTTTATTTGAATAAATTGAAATATTTATATGGAATACAATTGTTCTCAGCCCGCTATATAGCACATTACGCTGACTGGGGCGTGTTGTCAGGCATCTCGGAGAGAGACCACGTCACTCCCTTCGGCGTGCTACAATCGTTTGCTGATGGCCCTCTTAACAAGAGTACAGGAAGGCCATTCTTTTATATCTCTGATATGTCTACTGTCTATAGAATGGTGAAGGTACAATCTTTTTCTGTTAATTTATCAAACATTGGGGTCTTTTTTTACAATTGATGTAGTTAATTTGTGTTTGTGATACAGAATTATTACATAGAATTGTGAAATGTTCTTACCTAAGTATGCACCTCTGTGGTTGCTGTGCTTTTCTTGTTACAGTTGAAAAGTTTCAGTAAGAATTGGAGTATTCTTGTTTTAGAGATGTGATTAAAGAAGAAAAAATAAAATAGTGTAGCAATTTGATAATCCCGATTAATTTCTCAATTTTAGAATAACAATGCATTCTCCCTGACATTATCTGAGGCAGAAAGTAATCTGTGTACTAAACAAGGAATGGATCCAGAGCTACCAACATGTGCCCAAATTACTCTGTCAGGAAAAGTAGGTGTGATTATCCCTACAATACTTGTAATTTACTTTGACCTATAAGTCGTAGCATGCCATTGGTTCAAAGAATTTGGCTAGAAGATTTTGTTGGATTTGTAAAAATGGGATTTTCCAAAGCCACTTTTCTCTGATAATAATTATGCCAAGGTGCAACAGAAGTTGCATATTATTCGATTGACTCATAAAACTACTTTGTTTGAAAATACATACATTTATGTGTGATATATTGAATATAGTCCCTGTAGATTCCAGTGATATTTGCTTGCACCTTGCCGTGACAAAATGACTTTTTTATATTGTAGATGGAGCCAGTAGACCCTAAGGATGTTATGTTTGCTCAAACCTCACTGTTTGCCAGGCACCCGCAGATGAAGGACTGGCCTGTTGGGCACAGTAAGGAAGAATGTTTCCCCAATTTTATTCATAATTTTCCACGCCATTTTAGAATGTGTAGAGTGATACTTTTTGTGTATAGAATGTTCACAATTTCACATTGCAACAGGGGGGGATCCAGGATTATTTGAAGAGGGGGGTCCAGTTTTTTTAAGAATGACAGGCCTCAGATTCATAGCTGACCCTTGCCCCCTTGGTGTGGGGTTCAGTATTTTGGAAGGCAAACGGTGCCATTTGGTGCAGTTTAGAACTATGATTCAGCTCTTCAAAATTCTAATATCAAGAAGGGAATATTGATGTGATTTTTTTCCAGAATTCGAAGGAGGGGTCAGGACCCCCCTGACGCCCCCCTAAATCTGCCACTGTGTATTCACATCAAAACCCTGTATGTATGTATGTAATGAATTTTTAATATAGTCCTAGTCCATTTTCCTTTTCTTTTACATAATTCCTCTGGGCTAGGATCAACAGTAATGATAGCCAAATCCTCATGTTCAAGATCCTTGTATTTATGATTCATTTTTTATCATTTTTTTTTCATCTTCAGACTGGAAAATCTATGAGCTGATGGTAAATTCAGTTTGGATAATAGATTACTTTGGAGGAGCTGTCATCCTCCCTGCAGAAGATTATTACAAAATTAAGTTTCCTTAATTTATCTGAGCAGTTTAACTTTGTCAAGGTATTTCAAAGGTGGTGCTTACTATAAAGATGACATGTACTTTTGCGGATACAAAGTTTCATTCATTTTGTAATGTTTATTTTCAATTGTTTTAGAGAATTTGATATAATCTTTGCTTAAAATTGCTGGAGTAGCATTGATCACAAAGATCATCTAATGATGTTGTTACTTATACTCTGTTTCTTCCCTTATATATTTATGGAGGATTTATAGATATTTTTCATAATGTTAAGTTACAATTGTTACCAAAAATCAAAATATTAATTGCAACTAAAAGCAAAATAAAGTGATTTTCTGTTACTGTTAAGCAGCAATTATCTTAACAGCATTTTTTCACAAAGAATTGTTTGCAGGTAATAATAAAAAGATTTCAATCAGTGAAGTAAAGTATTTAAAAGGTACATAAGGAGCTGATGTGTACTGCTATAATGGTTTCCTTTGCTGGCCATACTAATACTGGCCTGATTATAATAGTTTATAGAATATACTATTATAAGAATATAAATACTCACCCTCTCACCTCAATGTTTTTAAAAATAAATTTTCTTTGTATTTTGTACAGATAATTGCACTTGGTTTTATAACATTGGTCTTATAACTGATGTGCATGCTGTCCCATTTTGTTCATATTGAATCATTATGTATACCCAGCATGTAACATGTACCCAACAATGCAAAATGCATACATAAATTCTATTTTAACCTAATATCAAAATTGTGATATATTCATTTATTGATTTATAATATTAAATCATCTGACATACGTCCTGTAAATTTTCCTTGGTGTGTAGTTTATTTAATATACCATTTTATCTCAAATGCAAGAAATGTACAAAGATGAAAACTTTTTGAATATGATGTTTAAAGCAATTTTCATATTGCTTAATAGTCTTATCATAAAACATCTTTTTGGTAAAGCGTTGATGAAGCCTTAGCACATTTTATTGATTTTGATTAAAGATCAACTTTACAACTTCACAGACTTCAACGAAATGTACTGGCTCAACCTCTGCTACGGCAAACAGTCATCTTTTGGAAATTACGACCAATATGATGGTAAAAAAAATTATCGATGTGCACTATCCAAGAAATAAAAGGAGGCTCGGTGAAGGGGGCGAGGTAGACTGAGAACTTGTGTACTACTTGCAACAGGAGCGATTGCGTTAATTGAGATATGGTTGAATGCGACTATTGCGATAACGCACGTGGCGCAAAATGACTTAGTTTTCTTATCCAACGTCGTAAAATCTCAGTTATACTATTCGTCTATCGGTGATCTGCATTTAACCAAAATGAAAAGATCAGAAGTGCTTCTCTATACGACTTATTTGCGAGTAGTTTGTTTTTTATTATTTTTCAACATTGATCGTATGGATATCTGTCCCCCTGCAGTTTCTGTGCTCTTTAACTTGTGTTGAAAATATTTGATCCAAAACTTCTCCCCTCTATTTTTTCCTTTACCCACTGAGCAGAATTCTTATGAAGTCATCTCAACTAAATCTGTAAAAGAAAAAGAAGGCCAAAATGAGCTTAAAGGCAAAGAAGTGTTAATCAATAAGGTAACATTATGTTTCCCTGGCATCATTTTAGTAGTGAAGGCTTGACACAAGACGGGCATCAAACGCTTCTAAAATCAACACAGATTTTAAAATGTTCCATGAGATGATTTACCTGCAGCGACGCCCAAATCACACGCTCTCAGTGTCTCCGCCAAGGTTACAAGATTCGCCCCGCTATCTATCTCTTTCCATTTTTGTAGCGCCTGGTAACATCGCTCGTTCTCGTCTTCATAGTCCTCCTCGATTTCGCGGATCTCAGCCGTCGTCAAGTGTAGGTTGGAGGCGACCGTCTTCCATTCTGAAACCACTGACTCACTTCGAGAGAGGCTCTTGAATTTCTTTTCCAGAGAGGCAGCTGACAGTAAATACGAAATATTAGCGACTGGGTTGTAAAATTAAAGGAGATATTGTACAATGTCTTTTTAACATTGATGGCTTCTCAACATTTAATTCCCTATCAAACAACATTTCCCTTATTATATTATATTATATTATATTATATTATATTATATTATATTATATTATATGCCTACAGTGGCTTATTGTAAATTAGACTCACATCTCGCGCTCCTGGCTCGTTCCTCTTTAAAATCTATGTCGTGATCTTTCATTTCTTCTGCCAGGTCGAGGCGCCCGCACCGCAACAACGCCGAGCACAATATTGCAGCCTAAAGTCACAAAATATATTTAATTTATTTTTTTTCATTAAAGGTACATACGAACCGAGCATCGGTGGAGCGTGGATTCCCAGTACACATGTAAACCACTTCTACCAGATTCTTATATGACTCAAATAAATTTGACATGCCAAGGGATAAACTGAATAGATCACTCGATCAGCCATAAAAGACCTTTAGACTGCTCCTTTCTTTAAATTTTTGGTTGTAAATTTAACCTACTTTCGTGACCTACTTTCCTGTCCCATTGACATACAGCTTAGAATGCCAGCAGAAAAATCCGTTCAAATAACATTTTCAGGTAAAATTAAACAATGCCTTTTGGTAATTCTCTTAGTTATACTACTTGAAACTGTATGCTGGCATTTGGTTGGTTTTTGTGACAAAAAATTGACTTTGTATGCATCTTTAAATACATGAATGAAATCAGGCCTGTTGCCAGCAAATTCAAAAGGGTATTCTTTTTCTGAAAAAGTGGACCTTTTACAATAAAATGTATGTGTACCTAGATAAAATTTTACCCAAAATGGACCTTTTCCTGACAAAAGGGGCGGTTCTTTCGAACCCCCCGAACCTCCCCCCCCCCTCTTGCTACGGGCCTGGAAATAATAGTGATTTAAAAAAAAATAGAATAAAACAAAAATCAAGGAGCTGCTTAACAAGTTGGCATTAGACCCACGCTCTGTCACTAACGAGCCGGTCTAAAACTTTCTAGACAGGTTTTACAGTAGACACATTTAAAATTTAGGTACATATGCTATATGAGTAATAATACTGAAATAAAATCGATGTGCCAGGAACAAAAAAGCGGATCTCATTTTCTGTGTAAGCCTTAAGATGTGGGAATGGTGCTTCAATCCCCATGACCAAATCCACGATTTGGTTAGAAGGACTGACATATTTACCTTGTCCTTTGCGCGAGGAACTTTCTTCACCCATGTCATCAGCAGTTCGAAGATGACACTTTCGTTCCCCTTTCCCTGACAATTTCTCTGTATTGCTTGCAGCCTCGCTCTGGGGATGCGAAGATAGTGAGACAGATTCTTCCATTCGTCGCCAGATGTCGCCAGCTCTGATGCCAACCATCTCAGCGTGTCGTTGTTTACTGGTCCTGTAACATTTACATAATATTTTGATAAAGCTTGTTTTAAATTCGTACCGACGGTTAGTGATTCTGTACATGTTTTTTTTTCTTCAATTTTTACTTTGAAACCGTTGCGTAGGGCCTACCGTTTTCAGGCGTTACTATGATTGCCTGTGCACCACTGTTAATCTCATTCCAAGTTATCTTTGAGGGCGGAATTGCACATAAATATACAGTATGAAGGAAGAACGTTGAAAAATGGCTAGTAACAAAAATTTATGATTGAAAATAAAATAATGTAGAGAAAACAACGCTGCTGATTTTATGTTACGAAATTTTTTTAAAAGTGATAGACAGGTAGACAAACGTGATAACATTTTTAACGACAGAAAGGTCTTTTCAGAAGGTAAACTCATACCATCGGTTCTTATCTCCAGTGGTGCCCTGCGTACCTCGGCAGGTGGTTCTGTTTCAGGTTTGGGAATAGTCATGCATACTTCCGTCAATACATTATCTTCCTCTTTTCCGTCCTCACTCTGTAGGCAGCACAACTGGATAAATCCTTTATATATTGGCAAACTTTTTTGAGCAAATTTTTCTACTTCCGCTATGCTGAATGTGATCGGTTCGGTCAAGGCAGTATTGTAAACAAACTCCAAGTCAGGATAGTCGTCTGGTGAGGGTTGGAGATTACCGCGGAATTTAATCTCTAACCTTTGGCCCTCATGAACGGCAACGTCATCACCTACTGGTCCATCGTCGTAGCCATCTTCGGCGTATTTTTTGATGAAACGTTCGGATTTGTTCGCCAGAACTGGATGTATTATAATGTTTCTTGGTTCTGAAGATTTTTGTCGCACGATGAAGTTTACGTAGCGTTTGTAGAGAAACGATTCCACTGCCTTGGCAAGCTTTTCTATTCGCGGGACCATTCCCTTTTTATCCATCTTTTTACATCGTAAAAGGAGGATTCTAAAAGGCAAAAATAAAAACAAATGTAAATATTGTTGAAGTTTAAGAAATGCTTAGCCTATAACCGTACATAAAAGTTAAAACAAAGGCAACGCTCTTACGCTCGAATCGATTAAATACATCTATTTTTTCTTGCATATTTTCTCCTCATTCTTTAAAAAATTGTACTTTTATATGTTATATTTCCATAGCAGTTCGTCTGTCAATCCGCCCAACTGCCAGTCTGTTAATCTGTCTGTTTGGCTGTCGTAGCTGTCTCCATTTATGCGCGTGTACATGTACATACTCGATCATGCCATCAAGATAACTGCATAAAAGCAATCTACATGTACCATAATCCCCACTCCTTTTACCTTTCTTTTGTCTCTTCCCATTCAATTGCTACCTGGTCGTTGATGGTCGAGGGTTTCAACTGAGCGTCTGCCCGCAAGACCCAACCACCATGCTCGTTTTGTGTTAAGAGATACACAAATGTAGTGTCGTCCGCATCTGCAACAAAACACGGTGAAATAAAGAAAACAAGCTCAATTAATGAACCATTCTTGAGGGAGGTCATTGTAAGTTTAAGTAATTTTTTGAAATATTATTATTATTATTATTATTATACGCAGAATTTGTACTGTACGTTTCAAATGAACTGATAAGGTAAAATTGGCATATGACAGTTTTTCGATCTGATAATCCGCCCTTTTTAAAAGGCTGATTATCAGATTACTTACAAGTACATGTTTAAAAACTCCAAACCTTTGTCAGTCAAACTGTATTAAATTAATATCTTCATGTGAAAAAAACCAGATCTTTGACGGATTTTGCAAACTCATTTGGAAACCTATTTGTACATAATTTTAGCGGTTATACTAATATAATACGTCAACATGCATATATAGGCCTACCTTGTTTCTGTCGAAAACCAAAGGACGTAGTTGGACGTGTCGGAGCGGACCGTTTCTCCTTGACGCCACTGGTTTGAGGTCTTTTCTTTTTAATACCCCCGGGACAGGGTAGATTGAGTAGCACTGGCTGGGTTAGCTTGTGTTGAAAACTGATGGTCATTATTGCACTGGCAGATATGAAGGCATCGTCCTCACAGGCACGTGATTTGAAGTCACTGATCAAAGCGCCGTCTAGTGGTTGAACCTGAAAATCAGCGTTGTATTGTGGCTTTAGCATTCATGGTCTTCTAAACCATTTTGGCAATGGATTTGATTCATCTTAAAGCTCACAACGCTTAAGTGTAAAATAAACTCGACCAATAATACATTAGAAACAAAATATTTTCAAGTCGCTGAAGCAGATTTTCGGATCTTCTTGGTTTTTTCATCTGGACCAAAATACTTTCTACGCTTGATGAATTTATCTCTCGAAAATTCAAATACAATATTATGGAATGCACTTACTTCTAAATAGACCTGTGTTGGAGATTTGAACAGACCCTTGGGGACGTTGATGTATATCCTGCTGTCCACAGTAGATGTCAGCTTGCCGCCTCTTTTGCCCACTTGGAGTCGGTCCCTCTTTGGTCTAGTGACTACTGCTGCCAGCGTGGTTTTAGACAGACGATCAACTTTTCCCTCGAGGAATCGGATGTCCTACAGTACATGAAAATTAGAGCCATATTGGCGAGAAAATGTTAATCTGTAGTGATTGCATGTGTATTTATTTAGTTCGGAGTTCGGATTCAAGTTCCGCCCAACAGTTAAAATGATGACGACGTATATGTTTTCTTATGAAATTTACAGTAGTTCTACGATAAAGATGGCCACGAAGGGATCGTTTCAAAGGTGTACATGATTTCTGCAAATGAAGGCTATTTAAGTAATCACCCCACCCCAAAATTCTTAAGTTTTTTGTACCAACGTGGCAATTTCAGTGCTCTATGCAGTTTTAAAAATGAGCTTAAACGAATTAATCAAACAGCAGATATTCACGCACTGTCTATGGAGGCCATATATAAGTTTTAAAAATTTTCTAGCAATTTATTTTCTGAGAAATCTTCCTTATTTTCACTCATCTTCCTTACTCCCACCATTGGATCTCTGTGTCCGCCAACACAGTGGTCTGTAAAAGCTTACCTTGTGTTCTGTACACACCATGTCCTCACTGGGAACTTCTGTCCATGCGGTATCCTGCAGAATCTTTATCACAAGTTCTCGCGTTGGCATTGCTCTGGGGGCGCAGTGGGGGAGAGAGATCATGGTCACCTCCTGGAGAAAAAAAACAGTGTTCAAACAGTATGAACACAAACCAATGGCAAAGAGGCACGTACACACAACGCATATTTAGTAGAATTTTAGTTTAAAAGGTATTTCATCAATTTACCTATGTACTAGTATAAACGAACTTTTCGTACATTCTGAGAAATTTGATTTAATGTAGTTAAAATTATGCAAGAGGTTTTTGCTTTTTGCAAAATAGAGAGTGAAGTCAAGGCGAGTCAGTGTTGTTAAGAAGAACGAAGAACAAGCCCATACCTTGAATTCATCAATTTCCTCTGACAAGGTGATTTCAACAATGTTGCTTACAAGTTCTTCATTTTCAACCAGTGGAGACGACACTTCTAAAAAATTAGCGCATGCGCACTGTATATCGTCTTTTTTTAACGAAAACTCTTTCACTTTCATTATACAACAAATACCCTGGCCAAAGTCTTCTGTGTCACTTTTGTATCTGAAAGGTAAAACACATGTTATCTACTTGGATTCGTTCGTATACATTACGTTATGTTAAACAAGGCATTTCAACTAGGGGAGAGCGGGGTGGGTTGGAACGCGGGTAAGTTGGAACATTGGCTTTATTTCTTAAACCACAAGACCGATCATGTGCTCATTCAGAATAAAAATGTCACTTGGTATGGCCATTCATCCGGTAAACCTTTGGAAGTTTCGAAAATGCAGTAAAAGTTTTATGCGAAAAAAACTCATTTTCGCTACTCGAAGTAAGTTTTCATATTTTTGACTCTCATCGTGCTGTAAACCAAAGTATAAGGATTATATCACTGAAATTGTGCAAAGCGCTTAGGACCACCTTTATGTTCAAAAAGCTGTAGTTTTTTTTAATCACCTCCCACGTGTTAAAGAAGTACAGTGTCATAAGTAGGCCATGACGTCATGGGGGTTGGTCGGAACATTTGACATGGGGCCAGTTGGAACACTGTCAGGAGTGTTCCAACCCACCCCGCACGGTGCTTTTCATTTTTTTTTTTATCTCTCTAAATGTTTTATTTTCAACTTTAAAGAGAGTAGTAATGTAGTAACCCAGTACAACTCCAACTGGAGACGAAATCCAGCTGGTAGAACATCTCCAAGATGCCGGAATGTACATGCTTGTAGAAAATACAAGGGGGGATGGTCACTGCTTGTTAAATGCAGTTGCTAGCTGTTTGGTCGAAAGGGGTCTGCATGCCAACTGTTACTCTTTGCGATAAATTTCTGTTAGAAGTGGAAGAAAATGTCGATTATTACTCTGCATTTCGCGGCAAAATGAAAATATTCTAGCTGAGAGCCTACGTTATGGATAAACTATACAACACCAATTCTGCCAATATTGTTTTAAATGCTTTGTGTAATGGGTTGGTGGTTGCTGTTAATGTTTAGTGAACGAGAGTACAAAATCCGCCAGAAAAGACTAACATTCACCTCGTAACTTAGGCAAAGTTTCAGTTGAAATCTTAGTTGCCCTCACCGGAAGAGGTGCTACAGCACACTATAGCGCACTTAAGAAAACCCCAAAACAGCTCAAGTCCAGCAATAATTGGGCTCACCGTCGCAGCCCAAAGATTAAAAGAAGAAAACGATGCAGTGCAGTTCTAACTGACACACCTGAAAAAGAGCTACTCGAAAAAGAAAAGACCAAGCCCAACAAAATTTAAAAGGACAAGTGCAACAAAAATAAAAAACAGTTAAACATTTCTAGTCGATAGAGAAAGTAAAGAAAAACTATAGGAAATAAAAAATGATCAGCGATTCTGAGTCAGAATTAGAAGAGTGGCCATGTCTGGTTTGTGGGGAGTCGTTCAGTAACAGCCGACCAAAAGAGAAATGGGTTAAATGCATTGTTTGTTTAAAGTGGTCACATGAAGACTGTACTAATTTAGGGTGACCGAGTGTGCATATGTCAGAACTGCGATTTTGATTCTGAGGTCTAGTTGAAAGAGATTCAGTTTTCATTTGTAGGTCTAACATACTGTTGTTGATAGGTTATGTAGTATTCAATTTCTTTTCTCTTAAACTACACCACTTTTGTTATCATTATGAAATGAAGTGTAACTGGATATGGTTTATATATCGAAAAGACTATTTGAAAGCAAATTATAAACCTAAAAAATGCTTACAAACTATGGAGATACGAATACAAGGTAATACGTTCTTGTTGGGAAATTAATATAGATAAACCTACTCTTAAAATGAATTATACTTTGAATTTATATGCAAGCGTTCCAACTCGCCCTCTTGTTCCAACTCACCCCACTGACTGTTCCAACTTACCCCGCGGGTGGGGTGAGATGGAACGTTTTAAGAGGCAACTTTGAGTATTTATTACTCTAAAATAAAAATACCTACTTGATGTTTTATTTCATAGATGAGTGCGGCATATAATTATCCCCTACAAGTGTTTTTATTTTTGTCCCCAAAGCTTTGACTGCTGAGATATCGCAAAAAAGGTGAAAAGTGTTCCAACCAACCCCGCTCTCCCCTATGTGTCTAAATGAACCAGTACTGAAAGATCACTGTTAGGAGAACCGGTAGGCCTACTACGCGGTCATCACCTGTAATTATAAATTAAAAACCTCACTTTTTAAATAACGTTTGAATTTTTTATATATATTGGATCATTTCACAATTGATTGTAAGTCAAAACTTTTTGTAAGGCCCACTCTTCTGGCATAGCATTAAAGAACAACGTAAAAAGAGCACTGAATATTGCCCGGTAATGGAAACAAAAGAAACAAATCATTCAAAAAGCTGAAGAAATGATATGCTATCACGGAAATAGTATTTTGCTTACGTGAATTGGTTGAAGATGGCATGTGGTCCCGTCACCGTGATGGCAGGTGTCACAGGGCGACTATGATCAGGTGAGCGTGGTGACGGTGTAATAGCCCCTAGTCTGTCTTGGTCACCGTTCCCAGCTTCCCTTGGAGTACCATCATCCTCAGCTGTGCCTTCCGGTGCTGGACTCAACACGTGGTCGGATCTTGGCGTCGTGTCGTCTTCAGTTTCTGAACGTGGAGTTTCGTCTGGGTTTTTGTCCTCACCGAATTCGCCTTCAACTTCATCGTAAGCATGGATGTTTTCCTCTTGTTGTGAGGTTATACCGATATCTCGCAGAGAATCCTGGCCCTGCTGTTCTTTGCCACTAGCATCATCTTCAACTGGATTAGGACTGGCCGTTCCATTATTGTCTTTGTCTGAAAAACCATTTGCCATGTCGGAATCATCTCCTTTTTTATTATTTTCTTCATGAGCATTTTCCATATCTTTTAAAGCATCAGCGACGTGTTTTGTCTCGCGCACTACCTCTTCTGCCGCGACCGACGCCTCGGCTGTCACCACCTCTGCTTCCGCCGCCGCCTTAATGGCTTCTGTGAGGTCCAAGGCTGCCTGGGCAAGAACGGCTTTTGCGGCATCAACTTTCGCCTTGCTTGCTGCTAGAGTAAAAATAGTCAATTATTGAGCGAATGGAGGGGAAAAACGGAGCGATTTTACTGCATAGGGTGAACTTTTTTTTAAAAAAACGAGATTGCTGTGCTGCCTTTAACAATAAAATATTTTTATCTTTTACGTTCAGTATTCAGTACGTACTATGCGGTTAGACTGTATCGTCAAATCACTTATCAAAGCGTGTATTAGTAACGTTCTTTAAACGCTAACGGAAAGAAACTTCATCAATTATTTTTCATGAGGTTGTCTCAACAATGGGAGATGCCTTCACTTAAGCCCCCTTTACACTGGACGGCGTCCTTTCTGCGTCCAGCAGTACGACCCTATTTGAGAGTTAAAAAATTATAATATTTTACGTGCCGACAACTGGCCGATCATTGAGCATTCATTCTGATACAAAATCAATGCTCGTGCCTCCTTATTAAGACCACAGCGATGTCAAATTTCATGGTCGCAGAAAGGACGCAGAAAGGACGCCGTCCAGTGTAAAGGGGGTATTACCTGCTGACTCACTAGACAAGGCATCCCCTTTCACCTTCATCTTGACATCAGATAGACATTGTCTCAGGGTTGTTATGGAGCGAGACAACTTGTTGGAGAACTTCTCGCATTTCTTCAAGGTTCTTGATGCCGACTGAAGCCTCGTTTTCATTCCGTTGTAATCCTCCGCTGTCTCCTCGAAGTTGATTTTGTCCTTATCATTTTGCAAAGTTTCAACGATTGCGTCTAGATCGTTTAGAATGTTACCATTCTCAAAAACAGATGACACAGAGGACATGATAGAAATGGTGTCTTCGTCTTTCCTCTGCTTTGATGGGGACAGCCGTCTTGGTGAGCCATTTTTTTCATCGGCCTTATCAAACTTGTCATCGTCAAGATCACTGTTGTAGTCTCTGTCATCTGTGGGGATATTGGCAAAAAACTCGTCCGCAGGAGTTTCCATATTTCTATGGATGTCTTCATCTGTAGAAAGTCCACCGTTTTCCATCTTACTCGGACTGTCTGAACCAGGGCTTATATTGTCGGATTGTAGACCTGTTTTGTTAACAGTCGTGCTCTCACAACCACGAAGACTTTTTCTCTCCACCTCGTCATTCTGCGTGTTTGCTTGATCCTCTGTGCCTTCCCTGTCATCGACATGGTTAGTGTTGTAACTCAATTCACCCTCGGTGACCTCATCTTTATTTTCAGTTTCTCCTTTGTTTTCATTTTCACTTCTCTGCTCCGCGGTGCCGCCATCTTCTTCGTCCTCAAAATCATCATTATAGTCATCTTCATTGGCATCCAGGTTGTCTGGCGTTTTTTCGTTCTGATCAGTCACTACGGGTGGATCGTCTTCCTTAGCCTCCATATTAATTTTCAATTAAAGAAGCTTTGAAAGGTATTTTCCTAAAAGATACAAAAAGCAGAGATGCATAAAACTACAGTACAATAAAAAATCTTTGTTGGCTTTGATACCTTGTCGGCAATCGAAGAGATCACGTCACCTTTTCGTTGTTTAATATCTTAACGCGTTCTCTGCATTTCACTTGTTCTGATACCCAAAGGTATGTGACATCCATAAAGAAATGAATATCCCTACATAGTAACGCAAAGTATTAAAATAATCTCAAAACGGATAATAATGAATTTTTTCAAGCCAGACGGTTCTTAAATATGAAAAATATTGAGGACACAAGGCAAATGTGACAATTATGCGTACAGTCTTTGAACATATTGACAATTAAAATTGACTGTCAGTCGTCGATAGGTTGTGTCCCAACTCATACTGAAGTAATTAAATTTCGAAGAATCGGAGTAAACATGAACTAGCAATGTATTGTTTAAAGAAAAGGTATTGCTTGCAGTTGCTAATGAGTATCCTTGTGGAACTTCTCATCGTCTTAAAATCTCTTATCAGGCACTGGCTCAATTTTAATGATTAAATGTCTGATTTAAATTAATCGCCGTTTCGCGTAAATTTTGGATAAAACCCAGGCAACCCCCACTAGACGCACAGAGCAACAGTGATTCTACACAGAACACAATAAACCTCGTTCGTATAAAAGCTTACACTTGAATTCTGTTTCGACACAAGGTCATAGCGTTGCTTCCCGCTAATATTAGCTTTAAGTATACACCCAAGACGTGACATTTCAATGAAAATTCGCGTAAATTGAGTTGCAGTTACTATCCATTTTCTTTTCCATTAAAACTTGTGAAAATGTGTATATCAACGGAAGTCAATTTCCTTTCCGATAGAGAATGATCAAACTTCCTATCGGGCGTAATTTCATATTAGGTAACATGGATTAACAATCTGAGGCACGTAATATATACATGGATATACATGTATACAAGTATGGGTACATGTACCACTCGCTTGAATCTTCACGACGAATTTTACACATGCTCGGGCATCCCGTTCACACCTGTCCAGCATATGGGCATTTCATTGTCTATTTGCACAAAGTCCACCAAATGTCTTGTGTTTGTGGCAAACTAATGTTTACCAACACGTCTAGATTTAGGGCGAAAGAGCACGAAAAGGACCCTACATATTCTCATTCACTGTTAGATCTCACCCTTGTATCTACAGCGTTCAAGGATAACCAATACCTGAGAATTTGGAGCGATCTATTATCAGTTCAAACGTGTCTAGAAACAGGCGTTATGTGACTCCTGAAAATGGCATCTATATCAATCCCACAAACAGCACACACGTGTAAGAAAACAACTTACAAGGTCAGTGTATGCGGTAATGCAATCAACCAGTGGATGTGCACCACACGATTTAAAGAAAATGTTTAGGTTTCAGTCTAAAGAGCTTCAAGATACACAACATAAAATTAAACCGGGTTAGGTCTAAAACACATCCCTATGATGACCAAATAAAGACAATGATTGTATCACCAGTGACGCAGTGTGTCACCCCTGTGAATAGGGTGGGGGATAATGGCTAAGACGGTATCCGCGATCTCTTTTTGGCGTCATATTTAGTATAAAGCTTGTAAGCCTGAATGGCAGATGGTTGGCAATTGACACAGCAAGTTATCTTACATGAATATTTGCTCATATATATGCCATCTGAATAATCATCCAAGAATATCTAAGCGTACTGCTCTCACTGAATTTTGTAATCGTTCTCCTTGACGTTGCACAAGTAGATGACTCCAGCCAGACTGCCATGCGCTTATGAGCACATACTGACTGCGCAAAGATTTTCAAGTCTGAAACACAAAGAACAAAAAACAAAAAACAATCCTAGAAAAGTGTAAACATAACTTACCTCTTTTAACAAAAGAAAAACATTTAAACTTAGTCTCACAGGACACCTTTGAACAGCTACACAGTTGTTTAGTTACAGCTGTTTAACGTGATGTTAGGTTTGGGTGGCCATTGATTAACGGATCAATTACGCGGATACGTTGTCAATGGTTACATTTGTGAACGAGTCAACATTTTATTACAATTCAACCGTGCCCGAGAAAGTAAGAGTGTGTTGTATACCAACACAGCTTGTTTGTTTAAGTTAACATTAAGTCGTATTTTAAATTACCATGAAGAGGAAAGAATTAATTATTTTCGTATTGCATTCATGATTGACAGTATGGTATATCGCAAAAATACCAGAATTCCTTATAAATAGATCTGTGACTAACAACTTTCACTCAAAGTCAAATAGAACAGATAGTAAAAATTATGCAGAATATTGTAACAGTGCACGTAGTGGCCATACATCGCATACAATGTCAAAATGATTCAGAATCTCCTTTTCCTATCCTACCGTGTACCACAGACTTACTTTCCATCAGTATATAGAACAATCCTGATACTTCCTAATACAACTGCTTTCCGAGAGTTCAGTCGTTTTTTAATTTGAATAGATTTTTTTCTTAATATGCTATTATGCAAACAAAAAGCAACAAGAATGATTTTAAGCGCAAGTGTTCATACCATCCATGGAACGATATAAGTATAGAGCAGCGTTAGAGCGTAAGGGTTTGACTCAAGGCCATCTTGCATTTCTCACGCAAAAAACGAATTGATCCTAAATAAGCACTCAAGAGGAACAGTTCAATAGAGCAGTTCATACCTCTGAGCCAGTTGATGGGTTGTGGTAAAATACTATTGACTGATGCTATATCACTTTTCCAATATTGATAATTAATGAGGCTGTTTACGATCTCACATTCTGAAGTCAAAAACTAATGATTTTGCTCTTAGACGAGAAAACTGTTTTTTTTTTTCAATCTTCAATCAAATTTCTCGTTTCAGAGAACTAAAAAAAAGTACGCATTCTCCCCGCACAAGTTAAGTTGTTATATTTTTTCATTCGTATTCTCGTTTCAAATTTAAAGTGGGTCTTGTTTACTGTACCCCTCAGGCTCTGTCAAATTAAAATGACAAAGAAGTTACAACAGCTATAAGATGAGATGAAGAAGTTAAGTAACGCTATTTGCATTATGAACACACCTCCTTATACCAACCACTAACAGCGTCTCCTAAATCCATAGCTACGAAGTTGTATATTTTTTTCGAAGTGGGTCTCATGCTAAAAATTGGGACTTTTTCCCGTTGTTTTACCACATTGAGTAGAAAACACACCGCCTTGACTCTGGCTCGACTTACCTTTTGTTCACTGCTGTTTTGTGTGATTATTCTCTCTAGTCCTAAACTACCTGCTTGACAGAACCTTACGGTGATCTGTAAAGTCCACTATAGTGACCGTGATGTCTGGTCAATTCCGACCTCAAATTCCTGGCGTTCTACCTGTCGCGTGTGAGTTCGGCTGTAATAGTTTGGGGTATTTAGTTGGATTAAAGAAACATAAATGTTATGTTAGATAACACGGTATCAATTGCGTGGGGTTATTATTGACGTGTACAGGTACTGTATTGAACGTTGTATCAACATACACGCTATTGCACTGGCAGCTATTTGTCACTATGAGACATTTCGTGCACCTGTACAATATACCGGCCACATGTAAGATGTATGTGTTGATACATGTAGTATGTGTGCCGTCACCACCACACCCCAGCGCAGCACGCACGCACGCGCACACACACACACACACAAACACACACACACACACACACACACGTAAAGACGCGCTCACGCACGGGCATGCGCACACTTCCATAGTGAAGTATAGGAACATGTGCGCTAATTTACCCCACCGGACCTGTAAAATTATAGCATGATATTTAAAAGGGCAGAAGGAATGGCTGCTGATCGAAAGTTATCGAAATGTACCTTTTCTGGTTTATTTCTTGACTGGGTGCACATTTTATTAATTGGGCTACGACAGTTAAAACAGCAACGAAATAGCAACGAAAAATATTTGAACAGTATGGAAGTCTTATGAACATCGGGGAAACTTAAGATTATTGCTCATAATTATATATAATAATTATTGCTACGGCTACATGCTTTCACTAAAAAGTGTAAAGATGGCATTCTAAAACAGAGCTCTACTTGTATCGTAATGATTAAAACGGCTGCTATGTTAAAACTATGATCCGGTTGTTCACTGGGTCTAGAGCGATATCGAACCAAGGAGTCATACAACTACAATTGCGACAGATGAGCGCTCCTATGTACTTGACCACAACCAAAGATCTGAAAACACAGTCGACACGGAGTTTACGAAAATGCCATTGAAGCCCTTTAAGGAAACAATCCTTTCAAAATGGTTAGAATTTTTAATAAGCACACCCATTATCTTATAACTTCTAATTTATTGTCATTTTATGATAGAGTGATAGAGTGGGTGGTTGAAATATCTTTTTTTTTTTTCGTTTTAAGTCAACTCTTAAATTATTGGAAATTGATTTGTCTATACCTGGAGATTAAGGTTGCAAAATGGCGCCATCAAAGGTCAACTGCTTTAGCGATTTTCTTTGATTTCATGAAATAAAAACTGGTCAAACTTGCACACAAGCAATCAGTTTATCCAAATTTTACCTTCCTAAGACTTGTTGCTTGGGTCTTCTTACGTAACTGGTAACTTTCCTCCCGCGACAATTTATTCTCAAGCTGTTTCTTTACATTAAAAAAAAAGAATTGACTTAAAGTGCAACACTAAAAACCGCAACTGAGCCGTAATAACGCCGTGTTTAAACACATTACGATTTCATAGCCACGTTTCTCCATTCTGCACCCCTTGTATCGGGTTGACTTGTGTGTGTTAAAGCAAAGGTAAATTTAAACAGTGTCACCATGAATAAAGCGGAGTTGATATGTGAGAAAATGGGACCCGTTGAAGGAAAAGCGACTGATAAATTTTGTAAACAGTGGCTATTTGCTCATCGGTGGAGTATGCGCTACTTTAAAAGCCCACTTTAAGCCGGGAATGCACTCCTTAGTGACGGCCTAGCGAATCTCAACCGAATCGGTTATTCTTTACCAGTGACTATAAATTTTGGACCAGCAATTCACCGGCTCGGTAAGATTATTCATCTTTCACAACGTAACAGATATAAATGAGAAATTGATTCTGGTTGAATTCCAATTTACAGAAAAGATGTGATGATATCTGATTTACTGAAAAGCTGTTCCTGCGACATGAAATTAATCAGGTCTCAAGGCATTGGCGTTGTAATAAATCATATTAGGATTCAATCAGTTAAATGTTATTTGTATATGGTGAACATCAGGTAACTGGCAATTTTTCCCCTTGCAGTATTAAAGAGGGAGTTCTGCAAACAGAATTGGAAATGATCAAAGTCGTCAAAGTATCATTATACGAAAATGTAATTGATATTACCTTTAAGTATTTCCGTACTGCATCGTTCAAATATAAACCATTTGCCTTTTTTAACACTTTGACCTAGAGAATAACTTATACCCAGATAAATGAAGATGGAGCGTTGCAGAGTTAAAGATTAAGGGCTCGGTTTTAGTTTGACAGGCAAACATTTCCCTGACACGTACTCCAGTATATCCATGTGTATATATACTCTGCCACCGAACACCCGGGGTTTCAGAGTAAGTCTGCTTGCTTTTCTCTGTTACAGACTACGGTATACCGATAGAGGGCAGCAGATTACATTGAGCCGCAGGGTGTGATCTGCACAGGGTTTAACTCGATGTGACGATTTGAGATAAAAGGCGGAATCACGTCTAACGTAAGAGACCTTCTCAATAAGAGAGGGAGTTGATTAAGTTTCATGTTTTCAATTACTGGATGTTAATTGGATTCTCCTCTAAAGCTTCAAATCTTGTGTTTTTGAATTAATGTAACAAAAAGCGTTTAACCAATCTCCTAAATGTATTTGCACATAAAGCTTTAAGCTCAAAAGGCTTTTGTGATTGATATGTAGATCGAAAAATATCGATTTTCTTATGTTGCTGAATCATTTGCAAATACAGATGTAATACTTCTAGCATTTAATAGACTAAAACCATAACACAGAACCATTTTTACCTAAAAATGAACTGGTCATAGATTGCCCGATCCGAAAATTTTCTAATAAACCATTTTTTTTTTTTTTTTTGTAATACTGGTGAATTAATACTTTCATAAGTGGAATAATATTTATATCTGCGCACTGCTTCATCTGTCACACACTTAAATTATCTTGAGTCGGGTATCACATGTACCTGACGGCCTACCCCTGGATGGCTGTTAGCAACTGTGATGCCCTTCTTTCGCCGTAAAGATATAAGGGCGCGGACAGCTCGAAGAAACAAGTCCCTAACTACGCACGCATTTCATATTTGATTATATAGGTTTCTTTAAGATAGAAAAATGCACCATAAGGTGTGGCAGCTATACTTACAGACGGCTCAGAGAAGCTAGTAGGTCCAACGCTCAAAATCATGAAGCCAAATGAATCCGTTCTTTAAAACTAACCCTTTCTAATTTTTACACCATGGCATGAGGACTGTGTCACCAAGGAGCCGGCTTTTTCAAAGTGGTCCCAATTAAATCGTTATGATCGATTCCTGCTTGGCCTTTAATAACGAACGGCGGTGACATTTAAAATAACTGCTTTTTGTCTTTCGGTTAAGGTAATACATTTTTCATGAGCACAGTTGAATAGGTCTTGTTGATTTCTGATACAATCACAGTATACGGTGTATTGTCTGTGAGCACACAGAGAGTTGTAATGTGATCAGGTTAAAGGAAAGACGAGTGCGAGCTCCTTGTTTCAAATCAGGACAGTTCATAGGTGAAGACTTGATGGTAAGTCAGATGTAATTACAACTGGTCGAAAAACGTATTTTCGTTCTGAAATCTGAATATGGACAATTTCTTTTATGTTGAGGCAAGTATGGTACGCATATGAAGTATCTTGCAGTCCATAGGTTAACCTGTACACAAAGAGTAAGGTAGCGAGATAGCGTCCGAGATAGTCAACTCCTTCTGACTGCCTGTCGCTTGATTTTTACAATAATTCAGTAAGATTAGTATGATGAAACAAAAAGAAGGGATTGTACCGTTCAATAGGTTGGGTGACTTTTGGTAAACAGTGGAGCAAAATGTAGCATGAGAAACGGTCTCCTCAATTTTCGTGGATAATTCAACTTGATTAAATTTGACTGCATCTATAATTCGATCGTTATTAATCTTTTGACCAAGACCAAGATTTAAGCATAGACCTTGCGCCTTTGAATTAAAGTTACCTAATTGACAAAGGGCTTAGATCTTTTAATATGTTAAAACATACTACCGATACAGATAAACATACAGCAGTGTATACGGCACTATGAATATTTTATTTGGCGGCAATTCGAATTGATATTCAGGGGTTAATTAAATGAAATGCACACTACTAGAAAAGTAAATATTGCTGGCTTTTACTTCAAACTAATTTAACAAGGTGGATTTTATTTCTGTGAGCTTCAAATGTAGCTTGTTCCTCTTTATAAGTTAACTTACTTATACAAATACATTATACATCTGTTGTGCTTCTGAGAAATAGATGACTTAATTTCTGTTGCTTGTTTTCAAGCCATCGCAGAAATGATTCCACTTTGATTGCTGTGTTTAACATAAAGAAATGATTTCCAGTTTAAAGACCGCCCCATATGGTTGCATATCCCATCTTACAATAACCCGTTGCCATCATACAAAAGAAAAATAATTACATCCTTTTCTATTTGATTTCAGAAAAAAATGCGATGTGCTCCAACAAAGGATACAATGCACGCAACGGATGCAGGCCCATTATACCCCGGATGCTTTTAGTATGCTGTTGCTGAGGTTCTATTTTTTATAACGTTACCGAAGAATATAGACCCCTACCGCTTGCTTAAATTAAACGAATATTCTGGGAAAACCCACGAGGAAATTACTTCGTGGTTAACAATTCTGTGATAAACACTACGAAATTAGAGCCGCCTGCAGATTTTTGGATCAATGCAAGCGTTAAATGGTTTTGATAGTGCCAAAAGAGAAGTACGTGCCGACTGTTTATTGAGGTCTGTCAAAACTTCTCGCAAGCGATGGGATTATTTTCACTCCGCACTACAGATGACTGCTAATAGCAAATTTAGATGAAATGATTAACATTTGAAGTATTTTTTTTAGACCAATCTTTGGAAAATCATAATTTATGGATGAAAGCGAGCGTTACTCTTCTCTCAGACATTGAAATACCTCAAATACCATGACGACAGACAGTAATTTAGACGGGTGGGAGAGCCGTCTTCTTGTTTTTGACCGTTCTGGCAGCGGATTGGTGCACTCGTTTGTCTTGGACCAATCATGTGCGTCGTTTAAAGACAACTCGGCGATCACCGAGTCCTGGGTACAAACCAAGAGTTTTGTAGATTTTGCAGTGGTATCTCATGAGAATAAACTGTACATAACGGGAGGCTATAACACTGATGTAAGAAGACACACCAAGAGAGTTTTAAGGTAACGCAGCAAGGCATTGCACAACTTGGACAGGCTTTTAATTGCTTTTTAACTGAGTAACCAATTGAAAAATCAATTCTCATTTTCAGCCTATTTTAATGTTGCCTTTGGAAAACTTAGCGCAAGAACTCAACCTTAATTTGGAAGCTAATAAATCTCAGCGCTTATACACTGTAGTAGTACATGTAATGTCACGCAAAATGTATTTCTCATAACGTTCTAGGATATTGAATAGTTAAACGTAGGGTTACATGTATATAAAGTTTACGGGAAACATTTATCAAATCAATTGGTCCAAAAAGCATCTAAGTTAAATTTATATTCACATGCAGATACGACCCTGTGCTCGACGAGTGGTCGGAAAACTTCCCACCGATGCTCAAGTCTAGGTGCATGCACCAGGCGCTCGTGTTTGACGACAGGATTCACGTTATAGGTACGGCTTGAAACTCGGGTTGACGTGTATTCACTTTGAATGAGCGTCTGCTGTTTAAACGGTATTTTTTTTTTTTTGTTTTTTTTTTTTTTTTTTTTCTTGCCGCACTCACAAACATGTAAATGCAAGTATTTATATTCAGTATGTGCATTTAAGTGTCCAGATAACTATAATATAAGTTTTCTATTCTGCATCAAAATGCGCATTCCAGCATGCTTGTGTCCCTGTAAAGCCTTTAATCAATGCGGTTATTAGGAGAAAATTTTCATTCTGAACTGTAGGTGGCAGAGAAAAAACGGACGGCAGGACGACGTCCTGCTGTGACGTATACCAGCCTGGGGCCGAGACGTGGGAAAAAGGGTCCGGCCTCATAGGACCACGTGCTAACCACGCATGCGCCACAATGGGCCAGGAGATGTACTGCTCAGGGGGATGGAATAATGACGTGCCACACGAAAATATGTGGTATGTCATTTAATTCAGATTCAATCCAGATTTCAAATGTGAACAATTCTAAAATCGCTAAAAAATAACAAAGCACTATTCTGTAATTTTTTACGATTTTTGGAATAATTTTTTTCGAATGTCTTTACAAAAATCTTAGGCAGCGAATTGATTTTGAAACCCAAGGCATCACTCTTTACTCTGGTAACCCTATGATGCGCGTGGAGTCGATTTCTGTTCTTTGGCGCCGGTGGAACAGATCTGAACTTATGTGTGTTAATTTGGATTATTCAGGGTTTATGAACGCGACAAGTGGAGACAGATGGACCATGACTGCCCACCGAAACTGACACAGAATTTAGAAAGGCACTGCATGGTGGGGGTGGATGGGATATTATACTTTATTGGAGGTCTGTAAAGATGTCGCTTTCCTAAACTTCGATTATATAACACTTGAATTATATAATGTTTTTAGCATTGCGCATAACCATTTCCACTAATTGTATGATTTCATAAGCTTTATTCAGTAAACCTACTTGTATAGTAGTATTATCTGAAAGCTTTGGTCGTTACATGTGCATATACAGGTACTGGGCTCTGTTTAATGTTCTTAAGTCTATCACAGCTTTAAGAATAGCATTTCTTGCCTGAACTGAATTTAAAGTTACGGCATACATAACTACATGTACGTAGTTTAATTTGTGGCTTATAGTGGTGGGCATATTTCACGAAGGAATGTCATTGTATCAGAGAAGCAGGAATGGAACACCTGTCGCAATTTTAACGTAGCCATGCATGGGCTTACGAAACTCGCCGATCTTTAAAGGTAATCTTTGTGAGGAGCGGTGGAATAAGGGAAAAGGGGATTTTCTACATATGTTTGTCCATTGTAGAATTCACTTTATTTAAAATCATGGTATTTATGCAGAACTTTGCAATTTACATAGGCATCACCTACAGCCGAGGGCAGGATGACAAGTTATCGAAGAAGACATTGTCTGCAGTGGAAGCATTCAAATTCAGACTGCCCTACTCAGAGCTGAGTGCCGTGGATATGATCACGCCATGGGTGCGCAATCTACCGCCCATGACGTACCCAAGACACAGCGCGGCTTCCTTGGTGCTTGGTAAGTGACGGACAATCCGTATTACAGTTTTTTAGATTCCTTTTATTTATTTATTTATTTATTTATTTATTTATTTATTTATTTATTGTGATAACGGTATAAGTTGCACTAGTCGACTTATCGATGCAGCACCATATGAAGGAAAGGGAAATGACATTTGCATGTAGATTGATACAGTTTATACAGTTTCTTTTTAAACGATACGCTTAATGGTCTATAATACACATTTTGTCGTATGTTTTACCATTGTTGCTTATCCCTGTCTTGATTTAAACTCACAGGAAAGAAGATCTTCATGATTGGCGGTAGCGACACAGACACTAATGAAGAGGTAAAAACAGTGGAGGCGTTCGACCTGGAAAATAACACTTGGGAGCAAGTTTTTACACTTAAGCCAGGTACGAGATCTGGGGAATTTATACACAACCTAGAAATGTATTTTTTCAACCATTCAATTCTGTACAGATTAATTGCCTAACAGTTTAAGGAAATGTGTGTTTTTTATTTATTCTTATGTGAGATGAGTGACACAAATTGGTTTTATGGTAACGAGGTAGGAAAGGCTCAACGAAATCATGACTTATAAATATAATGTTCAGTCTTATGTTTTACAGTAAAAAGATGTTTATTTTCAGATGGCTTTTCTAATGTCACGTGTGCCATATTAAAATTCCCTCCAGAACCGGAACCACCTGATCCTTACGCAGACGTAAAAAAGCTCACAGAAAGATGGGTTCTTTGGTGACAGGAGGCTCCTAGATAGTGGCAGACGATGCTGCATTTCTGTTGAACTGAATTGAAATATCAAACACGTATAAATTGCGCCAATTAATATATAAGATTATTTTCATATTGAAAAAATAATATATGTATATATATTGTGTGTTACGTGTATTTATTCATTAATTTACCCGCATCCAGAAATAAAAGAGGTCTAAGATAAAATTTATGTCAGTATTTCTGGTGCCTGAAATGATGTCAAATTTGAAAATAAGTATTAATTAGCAAACAAATACTGTTTGCCGTAATTCTGCTCACAGAAATATTTTTCTTGTGTTTTTACATTAAATGTGGAATAATAATTGATTTTCTTTGTTAAATGGTTATCATATTGAACGTGAATAAACATTAATAATATTTTTCCATTAAACTGAGACGTTGCTTTTTCCTTCGTATTGTTGGTCCAATCTTTTTTGTATACAGCAACTTCGTATATACATGTACGTGGTATAAAATGCTAATATTTCTTTACAAGTTTATGGCCTATGCTCTTTTCTATGGTGTGGCCCATTTCCATAATATACACCCTATACCATAATATGCATTGCTTGTGAATATTACAACACTCAATATGCACACAGACAAAACAATTTCATTATCATTAAGCTTATAAGCTACTAGTCATACGAACCTGAACTTAATATATCATTGATAACTCGAGACCTTAAGCCAACCTAACGCTCTCACTGAGTGCAGGCGTGATTTAATGCATGGTTTATCCCTTAATCGGAATATAAAACGCTTTGTGAGACCCTAAGTACTTTTTAAATAAAACGATATTATTTACCTGGGGACGAGTTTTCAATAACCGGTCACCAAAGTTGAAAAGAACTATGTTTTCACTGTGATTTACTGTGTTGGTTTTAGACCCGGTCGCAAGTGGATTATATACAAACCTTTTCTTCTCCGTGAAAGATTTTGTAACAACAAGGGAATTAGCGCTTTTCATGTGCCCTTCGCTGTGCGATGAAAAACATTGTGTCCACAATGTTTATTTCAGAGACTTCTTAAGAATGACTCGAGGCATTTTCTTTGTATTACTGCAATGTTTACTGGGGAGAGGTGGTTACAGACCTACACCATTCATGTTGTGACGAAAACTGAAGATAACTGAACTGAAATAACGTACAAATTTAGTCACTGATATTATTATGTATTTAATGTAAAACACATGATCTAAACGCGCCGAGAATCAGAGGATTATTCGGAAACACGAAATCCGCTATCTATGAAGACGAACGGGTAAATTTGAATACGATTTCGTGAATGAATTTGAATGAAGTTTGACAAATGACGTTGGAGCCAGCTAACTGTCAGAGAAATGTCCAAGCAAACGGAAGCCAAGTTGCTGGGATTCAGCAAGGATTTCATCAAAAGTAAGTATGACGTAATTCGCCAAAGCGTTAGAGGACTTCCAGCTGGAATGACACATATACAACTTGCCACTATATGTACTTGGGTCTGAGGTATTAATATTGAGCACTTTCTCATAAACTACAGGTATTGAAGAAATGTGCCATAAGAGAGACAGCCTTCACAAGGAAATCGTGGCCACACAGAAGGAGCAGAAAAATATCCAGAGAGACATTGGGGTGCTGACGGAGAAACTTTCTCAGATCAGTCAAAGTATGGCGAAAAGAATGGCGGAGAGAAATGCATATGACAGGACGATACAGGAGACGGAAATAGAATACAAAAGGGTTTGTTTGTTGATGAAGTCTCTCTCTCTCTCTCTCTCTCTCTCTCTCTCTCTTAAAAGGATTCGGCATGCTACCGAAAATTACTCCCAGCTGTTAGGAAAGCAAATAGGTTAATTTAAAATGAGGATAATCTCTACACCTTTTTTATAATCCACATTAAACCATGTATTTATTATCTCTTTCTTTTTCCAGATAAGAGAAATCTTGCTAAATCCCTTGGCGTACAGAGAACGACAACTTCGAGAAAAACGAGAAGAGAAAATAAACGAGCAGGCGCAAGAGCAGGCTAAAAAGACATGAAATGAGTTATGACATTTTTTCTTCAAGTTAAAGGCAATACCGCAAATGAGTGTACGGATGGTGCTATTTGTCCTGTACTTTTTGTGATGGCTCCATTTCAACTGACACACATGTTGGTGGATATTTACACTTGTTTATAGAATCATGTCAGTTTTAAAGCTGCCGGATAAGGCTATGGTTGTAACTGGCAAAACAAGAGGGTTGCTGTTTTACATTCCAAGTATATGTGGTAGTAGTACATTGTAGTCACGCGCAAAATGCAATATGATTATGTACACATGATGCTTAATGTATAATTTTAGATTTATTGGTAATATAATGCAATTTTAATTTCAGGCGATACTTTTTTTTCACTTATATAAATATTAAACGAATGCTACATGTAAAACAATGTCATCCAGTATGAGTGTATTAACTTAATTGCTTGTCATCGTTGAATAGTTCTTCAATATCTGGTGTATGAAAATATTATATTGACATCCACAATACCAAAGACGAATACGTGCATGTACTAGTAGAATGCAATTATGCCAGACAATAAAACGTTTTTCATATGATCATTAAAAAACGATTTCAATAAACCTTAACGATATTGTTTTTCTTTTTGTTTGTTAACAGTAATGAGTTAAAGAAAATAATCTTGAAAGATTAGTGAAAGCGAAAAAATAATGAGTTTGATTTATTGGTGTCATTTAATGAACAAATAAAAAGAATGACCCGTTGGTGCAATACGATGTGTTTTAACAATATTGCAAGTATTGGCATAGATTAGTCGTTGTCTGTCAAAATAAAAAAGTGTGTATAGTTTATTCTACGGAGTCACAGATGCGTTCATCAGAAATAGGAAAATCACGTTTGGCTTTCTTAACCCAGTAGCATTTAGAAATCTCTTTTATCAAAGATATTGTGCTTTTTACCAAAGCTTTACCCTCATCATTGATTCTGTCTGCTACCCACCAATATATACTTACGGGAAGTATAGTTTGAAATTCTCTAAACAGATTCTCAGCACAACAAATTAATTCTGTAAATGATTTTATTACATTAGGCTAAATTGTACAAAATATAATAGTGCATATAATGCATTTAACCCAGATGACTACCTAAACTTTGAAATCCCATCACTTTATCAAAATCTGAGCATTGATATAATGTAAAATGTATAATGGAAATTTTATAAATGTACAAAGTTTTCCAACATCAGGTTCAAATAAATATTCACATCAAAAGTATTTTAGATTACAGAATTGCTATTTCACTTACATGTATGTCAAACAGTTATACAAAAGTAAAATAATACCTTAACACAAAACACTTTTTAAAAGTTTTTAAATTCAAATTTCATTAATATATTTGAATTTTGTCGTGTGTTTAACGTCGTCAATGCTAACTGATATGATGTGCTCTGCAATAATACATGTAATTGAGTATTTTGTTTGATATTGCCCTATAAACAATAGGATATACCGATTTTACCAGAGGAACTGAGGGCCAAGTATATTTGATATACCCTGCACTGTAGTCACCCATAAATAATGCTGGTAAAGCTGCATAGAAACCATCAGTCATATCAAACTAAAATTTCTTAATTCAATCGAGTTAATCAACAGCACTTTCAGATTCAGTAAACGAATCATAACTGTCCTTCATTGTGTCATACATAGTGCTATGCGGTGTCCCATTTGGAATAGGACTAATATTGCCATTCAGTCTGTAAGTCCCCATCCTGCCATCCGCCTCATCATCGTCGTAACTTAGCCTGGAGATGTCGTCCCTGTCGTGTGGCGCATGTCCATTAGCTAATGTTGAGGTGAGACCCTTCACTTTGTGATTGATCCGCGTGTTCATATAGTCCCAAAGCACCTTGTGGCAGAATTTATATTGCGTCTGAAAAAGAAAAGCATATGCTTCACTTATTTAGTCCATCTTCATTTGTATTTATGAAGTTCCTGTTACAATCGGATCACTTACAAAATAAATAATTACCTTAGTACCTTAATTCGGAACTTTTCACTTACCAAATTTCCGACAACTTGCGACCGGCGTCTCTTGATATGTTTAACAGTGTGGAAGACGTCAACTTCACCGTCAATTCTCATCTTCTCACACAGGCACATCACTGAAACAAAAAGGCCACTATGCGAAGCGCCATCTATGCAGTGTATCAGCACGCGCTTTGGATCGTCTGCTTCTTTCAGCCATTCTTCAGCCATATCTAAGAGAGACATAAAGGAGTCTGTGTTTGTTGGAACGTGCTGTTTCATTGGCCATTCATCAATCTGAATGTGACGTATGACTCTCGATTTTTCATGAGCACGCGAGACGTTGTGAAATTTCAGATCTCTTATAGTCACGTGTTGGGGAGATTCGTCTACGTTTGTTAACTGTACTTGGAATATGTCAAATTTGACCGGCTCTGACGTGTGAGGTGGAAGATATTCCCCGCATGAATCGTCCTGCAAGGCTCTGTCATCAAGCATCAGTATCAGCGACACCTGATAGTCATACACTAGTTTCCAAAAATCGGTGACTGTGTGGACCATAGGGGACTGGGTTAAAATAAACTGATTGTGCCTCGTATAGCTGTCAATAAATATGGCATTAATATAGTCACTTGTATTTGACCCGCCGTGTGTTAAAATACGTGGTCGAAACCTATCTACAGGCATGATACTAATGTATCTGTTCTTCTCCCTGTTTTCCACACTGAGACCCGAACAATCGTCCGTTTTCGAATCTGGTGTAAATCTTTGCAACGTTTGGAACTGTTCATCGAAATACGACTTTGTCGTACTTGGATTAATCTGTGAGAGTGCTTTGTACTTTTTGCGAAGGTTAAAACTGACGTAAGGCTCTTCGACTATGAGCTTCTCCATCAGGGCGTCGTAAATGTACATGTATTGCTTTAAAGTTCTAATCATATGTACCCTGTTTTTACGCATTTCGTTAGCAAATTTCCAAACGTTAACTTTCTTTTCCATCTCAGCCTGTTTGGTTAGTGCGTCTATTGCAATAAACGTCGCCGTCCGACTCACTCCAGTTCCACAATGCACCAAAATGGGACCATCTTGCGCATGTGTGTCGGCCTTGACCCTGTGATGAAATTCCAGGAATGGTATTGGATCCTCTGGGCAGCCGTGGTCCGGCCACGAGGTGAAATGGTACTGGCTGACATGCTTGATTTCTCTCTCTTGTACAAATAATTGGAATTTCCGTACGGTAAAATGTGCAAAATCGGTAGATTCCACTATTCGAACGTGTATCTTTCCGTACTTGAGATTTCCTTCATTTGGCCAATATTGCTTGCACTTTGGCACCCCGTCTTCTATGGGTCTGGTAACCATTACAATTTGACTCACATTCTCTTGCAATATCATGCGCCAGAAATCCACCACTGTTTCATCAGTAAATGGACTCTGTGCTGCTATGAACGCTTTTCTCTTTTTGTACCCATCAATGAAATTGGCATTGATATAATCTGTAATGCCACTCTCTACGTCTCTAAGCACAACTCTGCTGTGCTCATATGCAAGGATCTTGCTGCAATGGTTCTTGTTTATGTTCTCTGGACGTTCAGCCGTGTGACACGGAAACTGCTGCCCCTGTGGTAGCTTATAGTACTCTTGCTCTATGGAAATTGGCGGTCGGTCACGTAAACGACCGATGCTGATATCAGCAGGGTTTTCTTTAGTCATTAAAACATATCTAGACTCCTCGAGATCGAAAGTTTCGTTCCATATACCATGCACCTTTTCTTCCCCCATGAAGTTGTTCTTATAGTAACCAACCCATTCTGGTTCGTAATTTTTCTTGGCATTTCTTTGTTTACGGAACCACCACAAAGCAATTATCATGGCGGCAATTAAAACAAGGACAGCTAAAATGGCAACAACCACGTACACCACCACACCGCCATCACCACCACTGCCACTCTGCCCTGTGGAAATGCTTCCTTTCGTTGTCACAGGCTCGCTCAAGGCAGCAAAAGAAGCCTTGGTTGCTCCATCTAGGGAGCTTATAACTATGAACCTCACGTTATAGCGAGTCCCAGGTTCTAGCACGCTGTTGTTATACCCATTTCTGACAGTCCCCGATCCAATCTTGAAATTTATTTCTGACTTTCCTGCAAAATCTAATGTCTCTATTTTAACCACACTGTTTCCTGGGATATCCTCGACGGTTGCTCTCTTTTTACGGCGGCCCGCAAGCTTTTCTACTTTCACAAGGTAATGAGACAACGGTCCGGTGGTTATGAGAACCGGTTTAAGAGTCACAATCATCGACGTTTCTTCCGTAGACACAACCTCCGGAGGACTCGGGGCTTCAGGGTCGCCGATTAGGGTGTAAAAGGTTTCTCCAACACCGGCACCGTAACCCTTGCTGGTGCGGGCTTTAAGGGTTATTTCGTAGGCAGCGGCCATGACAAGACTGCATATGGCACGTGTTGTCATAGCCCCGGGTACATCTACTGATTCTTCCTGTACTGATCCCACGTTGCTGAAGAATCGAGTTGCCTTGAAGGTAAGCTGAAAAAGAAATAACCCATTTACCTTCATAATCCACAGGCACAGGTTAAACTTGATATTTATATCCAACTACCAGTATGGGCTGTCACGGTTGCTCGAAATTCAATCATATAATCATATGTTCAACTTGTCAAACTGATGAAAAGACCCACATCTTTGCATTGCCAGCAAATGACAAAACAAATATGTCGAAAAACTAAACAAATATGTCAAATATGACAGCAGAAAGAGTAAAATTTTTAAAATGTGGCGGGTTAGTTGTTTCGTTTTGTTTTCTTTCTGTTAACTTCATTGAAATTCTGAGATCGCCGCTTAGATATATAAATAAAGATAAAAATGATTTAAAAATAAAGAAAATACAGAACTCACTCTATAAAGTGTTATAATTCCATTCGGCGAAGATGGTGGTTGCCACTTTAGCCATATACAAGTCTCATTTCTGTTCTGGCGGGAAAGAGGGCCTGGCTTGGATGGCACGTCCTCGTCTGTCACCTTGGTGAGGATAGAAAAGGGACCCAGACCAGCGCTTGTTCTAGCTCGAAGCTAAAATCAACAAGGACAATATGATGCAATTTTATCACCTAATTCTACGTTCTTTTCGTTCAGTTTGAGTAATTTACCTCGATTTAAGGTGTATGGTGTGCTGTAGCACTTTTCTGTGTTTCATTTGACTTCAAACTTTCTTACAAATTTAAGTATGGTTAATGAAATAGAAAAATGTCAAATACAGTAAATACCACGAAAAGCAATACACAATAACTAAACAAAGCATATCAACAAGAACAAAGAATTCAAAACTAGTTTTTGAGATTGCCAGAATATTCATTAAAACAAAAGGTGATATTGCAGCTGGCGATCTAGTAGTGCGCAGCAGAAAATCACGAGAAAAAGACACATCACCATTACAGCATTGCATTCCAAGAGAGAATTTCAAAATTCACAGGCTCTATGTGTGTGTGCGCGCGCGCGTGTGTGTGTGTGTGTGAGAGAGAGAGAGAGAGAGAGAGAGAGAGAGAGCACTAAAAACTTCATTACCATCAACGTGTAAGTGGTGTAAGGAAGCAGGCCAGTTAACAGAAACGATCCTCCAACAGGGACAGATGTATTGTAGACAACTCCAGGTTCTGCAGTAGAATTGTACCACAGCTCGTACTCAGTGGCCCCAGGGACGTCGTTCCACGTCAGACTGATGTCGTTGGCAGTCGCTGAGGGAGCCGCCAGGCCTGTGGGCGCTGCGGCAACTGAATAAAAACGAAAAATAACATTCCATCATCTTCTGTTTTCACGTGCATGTTGAAATGTTGGCGAGCAAACTATATTTAACCAAGGAGTTATAACAAACTTAACTCCTTGATTTAACACATCAAATAAATTGTTGCATGACCCTTGCAGGCTTAAGCTTATGATAAATATTTCAAGTTCACTCTCTTTGTTATTCTGTATACTCAGCACTTACACTTAATTTGTGCATACAGGTCTCAGTGAGGTTACAAATTTTAAGGCCCACTCCAGACAGAAATAGATAGACCGATATATAGATAGACAAACATACAGATAGATATGGACAGTCCTTACCTCCCCCTGTAGTAACGACATTTGCTGTCGTCGTTATTGGCGTTGTTGTTGTTGTTGTTGTCACCGGTGTGGTAGTGACTGTCGTGGCAGTAGCTGTAGTAGTCGGAGTAGTTGTTGCAACTAAAGTTGTTGTCGGCGTGTCTGACAAGGTCAAAACAGGTGCTTCCAAGTCAGAATAAGCTATCTTGGTCACACCGTCCAAGGAACTCACCACCGCAAAATACACGTTATAAATCGTACTGGCCTTCAGCGACGGGTTAGCATATCCACTATTTGTTGCATTGTCTCCGACCGTAAAAGTGGTTTCCAAATTATTTGGTTCAAACCGGGCCACTATATTCCCAGGCAGGTCGTTCAGCCCTAACGCCCTTCGTCGCCGCCGTCGCCCAACGTTCCCCTGTAGCCTCAGTACGGAAACGAGGTAATACGAGAGCGGGCCAGTCGTAAGGATAACAGGTTGTAGTAACACGGTGATTGTTGAAGTGGTGTAGGACTGGACTGTTGGTATTGCGGGGGCAGCGGGATCACCTATGTAATATAAGATAATATTACAAATTAAAGAAATCGCCAGGTTCGTTAATTATTGCGTTGTTAAAGGATAACTGAAAACTCATACCTAAGTTGTTTCGGTTTTTTTATAAATATGCCAGTATTAAAAGTGAAAAAAGTCTTTTAGTTTACCTTTTTTCGAGATCAGTTCAACATATCAATACCTTCTTACGTCGGTACTCATATATTGTAAAGTTCAAATCAAATATATTATTTTCTCTTTACTTTAAGTTGCAAATGGACTAGTTTATTCACCAATGATTGTCATGAAGGTCTTGATCAATCCCTGACCAAAGCCCTTGCTGGTGGCGGCAGACACGGTGATCTCATACTGGGTACTAAGGCGTAGCAGGCATAACGTGCGCGATGACCTGTTGGCGGGAACCTCTAAAGTGCCTGTCTCTGGAACCTGGTCCTGGCCTGTGCTATAGGATAGGCCTTGTTGGTAATGTATCTAAAATAAGTCAGATAATGTAAGTTACTTATTAAACGTTTAAGTTAAAACACAAAAGAGGTTGTGCCAGGTGGTTTTCACCAATAACCGTAAAAGTCAACATTCACCTTGTAAATTCAATGTATATGAAATAAGGGCGTCCGAGGAAGTGTATCTTATGAAACGTGTGCGTGTGTTTGATAAAACGCCATGGGAAAGTATGTACGTATCCTTCATGTATAGAAGCATTGGGCCTACTTTTGTATATATTCTTATCAACATTATTATTTCCTTTTAATATTATTATAAATGAAATTTTGTAAACTTCATTGTGCCTACATGTATGTACTTTCCATAAGTGAAACGGCTAAATGCAAACATTGAAGTTGGAACTTCCTTGATGTCACACCCTTAATGGACCAATGGCCTCTTCTTAATTTCTGGTTAATACCACGGTATTAATTTAAAAAACTTACCCTGTATGTAAGAATCACCCCGTTCGGCACCACAGGCGTTCCCCAGTTCACCGTGAGGCAAGACTCATTGCGGGAGATTAAGACCAGTGAAGCGGGCGCGGACGGAACGCTCTCATCTGTGCGTGCTGATAAATGTGCACTTTCAGGGCCCCAGCCTACAGATGTCCGTGCTGCCACCTAGAGAGAGAAAAAATTATAATAAATAAATAAATAAAGAGATAAATAAAAAAATAAATAAGTGAGCTGCCGAGCACGCCAGTACACATTCTATCAGTGAGTTGGTCAGTCTCCGAGTGAGTGGGTAAGAATGTGCATAAGAAGATAAAACGAATTAAGGAAGAAATAAAAGGGTGATAATAAATTAATTCATTCATTAATGAATGGTAACCGCAAATTAATAAATGCAACCATAAAGAATCTCACCGATATGTTATACACGGTATACGGATTCAGGTTTAATAACTCAGCCTGGTTAGTCTGCCCCTGTGGTGCCAACAGCCTGGTGATCAGAGCCCCAGACCTGTCAGATGTGGCCCTGTAGGTCACTCTATACTGTAGTAATATCCCGTTAGGGGACTGTGGTGCCTGCCAAGCTATCAGCAGAGATGTGTTGCCGGCTGCTTGCAAGGCGAGGTTCCGAGGTGATGATGGCACTGAAGTGAAACAGGTGTAGTTCGTACATGGGGTTTTTTTGTCTTTCTTTTTTCTTTTCTTTCTTTGAAATTCTATCTTTCCTTTTTTCAAATTCTGTACTTTTTTCCAATGCTTACTTAGCACAGGTAATATTTCTCTCATTCATAACACATTAATCAAACTAGCTAAAGAAATGTCCATAAACAGAAGTCTAAGGAAACAAATAACTTACCGTCCTCTGAAGTAGAAAAATTATACGGCTCGTTCAACGGGCCTACCCCCACTTCGTTCATCAAGGCCACCCTGGTCGCATACGTGGTATAAGGCTCTAATCCCTCCACCGTGAATGACGTCAAAGTGACGTTTACGGAGCGTATCAGGTTCATTTGGCTGTAGAGGGATAGCTGGTATTGCTGGACATACCCCAAGAAGTATCGACAGGCCGGAGATGTCCATTGTATGGTAACCGAGGTTGGATGGGTGTCGGATGACGTAAGACCTTGGACTTTGGTGACGGGAACTAATTTGTAAATAACAATAACCATTAAGATATTAAACGTTAATAATGAAAGAAAAAAAAACATGGCATATTTTTTACACAATTTCCACGCCCATACACTGTAGTACGAACTGTGGATGTTTTAAATTGTCACCAGTATAAAGCTCACCATCATTTCTCAATATATGAATTAAGTCAACCATACTCAAACAAAGCGTTTGTCTCAATCAGGGTACTCTAATGTTAATGAGCTCCCCCCTCCCCCCCTCATCTCAATTCTCATGTCTCAAAAATTTCCAAAACACTCACCGTCCGCTGAGGTCACGACGCTTGCTATCCGGTCAACGCTAGTCCCTATCCTGTTAGCTGATGTGACCACTATTCTGTACGCTGTCCACGTGGCCAGTCCTTGGATACGGTATGACGTAGTGGGCGCTGATACAGTGACCGTCTCTGGTGGGGCGTTGGTGGTGGGAGACTCCGTGCAGTTGCCGTATCCGCTTATCTGAAATGCAAGAGCCATTTTCTTAAAATGTCTGAAAATGCTTGTTCATGCTTGTTCATAATACACACTATAATATATTGTATGGTATATTGTAGTTTTTTTATCCTTTAAAGCAAAATTTGTCCTAACATTGACGTATCCAGGCTTTGCCTGAGAGTTGATGGGGGGGGGGGGGAGAGGAGGGTGCAGGAACCAACCAACCCTGGATATATAAAAAAAAAGATAAATAAAAAACAAATGTCAAGGCATTTGTGCGCATTGAAACGGACTTTTAGCACATACCGGAGGTATGCTGGAATGCTAATATAAATGTTCTTTCCCATCTTCTCGTAGCTTGCGATTTGACACCTTTCATTGTTGTATTCGCTTATACACCTGCAGAAGACAACCAAGCATGACAGGTGTGCTTTCTTTACGCCGTAAACAAAGTCCGGAATTCAATCCGTGAAATTCGATCACTGATATAGTAGTTTCTTTTAGAGCTTGAAAAGTATTATCCCATTACACCCTTTTCACATCTTTTCCTCACTGCAGATATATGGCAAAATAAACAGGGGTCTAACAAAGACAAAACATAAACTACAGTACCAAATAGACTGGCGTAATTTATAAAATAATAATCAGGTATGCTAAATTCATTATGCTATGTCAACGTCTGTAAAGCCTCTCTTCTGGTCCTCAAATCAAGTTCGGTCCCTTGGTTCTAAACTGTTTACAAGAAGCTCTGTACTGGTCCTACACCTGTAAATGTCCATCATGACGAGTTCAAACGTGTTCCCCAAACGTTTCCTTGGCTGACTCTATTATGGTCTCCAATATTTGAGGTTTAAAACTTTAAAAGGCTACCAAAAAACGAACGTAAACTGAATGTTAGAAAGAAATGCATTTCNGGGGGGTACTCACTCACTGTCATGGCCGTGCGTTCTTTATTCCGTTTTAAGTTAGTATAAGCTCTTATTTTCATATGGACGAGTTTATTCCCGTGAATTTCCTAAATGTCCACTGGACCGTCAAGAATTATAGTGATTCAGAGCTTATATAGGCACAGTATAATGCATTTTTACTGCATACGTTTTATAAATCTATTAATACTGCAATTTATGTAAAAAGCTCCCTATCAAGGATAGTCTAGCTACTTTATTCATTTACGCATTTTGTTTTCAGATTTTTTTTTTCAATTTTCAGGATTAAGGGTTTAGGTATGGTCACTATAAAACTGCCAAAATGTAGGCGTTTTGTGCAAGTAGTAGAAATGGATTATATTATTTTCGAATCAGCGGATATAAAATAAACAAAGTTTATTAATAAACGCGCAATATATTCGTAATTAAAGCACAATTGCTTGTTTGACTGCATTTAAACTAGGACGCAACTGACCATAATGTGTGTTTGATTGACGGGGCTGGTTTAGAGATGTGCTGCATACCTTGTTGGTATTTATACCTAGGCCTTCACAAGCTACATATCCCATATCATTCGGATAATGTTCAAGTGATGTTTTGCTACAGGATGACAACTTAGCTTCCCAATTGTATTGCTTTAGGAGCGTTCAGTGAAGGGAGTATCATGAAAACCCAGTGATCTGACCAAAGACATTGTGGCAATTTGATCGACTAATGGTAGAGGACAGATCCAGTATAACTACGTAGTATAAGTATGCATACCAATGCAATTTACTGTTACACAACGCTGTACTCCCTTGGGCAAAATTAAAGGCTAACATCCCCGTTTCAATTTACATGTACCACTTCAAGGGAAAGATTCAGAACAGCACCCTGGCCTGAATTTTGATCTTACAAACTGACCTCTGGAAAACCACAAAATTTTCTTTCATGCCCGAAATCTGTGAATTTAAATACTCGATCCCCACCATTAAAAGTGCCACCGACCCTCACATTGACTGCCTCTCTTGTTATAGAGCACAATTCAAATTAATTTATTAGAGACAAACCTAACTGTTATTACAGAATCGGGATTCTTTAACATACTTTTTGTCTCGACTCCAGGGTCGTCTCAATTTCTTTTTCATCCTATATATATATCTTATTCAGATGAGTGGCCCTTATCGCAGCATCTATATTTAAGTTCATTAAAAACCACAAATCAAACTAATTGTGTGTACGCGCCGTAATGTACATGATCTTTGGATGGTTATTTTAAGTAATCCGATGTTGATAATTTCGAATCCTATACATTATAGTAGATGTGCGTACATGGAAAGCATCAAAACAGACTAAAGGCATTTTCGCGTCGATCATTATACCGTTTTATTTGCATCTCATCTGTAGCGAGATTTGTTGCCAGATTAACGAAGCACTGCACAATTATGTAAGAGAACCACGAAAACAGAGCACCCGCACCAGACACACATTTAATTTTGGTTGGTCCGTAAGGGGCTTGCAGTCGACCGGAGGCAGAGTTGTGAATCAATCTACAGTATATTATTTTCCGTTTATATAAAAGTTACCTAAGTCCCGCATAACGCTATGTCAAAAATTGGTCACTTTATGACCCTTTAAAACACCGCTACAGATGTAGACACTCCAACTCAATTAATTAAGTTCGATGTGAGAAAACTTTCAACAAAAAGTGAAAATGTGAGCCACATATATTTAGATTAATATCGGAATAAATATATGACACGTTCCATTACTTTCACTGGTTTATTTCATTGTACCCTCTAACAGGGAAAGCAGTCAGCAGTTATTAAAAGTAATATGAAACATTAATAAAAACGTTATGCAAAACGTGAGCGGTTGGGATAAGTTAATTTACGCTCTCATCTTTCATATGAAAAAAAAAATGAATATTTATTACAAGAGTTCATGTTATGAAATAACGATCTGAAATGAAAAAAGTCAAGTTGAGCCTCTTTACTGATATACTTTATCGTGTTTCGTGACTATCTAGCTTGGTCGGTTAAGAAGATATATAGCCCCCCTGCCAACACTAATTTCAACCTGTAAGATTGGAAAGTCGGTAGTCTGGCTCGGGCAATAAAATCTCACTATCTCCACATCTGGTTTCTATCAAACGCGTTCAGAGCTTCAGAGCTTAGGACAAACATATTGCTCCTCGGGACAGGAAATCTGGAGAGGGGGAGTAGAGGAACATGTCTTCTCAATATGGAAAGCTATATATTTTTGGTAATTTCCTTTGTAACATTTACAAAATACTATAAAATACACTTTCTCGAATTAATATCATGTTCACACATTTCTGTAAATATCCTGAATTTAAATACTAATGATAAATGTCAGAGACTTTGATTTATGACGAGAGAGAGAGAGGTTAAGACATTCTGTAAATGTCCCGAACTAGAGGAGAGTGTTATAAACTAAACACATCTTGGCAATAACCCGTAGACAGTTAGCCTGCAGAGTGGTTTAGTTATTATTATCAACATTATTGTTTATATTTTTATTAATATCAAACAATTTTACTGTTAGCAGCTATACCTGTTTGGAACCTCTATTCTGCGCCATATAATAACAATAGTGCAAAGTAGTGATATTGTAAAATCCTGCAATAAAATTTTCTTCAAGTTCAAATATCAAATTTTATTAGATGGTTGAATACAACATCAGTAATAGGACAGTAATAGAATTCAGTATAATGATACTGAATTGTTGTAAAGACATGTAGGAAGCAGGGTGACCATATATGCTCGGAATTTGTCGGAGAGGGAAATTTCTCGAGTTTGTTCACTGCCCTGTGAAGCCACATTTTGTGGTCTGAGATGCCGTATCCGTTACTTCGTGACCCGACCTGTCAAAAGCACGTCTGCGCGCTCTTTTCATCTTTCGTCGATTCTTCCACATTAATCAAGATACGGAGTATCAATTACAAGTGGCCCGGGGGGGGGGGGGGGTGAAGGGAATAAATAATTATATGTAGTATCCTTGCGACACACGGTTACTCTGCAATTTATATCTTTCAATTTATGCTGTGAAATAATAGCCAGCTAGTCCGTTGATCTCGCGAATCAACCAAATGACCGTTAGTTGAGTTGCTTAACTGCAAGTAATCAATCCCCTCCCCTCCCCCGAACGTCATACTGGCAGGTTTTCAAATGAAGACTATACCGCAGAAAAAGTTTGGGGCCCAAAAGAGAGTCAGCCAAGGACACGTTTGGGGAACACGTTTGAACACGTCATGATGGACATTTACAGGTGTAGGACCAGAACAGAGCCTCTGGTAAACAGTTTAGAACCAAGGGACCGAACTTGATTTGAGGACCAGAAGAGAGGCTTTACAAACGTCTTATACACGTGAGCTTGGACATACTACGGGTCCAAGATGTAACCTTCTGTCGTGTACTGAAAGCATTCTAATAGTGCAATTTGGGGTAAGCCAAGTTCTCATATAGAAAAGTAAAAATTAGCCGCAATGATGATATCCTGCAGGGTCACGTCTGTTTTCGTGCCATAAGAGTACAATATGTATTAATAAGCTTATATTTACTCTATCCTTTGTGCTTCCATCGCACACTATATGTCTTTCATAAGCAATGCAATGTCACCGCCGAGGTGAATATTTGAACGCAGATCTTATAAGGAAAAATTTTCCCATCATTTCAAATGATGGGATACTTTAACAATACTTTAACAATTTTGCATGCTAACTAAACATTTTTTTTTAAATATTTTGACTCATATCTTGTATCGCTGGAGTGTCAACATGGGAAGAACAGATCTATCGATCATTTATAGCACTGTGATGTTATAACATACGTGTAAAGTTGGAGGTCACATGCATGTTGCACATGCATTCTGATACTTTTCCATGGGCGTGCCCACGTCTTAACGTGGCTGAAACCCTTATGACCTCACCGCTGGTCATGCCACCTGTACTGTATCAACGGTCACCTACCTGGTATGAAATCCTGTAACTCTCCACGAGGAAGGCGCTGGAGGGAGCTGACCAGTTCACCAGGACGCTGTCCGAGGACACCGCCGTGGCTTGGAGAGAAGTCACAGGCTGGGGAACTGAAAAGTAAATGGTGCCTGCTTGAGCATGGACCCTGGCTGTGACCGAGGCTATTAGCACAAGTCGTAGCGACAAGGAACACATTTTTAAACTACCGCAGCTTTCCTGAATAAACCGGCTCCCCGGGCAGCACGTTGACGTCAGCTGATCATAGTATATCTTCGCATTCCATCAACAATAGATTTTTCGTGTTCGAAATTTTAATGTATGAAAGATCTCCCACTCATGATATAAAGCGAGAATTTCATTGGAGATCAAAGGTTCCCCAACTGAAAAACCGCTGAACCTGTCGGGTTGTTTTTGACCACGTCCCCTTATCTAAATAATTTGTCGTCCCACGGTCATAGCTCTTCAATTGACAAAATGAGCAAGAGTGCGAGCTTTATCCAATGAGCTATGCGCAGCCTTTTAACAACAGAGAAGCGGAATAATAGCCCTACTTCAGTATGAACTCATATGCTCTTTACCTGTTTACAAAACACGGGCATGCGGAGCAAAATTATAGTTTCATACACGGACAACCCAACATGGTAACGAAATTTCTATGTGGTCTTTGACCTAAGATACCTGCAATCCTTTGTCATTAAAAACTGACAGGTAGAAGGGGAGACATTTTGTTAAGCTCGACATGCATATACAAAAGAATTCGGAACGAGTAAATACAGGTATATTTGTCAGTACCTAAATAAGCGCATCAACAGCCCAATCTTATGCATCTAATGCTACTAGTATTTGAATCTTTAACAAAATTCTGCTTCATTATAATAGCATAATAAATGAATTGCCATCATGGTGAAAATATTAGTACGTACTTCTATCTGAGAAAAAAAGTAGAATGTGAAAACATAGATGTTTGTGTAAGTAAAAGCAAAGTAAAAAAAGTATGGTGCCATATATTTGTATGGCATTTACAATAACTAAGACGTAAAACATGAAGAACACAAACATAAAGCAATGATAATAACGAAACAGATACAAACAACTGAATAAAATACGTAAGAGTTCAAGAGAAGTTTGCTGATTTACCTGAATACATGTACTACATGGAGATGTGTTTACATACTAGTATCTAATAACAATATTTTAATGTTGCAAAGCGGCCATTTAAGGTTATACAAGTTTGCCTAAATTAACTTTTATCAGTGAAGGAGAGCGTGCAATACTTATCCAAATAACGTTAAATATCAAATTTCAGTTTATCATGGAATAGGTTTTTCTTAAACATAGGCGCAATGCAACATTAGAACCTAGGAAGAAAATCATCAAATGTGTTAACTACAAATTCGAACACTGGTATTTGATCATTTTCACTAAAAAAAAACAAACAAAAAGTCAATCTAAATTTTCTTGAAAAGAGAACGGAACGGCTAGACGTGACAGAGACAGATATAAACCAAAGTTTGGTGTAAGATTAAAGGCCAGTGGCGCAGAAATCACACTTTGGAGAGATGAACGAAATAATANATCTTGCGCGTGTGTGTCGGCCTTGACCCGGTGATGAAATTCCAGGAATGGTATTGGATCCTCTGGGCAGCCGTGGTCCGGCCACGAGGTGAAATGGTACTGGCTGACATGCTTGATTTCTTTCTCTTGTACAAATAATTGGAATTTCCGTACGGTAAAATGTGCAAAATCGGTAGATTCCACTATTCGAACGTGTATCTTTCCGTACTTGAGATTTCCTTCATTTGGCCAATATTGCTCGCACTTTGGCACCCCGTCTTCTATGGGTCTGGTAACCATTACAATTTGACTCACATTCTCTTGCAATATCATGCGCCAGAAATCCACCACTGTTTCATCAGTAAATGGACTCTGTGCCGCTATGAACGCTTTTCTCTTTTTGTACCCATCAATGAAATTGGCATTGATATAATCTGTAATACCACTCTCTACGTCTCTAAGCACAACTCTGCTGTGCTCATATGCAAGGATCTTGCTGCAATGGTTCTTGTTTATGTTCTCTGGACGTTCAGCCGTGTGACACGGAAACTGCTGCCCCTGTGGTAGCTTATAGTACTCTTGCTCTATGGAAATTGGCGGTCGGTCACGTAAACGACCGATGCTGATATCAGCAGGGTTTTCTTTAGTCATTAAAACATATCTAGACTCCTCGAGATCGAAAGTTTCGTTCCATATACCATACACCTTTTCTTCCCCCATGAAGTTGTTCTTATAGTAACCAACCCATTCTGGTTCGTACTTTTTCTTGGCATTTCTTTGTTTACGGAACCACCACAAGGCAATTATCATGGCTACAATAAGAACCAGGACAGCTAAAATAGCCACAACCACGTACACCACCACACCGCCATCACCACCGCTGCCACTCTGCCCTGTGGAAATGCTTCCTTTCGTTGTCACGGGCTCGCTCAAGGCAGCAAAAGAAGCCTTGGTTGCTCCATCTAGGATGCTAACAACTACGAACCTCACGTTATAGCGAGCCCCAGGTTCTAGCACGCTGTTGTTATACCCATTTCTGACAGTCCCCGATCCAATCTTGAAATTTATTTCTGACTTTCCTGCAAAATCTATTGTCTCTATTTTAACCACACTGTTTCCTGGGATGTCCTCGACGGTTGCTCTCTTTTTACGGCGGCCCGCAAGCTTTTCTACTTTCACAAGGTAATGAGACAACGGTCCGGTGGTTATAAGAACCGGTTTAAGAGTCACAATCATCGACGTTTCTTCCGTAGACACAACCTCCGGAGGACTCGGGGCTTCAGGGTCGCCGATTAGGGTGTAAAAGGTTTCTCCAACACCGGCACCGTAACCCTTGCTGGTGCGGGCTTTAAGGGTTATTTCGTAGGCAGCGGCCATGACAAGACTGCATATGGCACGTGTTGTCATAGCCCCGGGTACTTCTACTGATTCTTCCTGTACTGATCCCACGTTGCTGAAGAATCGAGTTGCCTTGTAGGTAAGCTGAAAAGGAAATAACCCATTTACATGTACCTTCATAATCTACAGGCACAGGTTAAACTTGATATTTATATCCAACTACCAGTATGGGCTGTCACGGTTGCTCGCAATTCAATCATATAATCATATATTCAGCTTGTCAAACTGATGAAAAAGAACCACATCTTTGCATTGCCACCAAATGACAAAACAACTATGTTGAAAGCTTGCACTTCTACCGTGACATCAGAAAGAGTGGATTTTTTAAAATGTGGCGGGTTAGTTGTTTCGTTTTGTTTTCTTTCTGTTTACTTCATTGAAATTGTGAGATCGCCTCTTAGATGTGTAAACAAAGAGAAAATTGATTTAAAAATAAAGCAAATACAGAACTCACTCTATAAGATGTTATAATTCCATTCGGCGAACCTGGTGGTTGCCACTTTAGCCATAGACATGTCTCATTTCTGTTCTGGCGGGAAAGAGGGCCTGGCTTGGATGGCACGTCCTCGTCTGTCACCTTGGTGAGGATGGAAAAGGGACCCAAGCCAGCGTTTGTTCTAGCTCGAAGCTAAAATCAGCAAGGACAATATGATGCAATTTTTTCACCTAATTCTAAATTCTTTTCGTTCAGTTTGAGTAATTTACCGCGATTTAAGGTGTATGGTGTGCTGTAGTACTTTTCTGTATTTCATTAGACTTCAAACTTTCTTACAAATTTAAGCGAAACAGTATGGTTGATGAAATAGAAAAATGTCAAAAACAGTAAATACCACGAAAAGCAATACACAATAACTAAACAAAGCATATTAACAGGAACAAAGCATTCAAAATTAATTTTTTGAGATTGCCAGAATATTCCTTGAAACTTAGATGATAATGAAGCGGGCAATGTAGAAGTGAGCAGCCGAAAGTCATGAGAAAAAGACACATCACCATCACAGCACTGTATGTCCAAAGAGAGAATTTCAAAAGTCATAGGCTCTGAGAGAGAGAGAGAGAGAGAGAGAGAGAGAGAGAGAGCACACTTAAAACTTCATTACCATCAACGTGTAAGTGGTGTAAGGAAGCAGGCCAGTTAACAGAAACGATCCTCCGACAGGAACAGATTTATTGTAGACCACTCCAGGTTCTGCAGTAGAATTGTACCACAGCTCGTACTCAGTGGCCCCGGGGACGTCGTTCCACGTCAGACTGATGTCGTTGGCAGTCACTGTGGGAGCCGCCAGACCTGTGGGAGCTGTGGCAACTGAATAAAAGGAAAAATAATATTCCATCATTTTCTATTTTCACGTGCATGTTGAAGTGTGGATGCACAAACTATATTTTACACATTAAATAAATTGTTGCATGACCCTTGCAGGCTTTGCAAAATTACACTTTAATCTAAATAAAGAAATATTTTAAAATGCATTTAAGTTTATGCTAAATATTTCAAGTTCACTGTGTAATTCTTTATACTCAGCTTTTACACTTAATTATGCATATTGCTCTCAGTGAGGTTACAAATTTTAAGGCCCACTCCAGACAGAAATAGATAGACTGATATATATAGATACACAAACATTAATTTAGATATGGACAGTCCTTACCTCCCTCTGTAGTTACGACATTTGCTGTCGTGGTTATTGGCGTTGTTGTTGTTGTTGTTGTTGTTGTTGTTGTAGTCACCGGTGTGGTAGCTGTAGTAGTCGGAGTAGTTGATACAGCCAAAGTTGTTGTCGGCGCGTCTGACAAGGTCAAAACAGGTGCTTCCAAGTCAGAATAGGCTATCTTGGTCACACCGTCCAAGGAACTCACCACCGCAAAATACACGTTATAAATCGTACTGGCCTTCAGCGACGGGTTAGCATATCCACCATTTGTTGCATTGTCTCCGACCGTAAAAGTGGTTTCCAAATTATTTGGTTCAAACCGGGCCACTATATTCCCAGGCAGGTCGTTCAGCCCTAACGCCCTTCGTCGCCGCCGTCGCCCGACGTTCCCCTGGAGCCTCAGTACGGATACGAGGTAATACGAGAGCGGGCCAGTCGTAAGGATAACAGGTTGCAGTAACACGGTGATTGTTGAAGTGGTGTAGGACTGGACTATTGGGATGGTGGGGGCAGATGGATCGCCTATGTAATATAGATAATATTATAAATTAAAGAAATCGACAGATTCGTTTATCATTGCGTTGTTATACGGTCACTGAAAGCTCGTCACTAAGTTTTAATTTTTGATAAATATGCCAGTAATGACAGTGTGAATAGCATTTAAATTCAATTTTCCTCAAGATCAGACCAATATATAAATTTCTTCTCACATTGATAGTTTCTTATAATTTGTTTTTCTTGCTTTAAGTTACGAATGGATTAGTTTATTCACCTATGATTGTCATGAAGGTCTTGGTCAATCCCTGGCCAAAGCCCTTGCTGGTGGCCGCAGACACGGTGATCTCATACTGGGTACTAAGGCGTAGCAGGCATAACGTGTGCGATGACCTGTTGGCAGGAACCTCTAGGGTGCCTGTCTCTGGAATCTGCTCCTGGCCTGTGCTATAGGATAGGCCTTGTTGGTAATGTATCTGAAATAAGTCAGATAATGTAAGTTACTTATTAAACGTTTAAAGGGATAATAACTCTTCGTATGAGATCTATATTTCTCAATAAAAACATTGTGAATAACTCATAGAAATATAACATATTCTGTTTTACCACAAAAACGGCAGTTCTAGCTATTATTCTGATATCTGAGCTTGTCTTTAGACCACGTGACCTCCATTGATGGCTATACTCTGTTAAAATCTCTTAAGAGATTTTAACAAAAAACCAAACGTTTAGGAAAAAAACCCTGGACTAACATTGAATGCAGGAATGGGGTCGTTGACCATTGATAAGTACGGGAAAATTGCCGTTTACTCCAGGAAAATCCTATTTTTGGCCAAAACGAAGAGTTATTATGACTTTAAGTTAAAACACAAAAGAGGTTGTTCCAGGTGGTTTTCACCAATACCCGTAAAAGTCAACATTCGCCTTGTAAATTCAATGTATATGAAATAAGGGCGTCCGAGGAAGTGTATCTTATCAAATGTGTGCGTGTGTTTGATAAAACGCCATGGGAAAGTATGTACGTATCCTTCATGTATAGAAGCATTGGGCCTACTTTTGTATATATATATATATATATATATATATATATATATACATTATATTTTATATTACATTATCAACATTATCATTTCCTTTTAATATTACTATAAATGAAACTTTTGTGAACTTCATTGTGCCTACATGTATGTACTTTCCATAAGTGAAACGACTAAATGCAAACATTGGTGTTGGAACTTCCTTGATGTCACACCCTTAATGGACCAATGGCCTCTTCTTAATTTCTGGTTAATACCACGGTATTAATTCAAATAACTAACCCTGTATGTAAGAATCATCCCGTTCGGCACCGCAGGCGCTCCCCAGTTCACCGTGAGGCAAGACTCATTGCGGGAGATGAGAACAAGTGACACGGGCGAGGACGGAACGCTCTCATCTGTGCGTGCTGATAAATGTGCACTTTCAGGGCCCCAGCCTAAAGACGTCCGTGCTGCCACCTAGAGAGAAAAAAATGAAAAATAATTAATAAATAAAGAGATATATAAATAAATAAATAAATAAGCTGGCGAGCACGAGGGTACACATTCTAACAGTGTCTCCGAGTGAGTGGGTAAGAATATGTGCATAAGCAGGTAAAAAAGGAAGAAAGGAAAGCTGAATGAATAAAATAATGAATAAATTAATTCATTAATGAATGGTAACCGCAAATTTATAAAAATAACCATACGGAATCTCACCGATATGTTATACACGGTATACGGATTCAGGTTTAATAACTCGGCCTGGTTAGTCTGCCCCTGTGGTGCCAACAACCTGGTGGTCAGAGCCCCAGACCTGTCAGATGTGGCCCTGTAGGTCACTCTGTACTGTAGTAATATCCCGTTAGGGGACTGTGGTGCCTGCCAGGCTATCAGCAGAGATGTGTTGCCGGCTGCTTGCAAGGCGAGGTTCCGAGGTGATGATGGCACTGAAGTGAAACGGTCATAGTTCTTAGATGGGAGTTTTTTGTCTTTCTTTCTTTGAAATACTATCTTTCTTTTTTTCAAATTTTGTACTCTTTTACAATGCTCACTTAGCACAGGAAATTTTTATCTGATTCATAACTCATAATCAAACTAGCAAAAAAAATGTCCATAAACAAAAGTCCAAGCAAACAAATGACTTACCATCCTCTGAAGTAGAAAAATTATACCGCTCGTTCAACGGACCTACTCCCACTTCGTTCATCAAGGCCACCCTAGCCGCATACGTGGTATAAGGCTCTAATCCCTCCACCGTGAATGACGTCAAAGTGACGTTTACGGAGCGTATCAGGTTCATTTGGCTGTAGAGGGATAGCTTGTATTGCTGGACATACCCCAAGAAGTATCGGCAGGCCGGAGAGGCCCATTGTATCGTAACCGAGGTTGGATGGGTGTCGGATGACGTAAGACCTTGGACTTCGGTGACGGGAACTAATTTGTAAATAACAATAACCATTAAGATAATAAAAGTTAATAATGAAAGAAAAAAAAACATGGCTTTTTTTTTCACAATTCCCACGCTCATACACTATAGTACGAACTGTGGATGTTTTAAATTGTCACCAGTATAAAGCTCCCCATCAATTCTCAATATATGAGTTAAGTCAACCATACTCAAACAAAGCGTTTTTCTCATTCAGGGTACTCCTATGAGCTCATATGCATAGCATATAAAAATATTACCACACTACGGCCCCTGCCTCCTATCAATTCATATGTCTCAAAACTTTCCAAAACACTCACCGTTTGCTGAGGTCACGACGCTTACTATCCGGTCAACGCTAGTCCCTATCCTGTTTGCCGATGTGACCACTATCCTGTACGCTGTCCACGTGGCCAGTCCTTGGATACGGTATGACGTAGTGGGCGCTGATACAGTGACCGTCTCTGGTGGGGCGTTGGTGGTGGGAGACTCCGTGCAGTTGCCGTATCCGCTTATCTGAAGTGCAACAACCACTTTCTTAAAATGTCTGAAAATGCTTGTTCATGCTTGTTCATAATACACACTATAATATATTGTATGGTAAATTGTAGTTTTTTTATCCTTTAAAGCAAAATTTGTCCTAACATTGGCGTATCCAGGCTTTGCCTGAGAGTTGATGGGGGGGGGAGTGGAGGGTGCAGGAACCAACCAACCCTGGATATGCTAGTGTAAAAAGATAAATAAAAAAACAAATGTCAAGACATTTGTGCGCATTGCAACGGACTTTTAGCACATACCGGAGGTATGCTGGAATGCTAATATAAATGTTCTTTCCCATCTTCTTGTAGCTTGCGATTTGACCCCTTTCATTGTTGTATTCGCTTATACACCTGCAGAAGACAACCAAGCATGACAGGTGTGCTTTCTTTACGCCGTAAACAAAGTCCGGAATTCAATCCGTGAAATTCGATCACTGATATAGTAGTTTCTTTTAGAGCTTGAAAAGTATTATCCCATTACACCCTTTTCACATCTTTTCCTCACTGCAGATATATGGCAAAATAAACAGGGGCCTAACAAAGACAAAACATAAACTACAGTACCAAATAGACTGGCGTAATTTATAAAATAATAATCAGGTATGCTAAATTCATTATGCTATATCAACTTTTTACACATCTAAGCTTGGACACATTACGGGTCCAAGATGTAACCTTCTGTCGTGTACTGAAAGCATTCTAATAGTGCAATTTGGGGTAAGCCAAGTTCTCATATTGAAAAGTAAAAATTAGCCGCAATGATGATTTCCTGCAGGGTCACGTCTGTCTTCGTGCCATAAGAGCACAATATGTATTAATAAGCTTATATTTACTCTATCCTTTGTGCTTCCATCACACACTATATGCCTTTCATAAGCAATGCAATGTCACCGCCGAGGTGAATATTTAAACGCAGATCTTATAAGGAAAAAATTTCCCATCATTTCAAATGATGGGATACTTTAACAATACTTTAACAATTTTGCATGCTAACTAAACATTTTTTTACAAAATATTTTGACTCATAGCTTGTATCGCTGGAGTGTCAACATGGCAAGAACAGATCTATAGATCATTTATAGCACTGTGATGTTATAACATACGTGTAAAGTTGGAGGTCACATGCGTGTCGCACATGCATTCTGATACTTTTCCATGGGCGTGACCACGTCTAAACGTGGCTGAAACCCTTATGACCTTACCGCTGGTCATGCCACCTGTACTGTATCAACGGTCACCTACCTGGTATGAAATCCTGTAACTCTCCACGAGGAAGGCACTGGAGGGAGCTGACCAGTTCACCAGGACGCTGTCCGAGGACACCGCCGTGGCTTGGAGAGAAGTCACAGGTTGGGGAACTGAAAAGTAAATGGTGCCTGCTTGAGAATGGACCCTGGCTGTGATCGAGGCTATTAGCACAAGCCGTAGCGACAAGGGACACATTTTTATACTACCGAAACCTTCCTGAATAAACCGGCTCCCCAGGGCAGCACTTTGACGTCAACTGATCATATTATATCCACGCATTCCATCAGCAATACCTTTTTCGTGTTCGAAATTTTAATGTATGAAAGATCTCCCACTAATAATATAAAACGAGAATCTCGTAGGAGATCAAAGGTTTCCAATTTGAAAAACCGCTGAACCTGTCGGGTTGTTTTTGACCATGTCCCCTTATCTAAATAATTTGTCGTCCCACGGTCATAGCTCTTCAATTGACAAAATAAGCAAGAGCGCGAGCTTTATCCAATGAGCTATGCGCGGCCTTTTAACAACAGAGAAGCGGAATAATAGCCCTACTTCAGTATGAACTCATATGCTCTTTACCTGTTTACAAAACACGGGCATGCGGAGCAAAATTATAGTGTCATACACAGACAACACAACGTGCTTACGAAATTTCTTTGTGGTCTTTGGCTTAAGATACCTATAATCCATTGCCATTAAAAAACTGACAGGTAGAAGGGAAGACATTTTTAAAGCTCGACATACATTATACAAAAGAATTCGGAACGAGTAAATACAGGCATATTTGTCAACATCTCAATAAGCGCATCAACAGCCCAATCTTATGCATCTAATGCTACTAGTATTTGAATCTTTAACAAAATTCTGCTTCATTATAATAGCATTATAAATGATTTGCCATCATGGTGAAAATATTAGTACGTACTTCTATCTGAGAAAAAAAGTAGAATGTGAAAACATAGATGTTTGTGTAAGTAAAAGCAAAGTAAAAAAAAAGTATGGTGCCATATATTTGTATGGCATTTACAATAACTAAGACGTAAAACATGAAGAACACAAACATAAAGCAATGATAATAACGAAACAGATACAAATAACTGATAAAATACGTAAGAGTTCAAGAGAAGTTCGCTGATTTACCTGAATACATGTAGTACATGGAGATGTGTTTACATGCTAGTATCTAATAACAATATTTTAATGTTGCAAAGCGGCCATTTAAGGTTATACAAGTTTGCCTAAATTCACTTTTATCAATGAAGGAGAGCGTGCAATACTTATCCAAATAACGTTAAATATCAAATTTCAGTTTATCATGGAATAGGTTTTTCTTAAACATAGGCGCAATGCAACATTAGAGCCTAGGAAGAAAATCATCAAATGTGTTAACTACAAATTCGAACACTGGTATTTGATCATTTTCACTAAAAAACAAACAAAAAGTCAATCTAAATTTTCTTGAAAAGAGAACGGAACGGCTAGACGTGACAGAGACAGGCATAAACCAACGTTTGGTGTAAGATTAAAGGCAAGTGGCGCAGAAATCACACTCTGGAGAGATGAACGAAATAACAATGAGACAAGTGTCAACTAAGGGTTAGTGAACACATACACGCAGTGCAGATACACCGACAGTTGGCGCTCCGGTGCAAGAGGTGACAAACCTGGCATCTGTGTTGTTGTCGTCTGCTCTGTTGTTGTGGTAGTTGTAATATGCTCCGTTGACGTAGTTGGTACTTCCGTTGTTGTTGTTTCTCTTTCCGTTGTTGTTGCTTGCATCGTTGTTGTTGCTTCTGTTGTTGTGGTCCCTTCTGATGTTGTCATTTCTGTTGTAGTCGTAGGCGTGGTTGTTGTCGTTGTTGGCGCCGTGGTTGTTGCTGTATGTAAGTAAGTGTGCAATGTTTTCGAAAATGGGTTATCTTTTATGCAGCACAAACATAAAACATGTAAATGGAAGTGCCAACGGACTTCTCTTACACAACTTATCTTAGTAGCATTAAAAATATATATGGAAATTTGCTTTGATTGCACGTATCATAACATTACATTTATACTATACTATAAACAGACCAATACTATGTAAATGAGGCCAACATCATTCAAAGTGCAAGAAAAATGGAAAGTCAAACATCACACCCTGTAAGTACATATAAAAAACCCCAATGAAAACCAAATGCACACCCTATAAAGAAAATGCGTTGTAATCCAAATCTTACTGAAACACACCAAAAGATAATGGCATTGCATTCGGCACCAAAATAAAAAAAATCGAAAGAGAATAAAATCAATCGAATGTTGAGATATGATAATGGCTCAGTGATGTCCTAAAATGCACCCCACACAATTATATTTCCAACCTGTGACAGTGGAGGTGTCTGTCCATCGTTCAGTGCTGTGGTGTTTAGTGAACGTAAAGGGACCCCTTGTCGTTGTTAAATCACTTAAAGTCGTTGTTGGAGAATGAGCTGTGGTCTCAGCTAATGTAACTGTCGTCGTGATTGTAGTGGGTTCCACTGCCTTTATTGTTGTCACTTCCTTTGCCGTTGTTACTTCACGTTTTGTTGTAAATGTTGAAGATTCATCAGTTGTTGTTATTGATGTTGGTTCCACTGTCATTGCCTCTGTTGTTGCTGGCAACTTATCAGGAATTGAAGTATCCGCCAGTGTCTCTCCTGTAACTGTCGTCAGATAATCATTTGATGTGCTGGTACTTAGTAATGGCAGTTCACCCGTGGTCTTAGTATATGCATGTGACGTACCCGTGCTCAGAGTCGTCCCATCATTTGTTGTTGTAATTGTTGTGAGATGTCCTGTCGTACTGAGATCACCCACTGTTGTTGTAAATGTCTCCTTTGTGGTTGTTTCAAACATGGTCGTCGTATCTCGAGGAGATGTACTTGTTGCTGTCATTGTTGTTGTTGTTGTTGTTGTCACATCGGCGAGCACTTTTCTCGTCGATGTTGACAGTATTGATGACGTTGACGATGATTGTGTAGATGTGTCAAGCAATCCTATTACTGTTGTTGTTTCCATTGCTGTCACCGAATCAGTAGTGCTGATTTTTGTTTGGTTTTCAGAATCAACTGTGCGATGACAACAAACAACGTATGTGCATATACATGTGCAACAATCAAAACGTTATCCACTTTAAAAACATACGTGTACAGCTATTTTAAGCACAAGAATGTATTTCGTCATTGTTACCGTTTCTGTGTACACAACGTTATGTGTCAACAGAAAACTAATTGGATACAAGAACCCTTCCACCCGCTTATCACAAAGAGATTACAGAAATTCTGTTTTTATCTAGTCCTTCTCTATCTCTCTCTCTCTCTCACACACACGCACACACACACACACACAGGTAGATTCAAGGGAAACGTGACATGTTTCTTTTAGCTTCTTTAAAACTGCAAATTTTACCTAAAATGGATTTTCTAGTGTGCTTAAAACCATTATTAATGAGCCAAACCACTGTTTCCTTCAATTTAGCTACACAAAAAATCTGAACCTTAAGGGACTTACCCGAGCAAGGTGTGACATAAGACGTAGAAGGACTGGCCAACCCGTCAACCTTTTTCCCGTTGTCTACCCTGTTCGAAATAATGCGAAATCTGTAGGCTACTTCGACCTGCAGGTCCGTCACCGTCACGGTAAATGACGTCACGTTTACGTCAACAACGTTGCTGACGAGCTGAAATTCAACCCAAGTTGCAGTGCCGTTGGATTGGTATTGTACTCTGTGGGAAGAAATATGTACAGTGATTGATAGATAAAATACAATATTATATCATAACATTCTTTGAAATTTATTGTAATATAAATTTCAATCTAAGACTGAAATAATTGTTAAACTCTTAAACTGTTCAACTATCGTCAAGTCTCCTTCAACACGCCTTTAAGTTGTTCACTCAAACTTCAGCCTTCGATAATCTTTTGCTCTACCCCCAACCCCCATCGAGATCTTTTACTCACGTGTATGACCCCACGGGCGGGTCACCCCAGTCCACGTCTGGGTCCCACTTGTCCCACACCAGTGTCACATTGTTGCATATGACATTGGACAGTAGGGGAGGTGTCACAAGCCGAGGCAGCTCTAGAATTGAATGAGGTGAATGAAGGACTGGTTGTTCATGTGCATTTCTGCGTGATATTATTTAAAAGTGAGACACACACACACACACAGAGAGAGAGAGAGAGAGAGAGAGAGAGAGAGAGAGAGATGATCATCCCTTCCAAACTTTTAAGAAATATAATTTACCTGACGCCAAGGTATAAAGCTCAATGAAACCTACTTGTTTGACAGCTGGACCCGAAGTACTCAATGGCACAGTGACCCGAGGCGCACACTCCACTGACTGGGTCGCATGTGTCCATGGGGGGACAGTGACACTCGGAGGCACAGTTCACGCCAAATGTCACACGGGTACAAGCTGCAAAGTGAAAAATTAAGTTGAAAAGAACATAAAAGTCACACTTTCTAAAGCAATATTTATAGCTTTCTTTCATTGGGATTTCAGGTTTTCCCTTTACTATCAAAGTGTAGGCTGGGGATTTCACTCGTGACGGTATAATTTTGCATTTAAAATTGAACTCAAAAAGTTTATAAATCGTTTTTTTTTTTTTTTTCTAAACAGTTTTGGAAAGGGCATGGTGATTCAGGGGCCATTGCGGAAATTTCAAAGAAACTTTCATTTATATATGACACTCATACGCGCTTAACAGACTGGTATTCGCGTTAATGCTTCAAAGTTTTATCATGATTATAACAGACAGTTGCTTTGCATACACTTGGTACTTTATGCGTGTATAAATAATAAGATACAATGATCACAGTTAAATTAACACAACATGCTTCTCTTTCAATTGTCAATGGCGTTTTGAAAATTATGATTCTTTTTCACGAGGCAATGACTACCAAATGACGCGAAGTTGTCTATGTCAGATAAGCACGACATTAAATCATATCACAGACGCAATTAGATCTATGTCATAAATCTTCTAGTACGTGTGCTGTAGCAGCTTTATTGAAACAGTAAATTAAAATAGCCGATAAACTTTATCTCTGCAGTTTAGAGGGGTGCAGTGGGATATCCATGTCATACACGATACTTCATAAAGTCACACTTCTTTCCCATTCTAAATCTTTAACGTAAGTTTTCGACTCTATATTCATTGTTGTGTCCGTTTCTTTTAAGTACTTCCTTGAATCAAACTCCACGTTTTTTTTTCTACTTTCACGTGCCACCCAGTAATAAGATCAAGCTGTATTTACTAAACAGGCCATTCATTCAATCGTACCCGTGAAATGTCCTGTTTGACTTTACTGATTTCTTTGTTTACTGTGTTCCCCGACGATAAAAAAAATGTGCTACCTTCGAATTCGCTGTAATCATTTGCTTATCAGCATGGTTTATTAGCTTTTCCTTTAACCTTGGCGTACCTTAGGTTATCGCTTGTTGTGAAAGAGCGAGAATTCAATCTTTTTTATATTTTCACAAATTTCCCAACATCATTTGTTGTTTCCCAACATGATGACAAACTTTACTGTGGTATACATACACCTCGTATTTTCACAATGGGATCTCTGTTCTCTAAACAGAAATCTGTTTTATAAAAATGGTTTCTAGAAATGCTAATTATCAACTTTTCATAGTTAATGTAAATAGGAAGGCAACTTTAAATAGTTGATGTTTCCCTTGGATGTCATTAACAGACAGAAGTTAAGGCGTTATGCAGTGTGTGTATATGCTGTGTGTGTGTGTGTGTGTGTGTGTGTGTGTGTGTGTGTTAATGCCGAGTGTGGTTTTCTGGATTATATATCAGAAAGGGACTTCTTTCTGAGGACCAAAAAAAACGCAATACCCGCGTAATGTAACCCATTAAGCCTTTTGAGTGAAAAAAACACAGTCCGATCGGTCTCTTGAAAACTGAATTGTCTCTGCTATTAACAAGATGTTAAGCTTGATTGTTCACTGAAAAACTTTTGCCATCGTAATAAAGCGATAAGCCCTTACGTGTCTGACAAGTTGGAGGGTCTCCGTATCCTCGCTCACACTTGAAGTCTGACGAACAGCCATCATCCCTGCATTTCTCTGGGAACTGACAGCGGCAGGGCAGGGAGCAGTTGACGCCAAAATAACCAGTCGGGCACTCTGAAAAGAGGAAAGAGTGACACTCACTATTTCAGTTGACATTCAATATCTGAATTAAGTGTGATACTGTTCGGTTCCTATTTCCAATTTTCAATTTTAATTTTCATCTTTAATTAAAATGCGATTTATATCTTGGCATAAACTTGCGTAGAACTGAAATATTATCATAACGCACTAGCTTAAATATCAGATATGTTCAGTATTACCTGTAGATATACATCAAATAAATTCGCGCTCAATAAGAGGTACGTATTAGTAACAAGCTAAAGCATGCTATGAGGTAGAACCCCTCCCCACCAGAGGGTTATGGGACACGCTGATTGATGTACAATTACATGTATATTAATACTTTTTTGCAATCCACACATTTATGATGACCCAGCCGTGTACTACTAATAATAGTAGGACTACAAATGTACATCCAGTAGATTAAAATAAACATTACAATTAACAACAAAACAAAAATTACTTTAGAAGCAATAGGGCCTATATCTGCATTTTGAAACTTCATGTACAGTGCTAGGCAGGCATAAATGTTCACTTTATCTTTACTTTACCTCCAACACCTAATGCAGGTGTGAACAAAATGTTTTAAACAGATACTCTTGAGGTGCAGGGTCAGCTGGAAACCCGCTTCTTATATCAGCATAGGCTACCCTTCTACTTATAGAGTATATCATACTAGCTAGTATCATGTACAGTAGTATAGTTATACTGATATGTAACGGAGAGGGTTGGTAGAGGTAAAGGTTAGTTACTATCAATACTGACAGTCCAGTTGTGACAACGTTTGGAACTTTGTAAGTTTGAAAACGTGAAATAAGCTCCATTGCCTCCGTCTTGCTGATACAAGAGCAGGGTTAATCCATGTACTCTAGCTGTAACAACATGGTCGGTACTGTTCAACCAAAGAGTTAGTATAGTAAAACACTGGGGTGAAAGTCGAGAAGGCGTCATGCCGTTATCAGCTTTAATTAACCCTGCTGGTTGAAATGGGGGGGTTTACTTAGTTCTTGATTTATCATTTTTCTTCACATTGGGTAAGACAAGGGTGGCAAAGACCAAGGGTGCATGTGCAGTCTTCTCTAAAGTCAGTGAGGTTCCATGTGAGAGGAAAGAACAAGAAGGTAAGATTAGGGGCAATGCCCGAATATTAAACGAAGACTTGATGTTGTCTAATAGGGCCAGGCTACGGGTGGGCTTAACACAGAGGTTTTCTGGTTGCCCTGTGGCTGCTGCAAGGCACATCTATGGGAAGCTACCAGTACTCCGTACGTTAAATCAAAAGGCGTACTTACGAGGCACGACTGGAGGTGTCAGGTAAGACAGTACTATCCAGGCAGTGGTCAAGATCACCCATGTCCATCCAACACGACCAGAACGAGCCATGGCCAGTCAGTGTGATGCTGAATACATGGCCTTCCTAAATGGTAGTTTACGATTCTTGGTACTTGAAGGTTACAGTACCTGTCAGCTGATCTCTGTGTAATATTCGCTAGACTCGAAGGCCTATCGTTTAGATAATTCAACTCTGGCGAGACGCTTCGTCTTCAACGGTGCAATAACCGTTCTATTTGCTATTTACGTCCAGTAATCGAACCAACAACAGAAAAATCTTAACGTAAGACGCAATCCCGTCCCCGTTTGACCCACTTCTTCCTCTAGTATGCTGTGCCAGGCTTCAAATCATGCCGGATCACGTTTCCTTAGCGTAGAGTCATAGCGTATACATGCTGAATAACTGAAACAATATTGGCTGTCGGCGCAGGTAAAATGAGTCAAAGGTACGCTGATCAATACAATGTGATTAGTCTATTGTATGAGAGCATGTAGCGTCACCTGTGTTTTACCTGGCAGATTAGCAGCTTTTAATGATATCATATATCTGTTATGGCTTTCTGAAAGACGCATAGTGCAACCCTTAATGTATGAAATGATGGATATAGTACAAGTGTCAAGGATGTTTCCATGTCAACCAGATGCGCGTTCGAATAAATACTAATAGTCAATTCACGCATATCTAATGCATCTCTCGTCAAAACACCCGGTAGGCATAACTCAGTGTCTTTGCCTGCTGAGAGTAGCACGTTAATGAAATTACTTAAATATAGATCACATATATTCAGTGCGCTGGGGTTTTTTTTCACCGGGTCTTATGGTGTTAAACGAGGCACATTTTGATGGAGTAGCCTATGATCAGAATTAAAACTCTTGTTTTTCAATACACCTGGTTTGCATGGGTCGCCTTAAGGTCAGGTTTACATAGGCCTGGGACATGAACAAAAGAACCAACACACGCCTAGGCCAGTATTTATGACCATAAAATGGGTGGGACCTGTTTATTCATATGGGCGATGATAGGCTGATTCATATATTTGTGTAGCAACTGTCGTCATAACAAAGTAGAATTAGGGACGCCATATTGATTTCCGTGTGAGTCACATGGGCTTGTTTTTGTGTTCAAAAGATTTCCGTGATTGAGTTTTATGATCAGATATGTAACTTTGCAGGTGAATTGAGATCGAAACGATGATATCAAGAAGGCTCGTCTGGACTTGTAACCTGATTTTAATGGTTTTTAGCCTGCAGTTTTCCGGGTTAGCAGGTGAGTGATAATGCAGATATGCCTAATGGGATTAACCCAAATTACGTAAGCTTAATCTATTGGCATGTGGAGCGTTCGCAAAACGTAACGCATTTTACAGTAAGTACAAAACTCCAAAGTTATTCTTGCCTATGACTTGAAACCAGCTTGACAGTCTCCTAGAGAGGATCTGAAAGATGTAGCCTACTTACAGGTCTGAAATTCGCAGTCATCCATAAAGTCAAATATTTGAAATACCACTCGCACTTTGTACGTGAATGAAAGTCAAATCAGTGATTGTGAGCTGTGTAGTCTCTGACCTATTACGATAACATGCTGCATGTAATCCACAGAAAATGCATTTGGTTAACTATTTTTACGGACTACTTATATATAAGTACAATTTAATTTGACTTTCATCCACGCCCCCTGCTGCAGAGAGAGAGAGAGGGAGAGATAATAACCAACCTGCAACAAGCGTTTCCCATATACAATAGCATTCTAATGCTCGACATTTTGTTTAAGAGGATGAGAGCATGCAGTTTGTGTTGTGTAGTTACAATATACCCACCACCTGTTATTATTATATAGTTTTATAAATGACACAAAATGCCCAATAATCCAACTTAGATTGAGAATATGACTGCTGCGAGCAGAAGGCACTGATGTTTTATTGTTTTATATGTATGCAACTATCTACTGATAGAGGTCTTTATGATCACACACTTGAAGGTATTGACGTCATATGTACGCAGTTACTGCTGTTGTGTATCTTGGGAATCAATATTGTAAAATGTTATTACATTCCTTTTTTATGTTTTGGGAATTGAGGTTATTTCACATATGTATATGGTTTATGTATAACAGCCGTGGTGACGGATACAAGGCAATGCTGCCGCTGCTGCTGCTGATGATGATGATGAAGGAAATGTGTATGTCTGAGTGTGCGCGCGCGTGCGCTCGTATATTTATATGACTAATATGACTTATTTCACCCCCGTCTTCTTCGTGATGCATAAATTATGTGTAAAGCCACTCACACTGTATATGTTTATGACACCCTTACATCGGATTCAACAATTTCGCATTTTTCATATTTTTTGCTGTTGTCATGATTATATTTATACGATCAAATAGTAAATGACCAATTGTGTTTTAGGTCAAGGGTTTGGTGGCATTCGTTTATCTGGTGGCCCCACCAACGCCGAGGGCCGTGTAGACGTCAGATATAACGGAGAGTGGGGAACAATATGTGACGATGACTGGGACGCCAAGGACGCGGCCGTCGTTTGTCGTATGCTGGGTTTCTCGTAAGTACTCATACAAATTTTTATACTAGTAGGCTCATCTTTCTTTTCATGAGAATGTTTTCAATGCTCTGCGTCTATTCTTTTCCCATTCCTTTATAAAAAGGAGAAACGTAGTTTCGATTAAATGAGTTTAAATGTGTTTGAAGAAAATGAAATACGCTGCCTAACTTATTTAGCACACACAAAATTTGTATTGAATAATTCAGTTGCCATGCAGAACTATCATTGTAGCTAAATATACAGTACAACCAAGATTCCAGGTGCATTATCTGGCATTATCAGTAATTGGATCTATCAATCAACTAATGTCATTAGTGGCACATATCAACGTAAACCGTTCGTTTGCTCATTTTTAGGTCTTCGTGCATGTGTCTGAATGTCTGTTTGCCGTTCACTCTATCTCCTTGTCTTTTTTTGTCCTCCATCTGTCTGTCTGTCTTTCTGTCTGCTCGTTTTTTCTGTATTATTTGCCTGCCTGTCTGACTTCTACAAAAATATCTAACTATGTGCAGCATTATCCCAAAACTCAATAATCAACCTCATCATTACATTCTAGCCATATATTTTTTTTACTTCAGAGGCGCTATAAGAGCGGTACCCGGCGGGACCTACCCTGTAGGCTCAGGGCCTATATGGCTAGACAATGTCAGCTGTGACGGAGATGAGACTAATATCACACAGTGTGGGAACAGGGGGGTGGGGACACATAACTGTGCCACCAATCACTCGGAGGACGCAGGGGTAGTGTGTCAAGGCCCCACAACCAGCACCTTGCCTCCTACCACCACCACCACTCTCCCCACGACGCCTTGTAAGTAGGAGTAGTTTCAGCTATCAAACATTAAGAACTAATATTGGAAATCGGCTTTGTTTTTTTTTCATTTCTTTGATTTTATTTATTTATTTATTTATTTATTTATTTATTTATTTTGAAAATCCTACCCAGCATTTTAAAACTAAAATAGTGTGACAGGTGAAAAAGTCGTGAACGATTTGGAATAGCAGTGAGGTTGCCCAAGTATAAAGTAGCGACTAAACCAAATGTTAGGCCTACCCTCTTTCCTATAAATAGTGGTGAATGCACCGAAATATTTTCTCTACTTTATCTGTGTACTTTGCAGGTTCTTCGGCTGCCACTAACATTAGGATCGTTGGCGGGCCCACAGCCGGAAGGGGTCGTGTGGAGGTAGAATTTAACGGAGAGTGGGGGACGGTGTGTGATGATCTCTGGGACGTAAATGATGCGGCTGTCGTCTGCAGGAGTTTATGTTACAAGTAGGGCTTTTTCTGTCAAACTTCGTTAACACGAATTTTCTGGATTACAATTGTTTTTTTTTACTATGCACTGAATACTCGACATAGATGTGCAAGTCACCCAATGTGAACTTTTGATTATCAAATTATAATATTCTTTTGATTGACAATAAACAATGACAATCTTAATACACCATTTCCAGTCCCGACACAGCACTGCCCCTTAAAGACGACAATATCCCAGAAGGCAGCGGCAGCATTCTCCTGGATAATGTGCAGTGTACAGGAACCGAGAACAGTATTTTTGACTGTACGCACGCTGGGATTAACAACTCGGACTGCACGCACAGAGAGGATGCCATGGTTGCCTGCGCTCCTCCTGCAAACACACCCCCTCCAGGTGAATTATGAGCACTTGCCTTCTAAAATTATAATTTAAATTTTCATTTGGAAGTTCTCCCCAACAAATTGCTTATTGATTCCTTTTAATTGTATTATCTGATGGTTGCCAATAAGCTGAAATTTGCTTTGCGGCAAAATAAATAAAGGTATTGATATATGTGCGCATTTTACCAACATAAAAAATCATTGCGTCATTCAGGTACTTAATTTCTTGGACTGATTAAAAACAGTTGATTTACACCTACAAGTAATCACTGAATCATTTTGTTTTAAATTCCTTCTAATCTGTCAGTGGTTTCTTTCCAGTGCCGACACCCTACGTCCAATGTCTTGCTGCTTCTTTTCTCGTGGTGTTTGAACGAGCACAAAGTCCACAACTGACACAAAACAACCTATGGGTGGTCGACACGTCAGCAACTAATTGTATCACTAAGACAACCAATTCGTCTCACATTTCTATGGAGATTCCGTATGTTGGTTGTGCTTCACAATATTTGGTGAGTGATGTTTATTGGGAATATTTAAGTTTGAAAGTAAACTCCAAGTTAGACCCAAATGCGCAACTTATTTTGAATAATTCCGCAATGATTTCATGTTATTTGACACACAAATTTGAAATTTATTTAAAATGAATGCCTTATTAAAATGGAAATTTTTAAGTAAAAAAGGGGGCCTTACCCCAAAGACGGTATATGACCAGGCAATTCCTTTCTTTCACGTAACTTCTGATTTCATATTTCATCATTTCAGTTGAACTCTAGCCATATCACCTACACTAATACAGTGAAAAACAACATCAGCTCTACTGATGGCATCACTAGGGACACCGAGTACCACATCCCGCTTTACTGCTCATTCCCGCGGGATCTCAACTCAAGCCGGGGGGTCCAGCCCGAAATCCAGACCGCCCAGCCGATCTCTGGGTCCAACGAATTCGCCCTTGGGATGTTCATCTACGTGAACAGTTCGTTTAAGCAGATTGTGAGGACGTACCCATTCACCTTGACCCTGGGAGAGTGGTTGAACGTGGGGGTCGCTCTAACGGCCGAGGACCCGTCACTGAAAGTTATACTTAGTGACTGCAGGGCAACTCCAACAGCGTCACTAAGCCAAGGTCCTTCTTACCCTCTAATAACATCAAAGTGAGTATGGAATACTAAATTACATCGGTTGTATGTACTGTAAAAGACCCCTCGAACTTTGAATTTGATTTTCTCGAAACTTGTTAATGTTTCAAATACTTTTATTAACATACTTCGCTGTCCCATTGTCTCTTTCTTTACTTTAATAATGTTTTTGAATCATGGCAAAAAAATCAAACCTCTTCAATGTTAAAAAATAAAAAGATTAATAGATCGCTTTAAATGCAAAAATATATTTATTTATTTCAATAGGTGTCGCTCCGATCCAACTTTGACGTTCTTTCCATTTAATGAGACGATGCTTGGATTCAGCTTCCAGTCTTTTAGATTCTTTGGTAATTACACAGACGTTTACCTCCATTGCGACGCCGTCGTCTGCCATATAAATGAAAAGAATGCGCAGTGTGACAGAACTTGTAATGTGCGTAAGAGAAGGGCAGCAGAAGAACACACATCCGCAGCAACGGAAATAAAAAACAAATATCACATATCTAAAGGACCAATTGTGTTCCTGGAGAGAGAATCTGAAAGTATAGACTTTCCAATAATTTCTGACGGGATTAACAAAATAAGAAACGGGTGTCCCAAACAGACAGTTTCAATGATGTTGTCCATTGCAACATATTTATTAATTTGCATAGGTGCAGTTTAACTGGCATAATTTCGTTAAAGCTACAAGTGGTGTTGTTGTGTTTAAAAATATTCCATAAATATTTTCTGTTGGGTTATGAACTTATCTCATTTAAACATATATTATCCTTATTCAGAAAAAAGAAAACAATGCCCTTCGTCTTACCTAAGGCTTTATTTACACAAACATGTAAGTAGAGTAAGTCATTGCCTTAAGACGAAGTAGGCTTACTCTTTACAATTATTAATGTACTTAAAGCTCACCCGGGTGCTCATATCCTTAGGATATTTGGGTCTGATTTAATGGAAGATAGTTTACTTGCAGGTTTAATATTTAACCGTCCGCCTCCCAATTGCAGGACCGGGGGTGGTACAGAAAGCCACGTACCACACCTCCTCCCCAGGTTTGGAGGCACCTCTTCCCCCTCCGAACAACAGTTTAGCGAGCGAAACGAGATGAAACCAAGCAATTTTTTTGTCTCTGTTCTACGTATCACGTAAAATTGTCTTTTTCTCGTTTTGCTCGACAATCCTAAAATCCTTGTTCCCACCCCACCCCCAGGCTTTTAGCAAGATGAAGCTCATCTTTTAATTAAATGTGTTTACCTGTGTACTTGATATACGACTAGAGGTTGGTTAGAAACCTTGTTTTAAAAACATTGTATAAAACATCATATAAAATGATTTATGATTAAGTTGTATTGTTAGCTTTCGTCAATGATGGCGTTGTTCCGCTACCGTCTTTATGGTATCAAATGATAGTGTAAGTCAAAATTTTAACTTTTCTAAAGGTGAATGATATATTTTTGATTCCGCAAACATTCATTTTTGTAAATAAGAAATAAATATATTTTTGTATAAATAACTGTCTTGTGTTGGACTTTTTTTTTTTTTTGAAAAATTACTTGAATATGTATATTTCTAATTTCCCCATTTCTAGTTCTGCACATGGAGGCACAGGTAATTCACCTACTTGATCAAGATAATTGTGTGCTACGACCCATTATTGTGCCAGCGACAAGTGCAGTTGGTACTTTGGATGTTTAAGCAGTGCAACTGTGCCTAATCTGCGTCACAGTCACTCGTCTTTTTCGCGCCTTCTTTTTTCTAACTAAAATCTACTTTCTTGTACAAGTATTTAAGGGAAGCAAACTGAAAACCTGTATTAAAATCGTTGAGACTGAAATGTTCATAAATGAGTATCATTACAAGTATGAATTATCAAACAAAATATTTATCTGTGCCTAAAACTGATTTTCAGCACAGAAAGCGTTATCAACAATTATCGAAAACAACACATGCGCTCTGTATGAAGGTCGGTTTTGTCACTGCTTTTCTTTCACTCAATACATTTTCTCAATCGATCGGGCAAACTAAGATCCGCCAAAACCATGCCCTCAATATCGGTACCTTTAGGCTCCATTGAAATTTCACGGCTTACACCAAAATATGCTCTTGAACAATAGTGGATCGATGGTTGATCAAGATTAGTGATAGATTTTCGATAGCGTCCCATCTCGAGTCACAGGGCGGGACAAACCTAGTAACGCACAGCGACCGCCATTATAAAAGAAGATACTTGGGTGTAACTTTTCAAGAAGTTTGCGAGGTTTTTCTAACTATACACAAAGACCATGGTGCTGTTTTATCAGGTTATTTTGCTCAGTTTAATCGCCAGTATAACAGGTAAGTCAGATAAGTTAGAGACTTCAATCATTTGTCATGTTTCGAGTTGAAAATATTCTGTAGGATTTCCCAGCAGTTCTCGTGTTAAATGGGGCGTACATATGAAATAAAATTCCTTTTAAAGCGGGAATCCTACACATTTTTGTGCCTGGTCAAAGATGCAGGAAAAAAAAAACAGAAATTTACACAGCTGTCCTCAGGTCGACACTGGTGTATGCTTGCAAGCTATGGAACGGTGTGGCACATTCGACATCCCTCAAGACGATGAAAAAGTTCTTTTAAATTTGAAGCAATGAGCATTACCGAATTGTCGCCCCCATAATCTAGGCGTTCATGTACTTATGTGTGTAAAAATTGTTTAATGAGACTTATTTACTTACCTGTAGATTGAACTATTAAATCACTGAGGTTATGTTTTATTTAAATGTCGGACTTTAAAGATATCAGAACACTAATTCACCATGCTGCTTATACACGTTTCAATTAACTGTTCTGTTAAAAGAATTATGACCACTTAAATTCTATATTTCAATAATCTTTCTAAATGTGTATGTTAATTAATCTATATTTCAACACTTTTTGTATATGCATTCAATATAATACGGTTTAGTGTACACGGTTAAATAGTTTACTCCGCCATGATTTTATTTGATTTAAGCATAGTGAAATTCTCACCACACCAGAAATCGATATGGTTTTAATTTGAGTAATTTGTATTATGTTTTCAGTTTACTGGAGGTTTTATTTTTAAATCTGCTGATCATCAGTCCTTCACATGTTTCACATTTTACTTTTTACAGTAATTTTGACGTTAAATGAGGCAAAATACAAATAAATATCAAATACAAAATAAAATGCAATTTAATATTTGTGTGTGGCTGCAAATGAATGAGCAGAGAGCTAAATGTCAGTATTCTAATTATGTATTAGTTCAACTCTCATAATTAATTAACGAATTAATTAAGTCAATTATTTTGTCTATCACCACCAAATTGAGCCCATTTCTGAACTATCGTACAATGTCATCAAAATCCCTTCATAACATTTTGCATAATCTTACTAACAGACGTACAGACATTATAAATTAACTAATTAATACATCTTCGCCAAAATAAAACCCTTTGTTACTCCCGACAGTTTCTGAAATTTCAAAATCCGTCCTAAACCATTGCATTATATTGCTAAGAGATTGACAGACAGACAGACAGACAAACCGGATAAATTTTAAAGTCATAACCTCTTTGGCGGAAGTAATAATGTGCACTAACTGATAGATGGAGTGCCATTACGAGTCGCAGACCTTCACGCGAAATAGAGGAGTTAATTGGCGAGACGAATAGTTGGCATAATCAACGAGACGAAGGCCAGACAAAGTTGAGATTATTAACGAGACGTATGTAGAGGTTCGACCTAGTCGAGACAATTTTCTTCCCTAATTCGCGTAAACCCTCGCGACGGGTTATTTGACTGACATTAAACTGACATTTGACTGACATACAGTTCGAGGAGAAAACAAGAGATGGCGCTGTGGACTATGTCGCGTATTCGTGGGTATCATGTTTTAGTGGACCGTATCTATTCACGAACGTTTACCTTTTAAACGAATGATATCACTATTCTAGTACAAATATACTTTGATTTTTTACATATCAATTTTAAATGTATATTTTAAGATATTGAATTTAACTTCATCTCAACATTTTTATAAAAGCATCCAATTTAATTGCAATATTGCAAAGAGAACAATTAACCCATATTCATATTTGTGAAATGATGATATGCAGATATAGATACTAGGATGAAAAGAAGAAATGAACGAGTCGTTAGTAATTTATAAACCGCCAAATGAAATTCTTTCAATGCGTTGGCTATCTTGAAAGTAAGAAATATAATACGTACTAATAGGCAAAGATAAAGCACCAGTATTTTACGCAAAATCCCTATGTTGTGTTATTGAGACAAAGTTTAACCAGTCATTTTTAAACAAAATTTATTTACGAGAAAAGGAGGCAAAGTGCATAGAAGCATTATATGGTGTCCTTGTTACCAATTTAACCAGTTATTGCCTCTATTTCACATAAAGCTTCACAACGAGTGCGTGTTGAGTCTAGCTATTCACGGAAAAGGGCAAGGCGCAGCCTCTGCTAGAACCATACATTGCTGAATGACATTGTCCTCGGTTTTTCAAAATATACCCCAAAATAATGTTCAAATCCACAAGTGCTATAATTGTTGAGTGCTCAGTATCGATTACTCGACGTTCTATAGATTTTGCTCTGTTCAAATCAAAGAGGTGTATATTGGAGACAACAGAGGGCAAAAAGCGATTACTAAACATGTCGATATAGTGTGTATTAAGATATTAACGTTTTGTAAATAGCTGTTCCTCTTTTTCTATACACTGTGGATTTAATTTGTCGGGCGGGGCTATCCGTAGGATTTTGATTATATAAGATAGGTAACAATCAGATTTTACTTTACTCTACGTTGATGATTTTTTATGCCACAGCCTTGAAAAATTAATAGCCTTAATAAAATATTTTTAAAAGATGCAATAGGCCTGTATTAAGCAAAAATTATTTATATTATCAATTATTATGAAATAAGATGTGACTATGCGTCGTTTATTTTTTCTTTATATCATCATAAATGTACATGGTTTTACTTTATCGCGTACATGAAATTCACATCTTCTCTGAAATATTTTATATTTTATTTTATCATTAAAATGATTGCCAAATAACAGGAAAAATGAAATAGACATTGTTATCACATGCTTTATAAAAATTAAACATAAATTCAAAAAGTATCATGTTAATTAAAATATCATTAAAAATACATTTTTCTTATCCAGGACAACTCCAGACGCGGTTGTCAGGCGGTCCTACCGCTACTGAGGGCCGCGTGGAGGTTCTGTTCAACGGAACGTGGGGAACCGTCTGTGACGACGACTGGGGTGTTAATGATGCTACTGTCGTCTGCAGATCCTTAGGGTTCGGGTAAGTTAGACATGCTCGAGTTCCCAACTTCATTTTCATCGCTGATTGTATTTATCTCTCATATTCATGCTATAAAGATTTTCAAGCTGAATTGTATTGTCTGCTGATTTTAAGATTAAAAAAAAAGAGAGAGAGAGAGAGAGAGAGAGAGAAATCAGTGAAGTTCATCTGCAATGAACATTACTTTCCCTCTTTCGTTAGGCTCTGTCACACCTAGCGTATAGCACTAACCTATGAGACAATTTGTCCAAACAAACAAAATGTGTTCATTAGACTTATGTCACATACGCTTTGAGAGCACAACGAAAGTTGGTGTGCGTCTCCATACCCGGAGGGAGATAAAATGCTTTGAGCATGCACAAAAACAATTTCATATGCTGCTTAAATATTTATTTTAACACGCTGGAAAAAGTTTCTATACGCTCACAGTTGTGCGAATGAGCGATGTCGTATACGATACTCTCAAGTGTACCTCTTGACGCTAGGTAGGACAGTGCCTTTACATTAGGATAAGTTGCCCTGCCATGAAAGTTGATACAGTTATAATTTGGACTATTGTTTATTCAAATATAGCTCTTACATTAATAAGCTATGCACTTTTTTTATATGTCAGTGGCCCAGGAGTTCCATTCAGTGGATCAGGAAGTGGAGGCTCGCCCCCGTTCACTGGCGACTTGTACGGAATTCCCGTCCAATCCACACCCATATGGCTTGACAACGTGAACTGTGCTGGAGACGAGGGGGATCTCTCGCAATGTTCTCATAATGGGTTCGGTAATAACGACTGTAGCCCAAAACACATGGAGGACGCGGGAGTGCGATGTGTTGCGGGCGATAGCGGCTTGGCGCAGTCTTGTAAGTAATGGAGACTGAAGCGATGACTCTCTGACTCTCTCTCTCTCTCTCTCTCTCTCACACACACACACACACACACACACACACACATTGAATTTGATTATTTCTGCGTACTTAACGATAAGAGTGCACATGCACGTGTGGGTCTTCGGAAGCGAAGAAGCTGGAACGCTGAACCTTAGGGTAGGCTACTTAACTTCCCTTACGAAAATTTCTGGTGGACGTCCTATAGGACTTCATGGGACTCTTTGGGATCCTTCAATGTTGTGTGGGACTCTATAGGAATGCTATCGGACGTCCTATAGGATTCCAAAAATGCACTTTAGGATTTTGGGGGGACTTTCCTATACTGTACGACGTTCTATAGGCCCTACATGTAGGATCCTATAGGAAATTTCCGAAAGGGTGATAATCAACACAAAATAAATGATAAATAAAACCTTCTGGAGTTAAGATGCATTTCTGAAATTCCTTTTTTTATGCCCAGGCACTGAAGGTACCAACGCTTCAGAGACTGTTCGCCTCGTAGGTGGAGACGGGAGCTATGGTCGCCTGGAGGTCTACCGAGGGGCTTCCTGGGGGACGGTGTGCGACGATTTCTTCGATATCCGCGACGCCAGGGTCGTATGCAGAAGTCTGTGCTATAAGTATGTGGTTAAAATATCCCGTAAACAAAATTTGAATGCGTTTTCAAGTATTTTCCATGCCGTTAAATGTCATCTCTATCTTATTCAGTCATCAAAACACAATATAATTTGTCTAATTCTGGCCATCCACACCAAAATGCTTCACTATTCTGCCATTATAAGCCGTGGATTCTAATTTACGTCTTTAAAAAACTCATGAAAATCTCAGTGTTTAAAACATGACATGCCATTTAGGTCCACATTCTTTATTCTAGCGAAACTGAAGCCACAGTCGTCGTAGGTCTACCTGGCCTGACTCCTGCCCTTGACAACGTTACAATATGGCTGACAGACGTCGGTTGCCAGGGCCACGAAGGCGCCATTGAAAACTGTACCCATGGCGGCTGGGCGAATAACCCGTATAACTGTTCGCACGCTGAGGATGTTATGGTGGCCTGCACTGCTGTCTCAGTCAGAGCAGCTCCCGCTCCTGGTACGTTGTTGCTTTCTAAGGAAGAGTAAACCATTGATCAATCTCATATAAAATCAATTGTGTTAGGTGAGATCAATTGCGATTGTTGAAAGCAATCGCAATATATTTTTCACATTCCCACTTTTAATCTTTTAATCAGAGAAGAGTGTATCATCCATACCATTAATGGTAGCTACATCACTGATGAAAAAAGGGAGAGACAACTCGAAACCGACTTTGCTAAAAAAAAAACTTTTTGAGATAGCCTCCCGGCTGTCAAATGTGGCACAGTGTCAAATTCAAAACGTAACATCTTATTATTTTTTGTTTGCTTTAGCCATCCAGGTTGATGTAACCTGCGACGGAGCAAATATCATAACTGTGTTCGACACCAGTGGTTTCTCCGAACAGATGATGGTGGAGGTGGCAGCCGACCCAAGCTGCACGAACTCTACCGCTGACGGCACCAACCTCACAATGTCCATACCATATCTGTCCTGTGGGACACAGAGAACAGTAAGATGGATATGATTTTGTGTTATTATAACTGTACTTGTCACTGCAGACTGAAGCGTTCCAACAGGAATGTGATTTGTATTTATTCTCCATAATGTCGTTGGCATAGCGGTTACCTTTGTTGTGGAAAATTGGGAGCAGAAATAATAAAACTGTCTTACTAAATTGCATATTAAGCATGACAGTGCTTTTTAATAGAATATAATACATGACATATCCATCGTCTATATTGCTTTATAAAACAAAGAAAGTGTTACCAAAACGTCTTTTTATTTTTATGGTAACTATTTTCACTTTTCACTTTTCACTATCCAGACAAACTCAACACATATATTCTACACCAACACCGTCCGACAATGGGTTCAGCAGTCCAGCGTCATCGTCACCAATTTCGCCGAGAACCGCATCGTGGTTTACTGCGTGCACGCCAGAGACAAGCAAATCTCCGCCGGCTTCACGCCAGAGGTCGTCACCGTCGGTCCTCAGTTCTCATCACACAATTTTGACGTCAGTATGTTCTTTTACGCCAATTCGTCCTTCACTGGCCCAGTGAATCAGTTTCCCATGAGCGTGCAACTGGGAGATAATCTTCAGGTTGGGCTTGTGTTGACGACCGTTGATCCATCCCTAAAACTCGTTCTGACTGATTGTTACGCAACTCCGTTCAAGGAAAGAGATTCGGTGCCGCAATATCCACTTATAGCGAGCAAGTAAGTGAAAACGATGTGTTCTTCGCAGCAGTTTTGTTCTACTTGGAAGCGGCAGTCCATTTACTTCAACTAAGCTTATGTCATTTGGTCTGTCGGATGTCTTTAGATTAACATCAGTTGTTTCAAGTTCTAAAAGAATGCATTTCCCGTATACCTGTATCTACAGAAAAAATGTACAATACTAAGAAAACTGTTATAACTAGGATCTATAGATATATTTTGTCTTTTTTTTGAAACATATACATTTGTTCGAAACATATTAGGTGCCGACAAGACTCCAGCCTCGTTTACTTCCCTGTCAATGAAACTGCGCTTCAGTTCAGATTCCAATCCTTCAAGTTCTTCGGCAACTACACCTCAGTATACCTTCAGTGTGATGCAGTCGTTTGCGAGTTAACCGAAAAGACCAGCCAGTGTGACAGAACCTGTGGCGTGCGTAAGAAAAGAGAAGCTGAATGGACGGATGATTATCATGTGATTAAAAAACGTCAGACCATTACCAATCAAAATTCAGTTCACATCGTCCGTGGACCAATCATATTAGAAGAATATGAATCGACGAATTCCGATTTTGTTGACTTCAACATTGAGGATGTAGTGAGTGGTGAGTACATCTTCCGTTGTAAAGATTCTGACGCGACCCAATTACAACCATGTTAACAAAGTAGATTACACTTGTTCGGTAAGTGTATAAAATAAACAGCTACATATCTCTTTTGTTGTTGTTGTTTTTTTATTATTATTATAATAGGTAACAATAATAACCAGTTTCGTACTGTTGGTTGTCATTTATGTCGCTTTTCACTTTCAGTTATCAAGAAGTCCACAGCAGCGAACCATGTTCCATCGACTGTTGTTGTCCTTTTTGTGGCCTCCATATCAGCAGCGTTGTGTCTGATGAAGAACTGAAACTTTATCGCTAAATAACACAACTATTTTATTCAGCGTGCAGCATTTATTTGTGAACGCGTGCATAATTTATGTGCCATTACGGCCATGTCGTTAAGGCAAACAAAGTTACCAACGCATAGTGCTATACACAGACATGTATAAAAAACACGAAACCCTTCTGTATACAAATACAGATATGCATTCAAAGACTGTAAATATTTTGTGCAATATGTAGGTTTAATTTTCTTCAATGTCTGTTTGCCCCTGAGATCCACCTGTCCCTGGTAACTTACCTGTGTAGGGGAGACCGGGGCTAGTTTGACCCCGGGGTAAGTTGGCCCCCCATCAAGTCTCTTTAATAAATTTACTTTAAGATGCTAAATTATTTCATTTGGAATCACTGCCGACGCTTTCTTGGCACTATTGGATACGTAACTTTACAAAATGATGTGATCAATTCTTTCACCCCATAGTTACTTTGCCATAAATTGATGGGGGGCCAACTTACCCCGGGGTCCAACTAGCCCCGGTCTCCCCTACTCTTAGCATGCTATTGCTGGTTCCAGGTGGGTTGAGTTTCCAGGGACCTCTGAATCGCAGGGTGCTACTTTTAAGCTCTGGGCGCAATTTTAGGTAATATATGGTACTTCAGAGATAAAACGTAAGCATATTAATAACAAGTGTAACATAAAAGATATGTTAAGTGCTTTGACACAGTTTTAAAGGGTGGTGTTGGATAGGTAGATTATATTCAAAATTGTACATTTTACTTGCTGCTTGTGGGATTGCTGACGACTTATATATGTAAATAATGATATATGATGGTGATAATATGAAGTAGACAAACTTGGACATATTGGAAAAGGGAATTTGCTCTATTTATGCAAAATATTGAGTTAGGCAATGTTGATGATATCTTTAGGATTTGTTAATTATAAACGTTTAATTTCAAATATAAGCAGTAGCATGCTTTTGCTCGGATAGCTAGTGTTTTTTCTAAGAACAAGAATGTATATGTAATTTGTTTTTACGATGCATGCAACTGAAGAACAATATCCTGTTTCTATAGATAAAAAGTTTAGGTCAACACATTAAATGGCTCTGAAAATGTGTGATGTTAATGGTTTGGAATGTAGTTTTTCGTATATATATTCACAATAAAAATATATCAGTAGAAGTAGAAATAATGTTTTCAATTATATGCCCCAAAAATAATAGGTCTGCTATCATTAACAACTAGGATATCTTTGTCTTTTTGAAGACAGCCTATAAGGGTCGAGATTAGACCTGAGCGTCTTAAGCGTCGGCTTTAACCGTGATGTCATCTTTAGGATCGAGGAAAGCTTTTCCTGTCATGTCGGTGAAGTTAGAACACGATTTGATCGCCGATGTTGGAACCTGAAATAAAGAGCTCGATGTATTACCATACTGTACATGTTCAGGTAATAGGTAATTAGGCTTCCTTACTTCCCTTCTTTTTTCATTTTTTTTTTATTTAGTTTTATTTATTTTTTGTTAGAGTTCTTGGTTTGGCTCAGATTTTCTTACATTACAAACAATTCCACATTCTTTGCTTTTGGCAGACATGCTATTTCTTCTTTGTCTCCACACAAAGAAGTGACATTTCAACCCAATTGCTGCAGTGTGAAAAGATACAGGTTTTACCGTACCTTGTTTAAAGGGACATAAGCAGGCGCAAACGTAGAAATCACAGGGCTGTTGGCTTTGGTATTGTAGGAGATCAGGAATGCCCACCTTCTCTGTTCACTGTCGTTCTTGTCGCTCCTATGGATCAGGTTTGAATGAAATATCAACGCATCACCTGAAAGGAAAAAAGCACTCAATCGTATGTGTCCTTGATCTTATTGCTTCGGTAACTCCATAACAAGATTAGAAGTCGTGTATGGTGCACATAGTTACTTTAACGTCTACATTTATAAATTGCCATGCAAATTGGAACTATTTTTACGACAGTGAATTCAATTCAAATCCGATCACAGGACATTTTAGCCCATTCCACGACCTCAAAATGTAACATATATACATAGTGTACAGGTATTCTGACATTAGGAAAACAGCTGGCACCAAACTATACACTATTTTTTTTTAAATATCTCTTGTATATCAGAAAATAAATAAACATCTAAAAGAAACTTTGTGTAACTAAGTGCTGCTCATGTTGCGATACATATCACCGTTCCAGTGATTCTTAAATTTATTCCAATCGAGTGTCTTCTTCCCTTTATCACATATTCATCTACCTGGTTGAAGTTCCACGTACTGGAGTGGACACACCTTCATCAGTTCCTCCACCCTGGTCACGTCCGCCCCCGTCTGGCCCCCAACAAACGTGTGCTCTATACGACCCGCTTTGTGAGAGCCCTTCAGAATCTGAATTACATAGAAAATAGAATCCTTTATGTTTAATGAACATTCCAATTATTTTCGGTAAACCAAAAGACAAAAAGATTCATGCTGTATGTGGACGCCATCAAAAACGCTCTTTACGGCGAGCTTTATGGGAGCAATCATTAATATAATTACACGAAAAAACAAATGCTATATATAGTGGCAGTCACTTTTTACTGTAGTATGAAACCCCAATAAATCGTTTTATTAGTCACTTAGTTTTTATTGTGCCTCTTGTGGGGTTTTACAGTTGGTTGATTTGACCTCTAAAGTCGTAAATTACATGTAAAGGAATATTGCATGTTAACAAAATAGCAGAATGGGAAGTGAAATGAAGCGCATATTTTCAAAGTTCAAAGGTAACCGGTATTTGCCAAAACTATATTTAACGCAACTAGCTTTTGACGTGACACAATGACAGTGCACGTATGTAAGAATTATAGAATCAACCTGTAAGCATCCGTTCTCTTTGTTACATCTGTCGTAGGCTATAAAAGCCGTAGTCAAATGGTCAGGAAAGAGGCATCCGTTTTGGTACCAATATCTGCAAGTGAAAAGATACGAAACTTCAGAGAACGCTTAGGAGCCAATGCACGCTTTCTGCAAAAGTTCCAATTTTACATTTTGAAATGTAAGCTTTTATTTCAAGGCACATCATATATGTTATTCCATTTTAAGCTATAACAACAAAGAAGCGAAAGTCAATCTTTCTAAATGCAGGACACAAGTGCAGTGCGTTAGGCTGTGCTACTTTCTGTCCAGCAAAGATATTGTACATACTGTACATGTAATACAGAGTGACCCAGAAGTGTGGACACATGGGACATATTACAATTCATGGTAACTTTTTTCGCGTGAATCTTGCTAAGCGCATCGAACTTGAAAATAATTATTTTGATATGTAGCACCAATGTTGTGAAATGCAGTTTAGCATTTTTACTAAAAAAATTTAATTTCCCCCATGTGTCTAGACTTTAGGGACACCCTATGTATCATGGCATAGTACCCATAATCTTGGTGCCACAGATGTCTTCCTCCAGTCTTGGCTTCTTTCATCATCAGCTTGGAACCCCAGTGGTAGATTTCACCGTGTCCGAGAAGCTGTCAGAAAAATGTGAAAGCTGTCATCAGTTTACACGCTTTTCAATCTATAAACTGGCAAGTGATTTTGATAAAGTTTTTATTAATTTGCCTATTTGAATATTTTATTTCAGTTTTAGATTAAATTATTATAATTATTTTCATTATAATTATCATTAACATTATCATAATTATTATTATTTGCTGCTAAATATCAAACATGGTATTTGCTGAAAATGTAGACATAATTCATACACTGTACTTCAAAGATAAAGGAAGACTTGTGCAATCTTGATACCCCTACTAGTACATAGTTATATGAAGTACTTCTGCGAAACTGTATCCTGTATTTTCAAATTACACAGAAAAAATGAGGCCGATTTACTAGCACGACAGAAAATGCATTTGGCAGCGGTCATAGGTTAAGAGATTTTATTCAGAAAATGTCTGATTTTACCTTTTCAATGGAGCCAGCAAGCTTCTCTGACCTGGCCATGATCCCCGTGATGTCATTTCCGGGATGGCGCCAGAGAACCATCTTGCTTCTACGATCGACCCCGTCACTTAACTGAAATTAGATAAAATATTTTCATGCACAATGCTCCTAAAACATTTCTATACATGGACACAATTACTAGCTAGAAAATGCTCTTTTTTGGCAAACTTCATAAAGTTGCCTTCAGGAGAGAATGGGTAGGAGCAAGGTATTTGACTTAAAGTGGAATCCGGAATGAGGACTGTAGAAAATTATTTTCAGACTGAGAGAAAAAGAGTCCAATGGTTGATATGGATTGGGAGATAGGGACTTGAATAAAGAAAGGATTAACAAATTATGAGATTTCCAATTACCTCATAAGCATGCTTGGTAATGCTGTCGCTTTCTTCCAGGGCCTTCTTTATCAGAGCCAGCTCTTCCTTGTCCAGGAAGTTTCTGTAAAAAGCAATATCTAAATGATGAGTACACATAATAGGAAATATCATATATCTGTTTTCAGATATGATGGAAGAAGAACAAAGTTAAAAGGAGGAGATAGAAAAAGATATGTAAAGGAGGGAACGGTTTGTAAAAAAAGTAGAGAATATGATAAGTACATTCGAGTAGTCAAGAAGGAGGGTAGGTGAAGAAATAGACGAGGATGAGGAAAGATAGAGGAAGGCTGGAGAAGAAGGGAAAAGGAAAAGAGAGAGAAGAAGAAGAAAACGAATAAGAGGAAGAAAAAGAGGGGAGGAACATTTAGAGGAAATGACAAAGATGTGTAGGCCTGTGTATTAGTCGCGGATTAGTGCACAATCTCTGGAAATATTTACCGTATGATAATGAACCCGATGCGGTTATATGAGTCTCTTATCTCTTCAGTAACGCTGAAAGTCTCGCTAAAGGTATATTCTTGTAAAACATAAAAACACATATATATTTAGAAGTGCATTTGAGTTTTGTCCGTAATGCAAGTAAAAATAAAAAATACAACACTGCAATTTTAGATCTGTTCAACAAGTATATTATCAAGAACGATTTTAGGTGCGATACATGTAGTAGTTTCCATTACAGATGATACGCATTAGAAGTCGTACTATGACCATATAAAACATTCACGAAAGAAATCCCTCATCTTCAAATCAGAAGACCCAACTCTAAACGAAGCTGTGATCAGAGAAAGCATATCAGTTACCTCATAAAATAAAAACCTATAACGTCCTGTAGCCAACGAAACAAACTAATTTTCTCAAGGCCTTTTTTTTTGGGGGGGGGGGGTGGTGGACCACTATCACAGAACTGGCTTTCTTATCAGAAAAATAAATATGCTGAAACACGTAGCACTGTAAACAGAAGAATCTAATGAAAACAACCTTGTCGTGACTACAGTTGTATATATGTCATTGTGCGTAAAGTGTAGGCCTATATTCTAAATGGATACCCGCAGTTTGTTCTCGATTAAAGCATGCCTACGACGTGTTAGAAATTAGGACATACCCGCAAGCACCATATGCAAACACAATGATAACTGCTTGCGTATTGAAAGTAAGGTCTACTTGGAAAGGAACACAAACCTCAACCTCTTTCATTTATTTTGCTTTTTACTCTTTTTTTAATGCAATCCGCGGACCTCAGAGTGTATATATTAGATCACCTTTTTCTGCTAAGAGACTGGGGGTTGAATCTGCTTTTTGTGTTGGAAAAGCTCGAGTGCCCTCCTCTGAACCACTGGGGACCCCCACCCCCTACTCCCACCCCCACCCCACCCCCAACCTTATCCCTTACCCCCACGGATAATCTTTTGATAATGTAACAAAACGTAATGTAATGTAATGTAATGTAATGTAATGTTATGTCAAACCAGCCATATAAGTGAGTAGGCCTATATTATTATTATTATTATTATTATTATTATTATTATTATTATTATTATTATGTTTTACTTACACTTGATTCAGGCTGCACAAAGTCCTGGGGAAAGGGGGTCTAATCCCGAATGAAGACACGGTATCGGGGGGCAACTGATCACTACAATCATTGTACACTTAATTTACACATCTATTCGTAAATTACTTAAACTTGAGCCTCTTCATAGTACGCAATGTTTCTGTTATGTGTGCCCATTAGTGTGTGAATGGTTCGTGTGTGCATGTGTGTGTGTACTCACCCCCGTCCATACCAAATGACAAGACTGAATTTCTTGCTAAATTTCCTACTGTGCCGAAGCTGTATCTACAGCTTTTCTCCCGAATGTAGGTTATACCTGTGTATATCTTAACCCGTCGTCTGTTATCTCTAGTAGTGTACGTGACCTTAATGTCGTGAAAGATAGCATTATACCAGCTGCTACTTTTACTTATAGTTTCCATTTTACGGGTTCATGGTGCGTACATAAAAAAAGAGGTATTTGGGTCATTTATATGAAGAATGTAACTTTTGTTTATGTTTAACTATATTATTGAATTTACCTTCGCCAAGGAGGTTATGTTTTTGGTTCCTTCTTGCAATTTTACTGTTTCTGTTTACTTCCTGGTGTATTTTATCCCCAGCATGCTGAATCACAAGCACTTCATGCTAAAACATTTAATATGTTCTTCAATATTTCATGATAAATATTGTAAAATGCCTCAAGTTTTCTTTGCCACCTTTTCCTCACAACATTGTACGCAAATCATGGTAAAAAGTAACATATTTCCTTTGTGATCTACTTATGCAGTATTATGTCTAGCTTTTTAAAACTGGAGGTTTTAAGTAAAATAGAAAAAAAAGCCACGAAAACCTGACGAGTGCCTTTATGCCGTAGTCATAGGATATAGTAACTGAATTGCAGTAGAGGAGCCGCTCGATTCTAATTGTCACATTTGGTTATGAAATGCGGGCTTCACCGCCGACTAGAATCCTCGTAAATAAATCAAGTCTTTCTATTATATGAACCGCATACGACCTTTATTCTTTGAGTGTGTTAGACAATGATACATGTAACAGTCTAGAAAGTAAAGAACAATGATAATCAGTAGGTTTCCAATATCTGACATTCAGTCTCTGTTTCAAATTAGCCAGAGTCCATGACATTATCAGACAATTACCGTAATAGGCGTCTCCGTCGAGATGCTTGTTTTTCACCCAACTTTGTCATTTCTGATTTGGAAATTCCCTGTCATTCTGCAAACAATAAAATTTCTTTATGAGAGAACCTCATGACAAATCAACGCCGTAAAGGCACCTAGCAGTCGTGACCAGTGGTTGCAGCAGTTCCTGCAACGAACTAGAACCTGGGCGAGTCTCGACCACTGAATAGCTTATTATTACGGGGACAAATGAAAATTATAATTGCCTTAGCATGAACTCGATTGTGTTGACTGTCTTGATTATTTTAGTTTTGCTTCTCATCGGCTTCCTGACCCAGGTGCAAGTCCCAGTGACTAGTTCGACAAAAATATGGCCAGTTCAGGACTAGTGCTACGTTGTGTACCTCCATGCCGCCACCATCCCCCCCCCCCCCCCCCCCCCCCAAACAGAAACAACTCTTGGAGCCTAAAAAGATTCGGTTAACCTGGCAACAAACATTGATGTAAACAGATAACCCGTGGCCATGCGACCTTAACCTCCATCTTGCTACCTTCTGTGATATACTTACCCCCTCCCCAACACACATACACACACGCACACACACACACACACACACACACACACACGTACAGCAATTTTGGGGGTGGCGAGTTCATTAAACTAAATGTCCTTCCACAAAAAAAAATTCCCTACGTTCTACTATTTCAGTGTGGAACACTCAACAGATAATTCAATCAGTTCGCCCTTATAAACAAGTACGTAAAACACTTCGTGTGTTCACTTCATTTCAATCGCAACATATTTTTTCTCATTTGTGCTGAATTTCCAGTGCCTTGTGGGGAATATTTCAAATGCTAAGCCTAACCTCCGTGCAATCTAGCGTTCTAATAAGTTCACAGTCATTAACCCCACGTAGCCACTAGGACGCACAAATACTCTTTACTGGAATCCATGCCCTTAAAAATAGGCCCTGCACCTGGATTTTGCTGACATTTAAAATTTCTGATCAAAGCTGTTTGTTCGTGGATTCACTATAGGGGCACTCGAATTCATCACCACCGCATATTCGTAAACCTTTTAAATAAATTATTACCAAGAGTCCATCCTAAAAAGTGCCATAAAAAGTACTGCAAATGTAATAAGGGTTTGGATACTTTTCATGAAGGCACACCAGGAAGTTGTTTGAAATCCTGGAAAATTGCGATATAAGGAATAGGGCCACTGAGAATTTAGCCAAAGGGTGGAAGACGAAGTGCCTGGACTTTTCTTTTAGAATTGGCTTCGAAATAAAACTTGTACCAAGCAGGTCGTTTGCAACTGGTCTAGTGTGTGTGGAAGTCGTCTATTAGTAACAATCCTTTAGGGCCCATCCCCAATGCAAGTATCGTTTTACGTAGATCGATCTAACTCCGCGAGGACTGAATGCAATCATATTAACAGATAAACACGCCTCCTCTCGTTTACAACGACCTCGTATCATCACCAGCTTTTCTGTATTCTATTTCAACGCCAGGAGAAGGAGTGTTAATCTGTAAATCGGACTGCATTCAGCAAGAGCCCCCTCGGAGTTGGATCTATCAACGTAGAACGATAGTTTCACTGGGAACGCACCCTTATACACAGACGCGTATACACATGCTTTCACCACGTGGAGTCTTATACCCATTAGGTTTATTTTAAGGGAGATTTCTCAGGTTTGGGGGAGAGTAGGGTAGAAATAATGTCAGACTAACAAGTGAGGTTCGGCAATAAATAAAATCTCACAAAATTAATCTGCAGGTATTTTCTGACTTTTTAAATCTTCATCCTAATTACTAAAAAGGTTATCCCCACCTCATGCGGTTTCTAGTGTCCTATGACGTCACCTAGCGCCGACAGCCTCGTTTTCGGCTTTCTAGTATGATTTCCTTTGCTCGTGAGACAAGCGGTAGTCGAGATTTTATAAGAATACATTTTTATCCTCGGGGTGATTACCGTTGGGCAGTCGTGTGCGCGCGCATGCATGTAAGCCGATAAAGACGCCATAATTAACCAGTTGTAAACGTGCATAAAACATCAGACAAAGCTATGGACCTCGATACTCAGGGTGGATGGCACTAATGGTGTCGGTTGTTATTATTCGCTTCACCGGCTCATCCTGAGCATCGACTTTAAAAAAGGTCCGGGAATCATATGGACCTCAACTGCGTTCAGTTCGTCAGTTCTTTTTCAGTGGAGAAGAGGGAGTTCTGCTGCTAAGCCTTGAATTATGGCAGCGACTTTACTGGTGGCACTTATGGTCTTTAGTTCAGGTGAGAAAGTTAGATAATTGAAATTAGTAGAAGTGATAGATGAATTATGACAGAAACGACGAGCAATGATAGAGTCAAGGTTAAAGTTTATTTTAGACAATCCGTATACTGCACTTTTTGACTTCATACATCGCTTAGTGGACGTTTAGCTAGATTTTAGGATATGTACAAGGGGGGGGGGTAATTTGAGCTAAAATCAATAGAAAATTGATGAATCGAGAAGATATTACTGATATTACTGATATTACTGATTCTGAATACGATAAGGTAATCAAAGCGCAGAGAGACAGTGTATTGTCATTCATTTATGCATGAAGAATTACTGGCGGTTGAATGAAGTCTTAAGTAGCAATAACAGTTTCTTCAAATTAAAGCTAAACTCATAGTAATCTCCCATCCAATATTCTCTAATAATGTCTAGCATGTATGGTACCATTCCCTGATGAGGGTTTCTTGTTAGAACCTGGAATGTTGGAAGGAAGTTACTTTGGGTTTTGATGTTGTTTGAAGAAAGTATCATTGTAACTTTAAGTGTACACAGCTGGTGAATTTTTCTGCTGAGTTACATTCAATGTTTCTAAGTAACCTTAAGATTCTACCCAATTAAATCTTAAACATGTTTAACATTGAAATTGCCGGCATTCCGTAAATGCATTACAATATGAGCATGACAAATATGCGCTTTACTACAAATTTTGATCTGCCATTGTTTTATGTGACAAGATGTTCGTGTACTGAGAGCACCTCGCACGGTTTATCTTTTCAGTGAAATTCATTGGTGACATTTCATTGTGACCCTGCATCTATCGGGCTAATATTCGAATTTTTGAGCGTATTCTTCTTTCAAACAATTATTTAACACATAATTGTTTTATTATATAATTATCATAATAATAATCAGCATTATTGGTATGTTTTCCATGCATATCATATATAAATAGACACAGTCTCTATCAATACAGAAAAAATCAACATAATTCTCAGAAAGGTATGACATATCAGCGTTTAATAAATCAGAAATACTGTCACGTTTTGTCTCGTTAACATTGACGATCAGTCGGAGAGCGCATAAAGTGCATCTTGATTAACGCACATCGAGCTAATATGAATGATATTGTGTTTTTTTCCTCTAATCTCAAACCCAACAATCATCGGCCACAAATTTTGAGTGCAAATCGTATTCCAAATGTGACTGTTTACTGCGATCTGTCATGGAATCCTGAAGTGTCAGAGCATGTGTTTTAATGAATCTCTCTTTCCGTCCATCATAAAGAGAGTTTCGATCAAAACCTATGCAGATTTTCCCGATCAAATGAAGGAACGATTTAACCGAAAAAACATGTAATTGCAATTTCTGTATTTTTTTCATTGGCGACAATTGATTGGATCTTTGTCATATAACTACAATTAACAAAACAAAGGAACGTCTTTTGACAGCGATTCCCTTGTCATTAACAAATGGCACGATTGGCATTTATTTTGTTTCTAATTGAAGATCTATGAAAGGACTGTCTGCAAGAGGTTCATGAGGTTTCATTTCAAATGTGTCATATCATGGATATGAATTCCATTAGCAGGTCACAAAAACTACCAGGAAGATGATAACGAAAATAGCACCTAAGTCAAACATCCATCAAGATGCTTTCCCTTCAGAAAATCACAGCCCAAAGGAACTAAGGTTTACTACAAGAGCAAGCCTTTCGTAGCAGTTCATGCATGCCGTTAAAATGTAATGGCGATAATTCATATTGATGATCTTGAAACTAATGATCTATTTGTAGACCAAAATACGTAAATAGTTCTAAAAGTTCACTCAACTACCATATATACCAGGCGCCAATCTAATTGAGTGGTATTTAACACTTATTCGGAAAGACACATAGCTGACCAATATGTTCTTGCAGTTATGGTGTGTTTTAATGATTTGCCTCTCAAAGAGTATATTTTCGTAGCTTCTTGTTGAGTGAGCAGTTTCTCTCGCAGCTTGTCTTCCATATCTAAGCAAAGGGTGAAAACAAATTAGGCTTCTGCGGTTGATGAGGAAGTTTTTGAGCACACACTGGGAGACATCAGTCCCAACCTTTGATTTCGGTTGACTTAAAACAGTACGTTTAAATTAATCTTTTTAATCTCGGAGGTGCATTCAGTTTTCATTTCCCGTTTTCATTTTACTAAATCACGAAAGTGCTCTTGGCGTCAGTGAACCCACCATTCAAGTATGTTGGCGAATTTAAGCTTAAAGCTACTCTAAATGGTCTTGACAATTGTTATCTATTGGGAATCAATTAACATGGGTAAAGGAAAAAAGCTAAATGCTGTAATAAAGCCTTAACACTATCCCACATGAAAGTGGCCTCATTTTTCGCCAGTCTTGTTGAAAATTTTAACCGCCATCATACATGAATGCTTATCAATCATTATGGTTTAGAGTCATCAGTTATAATTTGCACTCAATTTTCATTTAATCTGTATTTGGAAACCATAATCATCAAACCTTACCTTTAGATGCTGATGATAATATACTGAAATGACTTGAATCATAAATCATGTTTGATGCAGCTGGGAAATATGAACGCTACATTATTGAAATGCGTTTTTCATCGTCAAGTTCCGAGTTCCAATCAACAGAATCAATATTCCGTTTGTGGAAATTGGCTTTGAGAAAAAAAGAGGAAATTGACCTGATAATGTCAGATGCCGTTGCGACTAAAGGGGTGATCAGTATACAGGTTTGTTTATGAAGAATAACCTGTTTTAAGTCTCGAGACAGAAGTCCTTAATATCCATATCCACTGATCTGACATTAACATCTATATAATAGCTTAATGACAGATAAAAATGCTTGTGCTTTTAGACAGTTTAACTAAAAGTCACGTCCGGTATCCTGCAAGGTTTGGTGGACTCCATCTTCCTTGTCGCAAAATGTTGATACTTCTTTTTTGCTTCGTGAATTCTTTATATCAAATTATATCAGTTCTTTAAATCAGTTTTAGCTGAAGCCTACCAAACGTGCACCTTAAAATTTTCAAACTTTATGTTAATATTATTTATCGAACAACAAGATGAATATTCATTTAAGTTGTCACATTTTCTATATTATCGAACTTAGGCTCCGTAAATGTTCCGAAATGTTGAAGTGTGCATATGCCTTTACATTGTAGTTAGGATTGAGAATGAATTAGGTTCGTGGTTTGCTGATTTACATGCGTTATCTTATGATGAAATTGATCCCGTGGACACTGACCACTACTTACGGTCGTGGCAACTTAATTGGCTAAATTGGCTTACACGAGAATAAGTAGGATTTCCGTAATTATCGATTATTTTGGTGCAGAAAACACTATCTCCATGATGGGAATATGTTTTAATTCTGAACCTTTATTATTCTAAACTTGCATTGGGTCGAGCATTTCCGCCACGGCTTTGTGGTCTGTTCATGTAGCGGTGGATGCGGTGGTTGTAGACGCGTATCTGTACATCTGAAAGATTTGGTTACCTAGTATCAGTCCTTCAACAATAACACATGATGCATGGGTACACCGATCGTAAATACAACTTTCAAAATTTATAAAATCTGTAAAAATCAATTAAAACAACCCAATAGACGTAGGCTAAAATATTTAAACGCGTGCTTCATAAACTGGTATTAGCAATAGTAAAAAATGAATATATGTATGTATATTAGAAGTATAAGAGAAAATTGAATATTTTAAAATATACATAGAATCCCTTGCCTTCGCCATTAAAAATCTAAAAAAGTCTTTTTCTTTTTTCCAAGCTGACTCATCATAATCACAAGGGATGCATATTGGTTGAGCACTCTAGTAAATATTTTAAAGCAGATTCACGACACCAACACTTTAAATGCATCTGTACTCACAGTAAAAAAATATAATTTGATCTTTATCACATTATTGGGCGACGGTCCTTCTATAATTCCTCTATTTCAAATGGAAAATACCAACACTGCCTGTCAAAATGAAGAGAGTTTGATTGATTTTGATTGTAAAGGGGAGACAGTTATTGATGTGTCTGTCAAATAAAAATCATCCGAGATAGTCCGAAACGAGGCTGCCGGAACTGTATGACGCCATACACCCAAAACATGGTGAATTTGAACTGTTGTTCAAAAGGCTATAATTCGACAGAACCTCAGAGGAAAGTAAAAGGAAAATACCATGAATAAATTCTGCCAGTTTTTATCCGCTGCAGCACCGCACTCGATAATCTGCCATATTATTCCTGAGTCCATTTTTCTATAAACCACTAAAAAGTCACTTGATTTTACTGGTAAACTAAGACTCGATAATTTGGGCTATCTCAGATGTGATTACCATTACAACCGCTACGTTATTAACTGCACCAAATGGTGCCCAAACATGTCTTCGTTGTACATATCTAGAACGTTAGCATATCACATGCAACGTGGAATATGTTTTTAAACATACTGTATCATGACATAAACATCTGTGAAATAAACAGTGCGACCCGATCCTACATGTACATGTATGTGCACATGTACAAGTGCAAAGTAAAGCACTGCTTACCGTCCACCAGGGCAGCAAATTTTATTATATGAACTTTTCTTGAACAGTGCAGAAAAGTCCACCGTTTAACTAGAGACATATCTGTGAATGTCTAGTGTAAAAACCAATCTGTGACCCTGGTACGCAGTGCTTAAGGGCCTGTTGTAGAGGATGGTATGCCATGTACATCATATACTAGCAAGGCATGCCGCAGTGAGACCTGCATTGACCGATGGAGTACCAACGCATTATTTTTTCAAACACACTTTACCAAGAAAAATTATACATATTCCCCAAACCTTAATTTTGAATAGAATGTGCGTTGTTACAAAGAAGGTAATATCAAAGAATAGACTTTTCACTTTCTGTGAATGGCTTGTGATTGCGTTCGCATTGCCAGAGACATGGAACATTACGTGAGTAGGCCTAATTGGGCGATTCCCTGTCTTACGCACGTGGCACTCATACCTTATATCAGTCTAAGCAATCATTCTGCTTTGATTTCTGTCTCTCAATATGCCTAGATCAACGTGTATGTGGAGTTTTGATGGCATTGCTGTCACTCTAAGGGCGGAGATCTTGTAGTTACTGTACTTATATATGTAATTAACACAAAAGTGCAATATCGTGTTTCTGTCAGATTTCAGATTTCTTGTGATTTGTTCGCCTTGGGTTATTCTAACCTTAAAAGGTCATTCTTTTCTTTACTCTAACCAAGAACGTTGAAGACAATATACGCCCTTGCTCTAACAAAAGGCTTCAAAACTTATCTTCAGTCGGTTTTCCCTAGCGTATGTTTCCGTCAGAATCAAACCTTTCACAACAATTGTAAGTGGTCGTCCAAATGATCAATTATAAAAATGAATGTTCAATTCCAAAGTGGCAAAGTCAGTATTTCCAGGTTGATCAATATTCTGTGACCACATAAAGCTTCATCTAATGGCAATAAAGGGCCTTTGATCAACGAGATTTAATCTTCCTATCCATCTGTCTTTATATTATACATTATAATTGATTTAAAAACTGTTTGTTGTCTTCTTTGATGGTAATTTTTTTTACTTTTAAGACATTTCGAGCGTCTAATCCATAAAGACTTCATTAAGGCCCCATTCAGAATGGATGATCCGAGTACTTACTGATCCGCCGATTAAATATGGCAGACCACAGATCAAAGCAATGCCGCTTATTCATGACGGTCTCCCCGACTCCTAAGATACTAGTGTGAATAAAAGCGAGGTCGCACTGAGAATTATAATGTGGAGAGATGGTTATGTATTTTGGCCATGGCAAAATTCAGAAAATGGTAAAAAAAAAACGCAAGGGGATACATTGTTTTGAATAAATAAGCTGAAGAAGTAGTGTCGAAAGGAAAAGATCAATAACGAGATTAAATTTGTTTGACGCCGTATAGTCTGCTAAAGTAATTCGTCTTTTGTCTTTTGAGTAAATATACGTTTTGTAACAAAAATAAAAAGCACTTACCGGCTGTGTTTCATCATTACCATTTTTCATGAAATGTAATAGAACTGTGCATTGTGCATAATCTTTATACTGTTTGAGTAATGAAATACTTTACTCTCTGGTAGCCTATATCATACAAAGATATCCCTCTATTTTTGACAAATGTGATATACAAATACAGTCGTATGTGCATTGCTATATGGTTTATGTACGTGTACTATATAGATATACTCTATTGTACAATTCATCGAGAAGGCTCTGGGTAAAGGCCACTGCTAAATCTAGTTACCAGTATGGATGTGCCCGTAGAGCCGTTCTTTTAACCGAATAAGTGAGTAATTTCCGAGTGCTATGTGCTACCCAGGTCCGAAACCGGGAAGGGGGGGTCACCCTTTTGGCCGGGAAAGGGTCCGCTTTGGAAAATTTTGATATAGGTACACAATGTGAAAGAAAAAGACCCCCTTTAAAATTTCTGGCAACGGGCATGCTATAGGGGCCTATGTGCTTGTTATACCACAAATGTTAACCGTTGGGCAAAGGAATTGCTCGCAAGAGGATATTTTCTTAGAACAAACTGAAAAGAAATACTATTTTTCTCTGACATATTTCAGGATAAAAGCCATCAAAAAAGGCTTCAGTTCATTTCAACATTGTTACTATCGACACCAATTCAATTTCACATGCAAATGATACCAGGTTTGCAATAATTCAAGTAGCATTTGTCTATAATTAATTTAGGAAGCTGTGCTATTTCACTCTATATCTGATTATCCGATGTGTTCACGATTGTTTAATTGGTCCTAAGCTAAACTCTGGGATACGTAATGGACAAAATACTGAGTTTTTACTGATACGTGTCTAACTGCATTAGTCTTTGTAAGTTCATCCCGTCCATGTGTATAATCAGATCATGAGAGAGAGAGAGAGAGAGAGCATTCACATCGAGAAGAGCCGAGGTCTAGCAAGGCCGAGACTTAAATATGGCGGACCTACATGAAAGGAAGACCGCCTAATCCTTTAATGGTCTCTCAATGACTTTCAATGACATTCATAGAGAGACCATTAAAGGATTAGGCGGTCTTCCTTTTATGTAGGTCCGCACGTATTCAGGTCTTGGCCTTGCTAGACCTCGGCTCTTCTCGATGTGAATTCTCAGAGAGAGTCGTAGGGGCAAATGAACTAACGGATAGACGGAAAGACAGACAAACAAGTAGCTGTATATCTGGGAATTAATAATGTTTTATAAAAATCCCCTTCCACGAGTTTTTCTTAATAATCTTGATTCAGCATGTTTCTTAGTTAGATAATCCAATGGATTCTGGACATTTAATTTCTAGAATTATTAAGATTGAAGGGAACTTTAACTTGCGTCTGCATTCACATTTAAAAGGTTTTCATTAATTAATGTTCCAAACATGATACATGTACTAAATCTGAAATTATTAGCCCTATTTTCAACTGTTACCGCACTACAAACGAGCGCCCTTTCATAAGAAAGGAAGCTATGACAGTCATTCCTTTCCGTTTTAATCAAAGGTAATCAATACGTGGTTTACTCGCTTAAATGAATTTTCCTTGTGGAAAAAGAAATTTGCTCCTTCGCACGAATCACTTCTCAGCTTGTCACTGTACATTGTATTTTTTATTCTTTTTATAATTTAACAAATTTGTTCTCATTGACTGGCCCGTCAACTAGAATACCATGCCATCATTACATCCCTATACAAATAGAATCATCGACAACAGGTACCTTTATATGGGATTTATATCTTTAAGGTCCGAATTGGGAAAGATGAGTAACTTTGCACGATATATTGACATAGAAATATGACTTTGAAAATATTTCAGACTGCAAACGTGAAAAGTGAACAGTATATCTTTAACCATTTTCCCAGAAAAAATATAATGACAGAAAGAAATTTGCTTCGTAGATGATATTGATACCTCCACCTGCAATTGCATGCGATGACATGTGTTTAATCTGTCTGTCTGTCTGTCTGTCTGTCAGTCAGTCAGTCAGTCTGTGTCTCCTTGCAGGGGCAACCTGCTATACAGACACACGGTACATTCACATGTACATATTACATGATCGAAGCAAAATGACAGAAGCACGTGTTCAATCTGATTGACAGATATCCGGGACAATACCTTTATATTTACAAACTTTGATTTTTAAATTTGCATTTGTAACCTTGAGGACAAGTAAAACTATGGCAAAATAACAACTACTTGAGAAGCGTGCCCGCTAAAAAGAAATTGTTTGGATGTCTACTTCATGTTTTTGCGTGAATTCTAGTGCCTTTGTAAACGGTACGAATTCAAGATTTCCGAAAACGGAAAAAAGTAAAAGTATACCGGACTTTCTGGAAACGGTCTTACGACACATACTGTTTTAACGGCGGCGGTAAATCCTTATGTACAAACAGACGGTCTGCGTTATTGGTTGGCGTTAAAGTCACGTGAAATGTTCAACCAAGAAGTTGTACAACTTTACAACTTCTTGGTTCAACCTAGTTTTTAACCTGCTATCTCACAAAACTATGTGATAACGATTTGTGACCATAGAATTCTATCGTACAATTCTAGTACACGGTTAGTCAGAGTCGAGCTTGGTCATTAGCTGCGGTAATTCTTATAATCAGCTATTGCAATCACAGGGCTTGTTTGGTGGACATTATTATAAGTACTTAAAGGTACACATGAACCGAGCATCGGTGGAGCGTGGATTCCCAGTAACACATATAAACCACTTTTACTAGTTTCTTATACGACTCAAATAAATTCGACATGCCAAGGGATAAACTGAATAATTTGCTTTTGTGGCAAAAAAATTGACTTCATATGCATCTTTAAATAAACTATCGCATCTTGACTTGAATTGCGGCAATACCTGTTTCTGGTTGGTTCCGTGCCAAATGGGTCTTAGGAGTGCAATATTCATGCTGTTTCTAAACAATTCATTACACATCAGAGCTGATTCGTGATGTCACAACGACTTCTCCCTCATTGATTCATTTGAAAGGTTCAACGATAGTTTATCCACATGTAATGTGCACACGCCCTCCCCAGCCAGAGAACGATGGAATTGCGAAAAATGCTCAAGCCAAATAATATTAAGTTTCAACCCAATATCAGCTTGTCAGTCTAAAGACTGTTTCCTTTTCGCATTAAGATTAATTCACATTTCGGTCATCCTTCCCGAAGCCGCGCGACTGGTACGAGCTATTGGAAAACAAGATGTAATGTAATCTATTATTTTTTCCATAGGTATATACCCGTTCAATGGATGCGTCTCGTGCATTGTACGGGTTGGTGAAAGCAGGAAATGAATATATTGTGAATATGTTCATAATTGTCGACAAAAGTTAACACAAAATTTTATAATAACGACGGAAGGGCCGGTGCACGCTAAAATGAATATCCGCGTGAACATGGAGTCTATTGGCTCTCGCCGTTTTGGTGTATGAAGCCGGTGTAAAGCATTAAATAAAAATTCCAGTAACCCACTTAAGTAGATACTGGCGTTCGCACAGTCATTGTACATTATATTTATTCCAAAATTTGGTCTGACAAAGTCAATAAAATCATCCTTCTCTCTCTCTCTCTCTCTCTGTCGCACACGTATGGTCCATACCCGCATCTCTCTGAGACATCCGCGCCAACACTTTCACACGCATGTGCACACTTCCAAAGTACTTAATACTGTTTGACCAAGCTCTACTTCAACTTGCCACCGCCTCTCGTCTTGTCTCATAAACGCGCGTTCTTTCACATGCCCGCACTTGAAGGCGTTACGGGGAGTAATGGTACTGGGACGTAAATTGATGTAACCGTTATCTTCATATGACCAACCTCTACTTCTTCTTTCCAGCCTCCTCCCAGACAGAAGCCCCCGGCGGTTGCACAGAAGAGCAAGTGAATGGATGCACCCAGCCGTACAGAGAGTATATCGAGAACCTCGATGACGGTTCAAAGGACAAAATTGTCCCTGACCACGATGAACATACCATGAGGAACATTTGCAGGTTGAGGTCCCGACCCCCACCTCCCACTTTTTATCTCATCTCCGTTAAAATGAAGAAATGATAAAATTAGATAGTATTTTGTTAACCAATTTCTCACGAGATATCTATAAATAGTACAAAATGTATTGCTTTGGTTTCATTGTGAGAAATACGTTTGGGTACTCATATATATAAAGACTTAATTAAAAGCAGAGATGTCAGAGTCTTAAGATTTGTTTGCTCTTAACGTAAACATATATTGCAATCATTTTTCAGAAACTATGCTGTCATGGAATCCTGCCTCCAGCCGTTGAAAATCATCTGTGACACTCCACAAACGCAGATAGTTTTGAAGGCAATCGGGGCTCTCGAGGGAGGCATGGGATATCTTTGTAATGAGTCTCTGGATGGTAAAAAAAAGTCATTTGTTTTTGTTAATTTTGATTTACATTGCAAATGTGTACATTTAATGAGATTACTGCGATTGTGTCCACCTGCCTTTCAGCAGAATTACTTTGTAGACAAGAAAAGCCACCAGAGAGCGCAGACCTCCGCCAAGGCAGCCTAAATCTCATTATTATAAATTAATTATCAATCAACTAATTAGTTACCTAAATTCTAAGTATTGATTTTTTATCAATTTGCATTTGTTGTGGAGTTCTGGGCAAAAATAACCAAATTGGCCTATCTCGCAATGGTAAAGAATCCTCTTAGAATGTTTAGATCTAAAGGGTAATAGAGATCACAACCAAAATCTAGCCATTTTTAAAGGTGCTTTATACGGGATTTACCACCCAAAGTAATTTTTCCTTGGGAAAAGGGCAATTTTCTCCTTCAACGAACTATTGCTCGACCCGTCAGTGCACTTGGGCTCGATGTTTTATTCCATTTTTAATTAAATGATTTAGTTCTTAATGACTTGCCAGTCATTTAGAACGCCATGTCTTCCTGTAAATTTCAGAGGGATTTATTGTCGTCAGGCACTGTTATTTGGGGGTTTTCACTGTTTTAATGTCTGAGCTGAGAAGGATTAGTAGCTATGCAGAATATATACCAATAGAAAATATGAATTCAATAAATTTTCAAACGCGTACAGTATACTTTAATTGTGGTCTATTACTGACCTTTCCTGTCAATTTCATCAAAACCCTTAACAATGCTGGTGACAAACAGTTAAATCGAGGTGAAAGCCTAACCTTCTGTGCAGAGGTTATTACGACATGTAGGCCTTCAGTAGAGCTTCATATAAATGTTTAGGCCTACTGGTAGATTATATTTTATTACTTTTTAGTTACTCGTTCGTATGCCATCATTTTCTTTTTTCAATATAGATTATATATCATGTGTAAAATAGGGCACTTGTTTGTGAAGCACACACAGATGAAAAATGAGCAGTTTAAGACTAATATTATCTTGTAAATTTAAAACAATTAAAAACAGTCAGGATGAAGGATGAAATGAACTAACAAAAGGCTCACTTCAATTTTCCATATCCCTTCCACGCCGTTCATTGTTCACATTTTATTGGCAATATGCGTATATGTGTGCATTGCTTTCTCAAGCAATTTGTTTTATAGCAAATGTTGTTTTCATCGCTGACATAAAACCTGAATAGATTAGCCTGATTGCAATTTCTTATCTCCCCCTTGGCGCATTGTGGAACTTCATCAAAGATGATATCTCGTAAGTGTAGGGATTGTTTTTGTGTAAATTTGAAGAGTTAAGAAGGTGTAAGACCTTCTCTTCGTCTGGATTGTATTGCATTGTTATAGTTTTATTTTTATTTTATTATTATTTCACATGAACTTACTCGTACAAGTATATTTCATTGTAATTTTTTTCTTTTTTATTGCGTGTTATCTTACTTCATTTTGTTTTCCTTTTTTATTACTCCAGTTCTATCTTTGTAACAGATTCGATCCATTATTTATTTCTTAGATTTTCATTCCATTATGCTTTTATCTAACTTCACTTAAATTCAAAATCGATCTTTGTTTTATAATTAGTATTTTTTTCAGACTACGTCAAGCACGTCTCGTGTTTCAGCGACCCCGCAAGAACTCCAGTGATAAATAGGTGCCGCTACGAGCAAAACGAACGTCTCATCTTGATAACACAGGATAAAGGTCTAAGCAAACAGGACAGGCAGTTCAAAACTTGCGAGTAAGTGTTCTGTCTTTTTCGCCCTGCCTAGTGGTATCTCTTAAATAATTGAATAAATTAATAATCCCTTTGTATTACTGCAATACCAAGTGCAGTTATACGTGTTAAGGGAGTATTCTTGTGTCCACTATGTTGCAACCACATAATAAAGGCTCAAAAATTGAATACGGTGCCAATAACATAGTAAAGGAATGGGACTAAAATACAACTAACCAATGCAAAGACTGAATTCAAGTTACACTGGAATTTTTTTTTCTTGTCTCTAGATAAGATGATAAAACAGAGTTACTCTTGAATTAAAGGCTTAATAACTACAGTANATTATCAATTTGCATTTGTTGTGGAGTTCTGGGCAAAAATAACCAAATTGGCCTATCTCGCAATGGTAAAGAATCCTCTTAGAATGTTTAGATCTAAAGGGTAATAGAGATCACAACCAAAATCTAGCCATTTTTAAAGGTGCTTTATACGGGATTTACCACCCAAAGTAATTTTTCCTTGGGAAAAGGGCAATTTTCTCCTTCAACGAACTATTGCTCGACCCGTCAGTGCACTTGGGCTCGATGTTTTATTCCATTTTTAATTAAATGATTTAGTTCTTAATGACTTGCCAGTCATTTAGAACGCCATGTCTTCCTGTAAATTTCAGAGGGATTTATTGTCGTCAGGCACTGTTATTTGGGGGGTTTCACTGTTTTAATGTCTGAGCTGAGAAGGATTAGTAGCTATGCAGAATATATACCAATAGAAAATATGAATTCAATAAATTTTCAAACGCGTACAGTATACTTTAATTGTGGTCTATTACTGACCTTTCCTGTCAATTTCATCAAAACCCTTAACAATGCTGGTGACAAACAGTTAAATCGAGGTGAAAGCCTAACCTTCTGTGCAGAGGTTATTACGACATGTAGGCCTTCAGTAGAGCTTCATATAAATGTTTAGGCCTACTGGTAGATTATATTTTATTACTTTTTAGTTACTCGTTCGTATGCCATCATTTTCTTTTTTCAATATAGATTATATATCATGTGTAAAATAGGGCACTTGTTTGTGAAGCACACACAGATGAAAAATGAGCAGTTTAAGACTAATATTATCTTGTAAATTTAAAACAATTAAAAACAGTCAGGATGAAGGATGAAATGAACTAACAAAAGGCTCACTTCAATTTTCCATATCCCTTCCACGCCGTTCATTGTTCACATTTTATTGGCAATATGCGTATATGTGTGCATTGCTTTCTCAAGCAATTTGTTTTATAGCAAATGTTGTTTTCATCGCTGACATAAAACCTGAATAGATTAGCCTGATTGCAATTTCTTATCTCCCCCTTGGCGCATTGTGGAACTTCATCAAAGATGATATCTCGTAAGTGTAGGGATTGTTTTTGTGTAAATTTGAAGAGTTAAGAAGGTGTAAGACCTTCTCTTCGTCTGGATTGTATTGCATTGTTATAGTTTTATTTTTATTTTATTATTATTTCACATGAACTTACTCGTACAAGTATATTTCATTGTAATTTTTTTCTTTTTTATTGCGTGTTATCTTACTTCATTTTGTTTTCCTTTTTTATTACTCCAGTTCTATCTTTGTAACAGATTCGATCCATTATTTATTTCTTAGATTTTCATTCCATTATGCTTTTATCTAACTTCACTTAAATTCAAAATCGATCTTTGTTTTATAATTAGTATTTTTTTCAGACTACGTCAAGCACGTCTCGTGTTTCAGCGACCCCGCAAGAACTCCAGTGATAAATAGGTGCCGCTACGAGCAAAACGAACGTCTCATCTTGATAACACAGGATAAAGGTCTAAGCAAACAGGACAGGCAGTTCAAAACTTGCGAGTAAGTGTTCTGTCTTTTTCGCCCTGCCTAGTGGTATCTCTTAAATAATTGAATAAATTAATAATCCCTTTGTATTACTGCAATACCAAGTGCAGTTATACGTGTTAAGGGAGTATTCTTGTGTCCACTATGTTGCAACCACATAATAAAGGCTCAAAAATTGAATACGGTGCCAATAACATAGTAAAGGAATGGGACTAAAATACAACTAACCAATGCAAAGACTGAATTCAAGTTACACTGGAATTTTTTTTTCTTGTCTCTAGATAAGATGATAAAACAGAGTTACTCTTGAATTAAAGGCTTAATAACTACAGTAGATCCATACACTAAATGTTTCGACCCACCATCTATGGACCTTGAGCACATAAACAGTTTCTCGGACCGTGCCGCCCGAGGCACAGTATTTTTATTATTATTATTTTATTTTTTTTTATTTTTTTTTTTTTTTTGGTCTATGACTGAAAGTGTAGTCATATAACTTAAGATATTGGCCAATCTCTGTATTGTTATCAGATTTGATATCATCTTTGATATTATATCGGTGATACAAATACAGCTTACGAAACATAGGCCCGTATCAGTGAATTTAACCGCGCAAGATTTGCGCTATCATACGCCTTTTAAGAGGTTGTAGAAATGACCAGAAGTAAACGATCTGTTTTCGATCACAAAGTATTCGACCTGTAACTAAAATGATATGTGTGATAGCAGTGTTCGTGTACTTCTAACAAATGTTTGTCTGTTCAACAGACAGGACTAACCTTTGTAAAAATTCCGTAGAGGAAGCGTAAGTCATTATATTTAATGGACAAAACTAGTTGCATTTATCTTTTATTCTTTGAGATTGGAATTGTATATTTACTACTGACAAAACTTTCTTGTTTCTGCTTTAGAACGTACAGCACTTTGACTTCCTGTGTGATAAAAGCCTACTCAGACTGCCCTGCCCCAGAGGAAGCATCTGCCTTAATCAAGAAAATTGTACAAAGAACTCTGTCAGCTGCCTTAATGGGAACGGGATACGAATGCAAAATAAACAGTAGCAGCGATTCTAACACAACACGGATTTGTCCATTTTTAATCATTTTGATTTTTGCAAGGGGCTTTTTTTCATGAGCACTGTAATAAAAAAGTAAACTACATTAATGACTATTCTAAATATTTCATGATGAGTATGTTAGGCCTCCATTTCTCTGGTTTTTGATACGTTATCCTTAATGCATTAATACGTAGAACCTATTAGGCCTATATAAACTGAGTGACAGACGGTGCACTTTTGTATCAAAAAGTCTTTTTGTGTCTCTGCATAACATAAATCAGAGTAGATACAGTAAGTGTTTTCGTAAAGTAGTGGGTTTCTGTCTGTTCCAACTGAGTGTTCGAGCAAACAAAATGATTATTTCCTTGTCGCAAGTAACTATTTTTGAAACTAAATAAAATTGTCAATTTGTTATCACAGCTGTTGGTATTACAAATAACAAATGTGTGTGTGTGTGTGTGTGTGTGTGTGAGAGAGAGAGAGAGAGAGAGAGAGAGAGAGAGAGAGAGAGAGAGGGTGACACAGAGGGAAGGAGAGATTTTTTTGAACACACATTTTAAAGTACAACACCAACAATACTGTAGGCCTACTCTTACCGCCAACAGCAAATCTAACACAATCAGGCATACTCATTAGTTTCTTTTGTCTAAATATGAATAAAATTAGTCGACTGAGATATGACCAGTAAAAATCGCACATCCCTCTCCACTTCCAAATCCTTGATCCAATTCTAATTTCACTTCTCTCGATTTATATCATCCAGGTTTTTGCCTGGGAGTAGGCCTGCAAAGATTAAAAAATTCACCGAGAACAGCGTGGTAAATTTTAAACAGTGGAGAAGGTACAGGACAATCGTAATAAGTAGGCCTACCAGGGTACAAGATTGGATGGCTGCATGGTTTGTCTCGTTTCGCTCGTATGCTGACAAATGGGAAATAATGGCTTTCGAACGCAAGCGAATTTTTATTATTATTATTATTTTTATTTTTAATTTTGAGGATATCAGATTTTTTACACCTTTTTTCAAATTAAAAAAAATGCATTGGGCATTTGGTGTACATGTAGTAGGTTGTAAAATTGATAATAAACTCAGTGGCGGATTTAGGGGGTGGGGTCGGTGGTCCCCCCCCCCCCTTCGGTTTCTGAAAAAAAAAATCACACGAATATTCCCCTCTTGAAATAAGAATTTTGACTTGCTGAATTATATTTCAAAACCGTATCAAATGGCACCGTTTGCCCTCCAAAACACCCAAAATATTCGGGCTCTTCAGCCTTCCCCGAACCACACGCCGGGGGGTTGGGGGGTGGGGGGGAGCAGAAGCGGTTTCGATTCCGATTCCCCCCCCCCCCCCCCCCCCCCCCCCCCCCCCCCCCCCCCCCCCCCCCA